GCTGGTTTATTATTTAGAATGAATGGAACAGGTAATGGTGGCATACATTGATGAATCAACAGTTAAACGATAACCGGGATTGAACTAAAACAATGCATAATGCAAAATGCGGCGTTAAGCGTACGTTTTTTCACATTTGCTCAGCACGCCACGTTTTCATTGCACATTCCGCACATCTGCATCTCGCCGCATATCCTCATCCTCAATCCTTGGGCGCGCGTGCAAGTCGCGCGGTGTTTGCGTTGGCGTAGTGCCGTTTCGCGTGTTGTTATTGTCTACATTTTTACCGGTTCGCCGCATTACGGCGCGGCGCACCGACTCTTCGCTGGAAGTGATAAGAACTTTATTGTGGATGCGCGCGGGTTATTACAATGCGAGAGCATTCGCATAATGCGCCGCGGCGGCCATCTTGGGCCGGCCGGCCAGAGGTCCAGCGCATTTATCGCCAATGTCTTCCTCTACGCGCATAAATTATCCCAGCATACATAATCAATCAAATGTCAGTCTAAAACTGTAAAAGCTTTAAAAGTTGAAAAAGCGTCGAAACTGCGATTGGATTACATTACATTCATGTACAGATCGTTCTGCGTATTATGCGAACGCACACGCTGGGCTACGAGGAAATGGACAGAAGACATGAAACTGAAATGATCCCACACGATCGTAAATTTATAGACGAAAATAACGAATTGATGTAAATGCCGCAATATCTGTAACTGTTTATACCGAGTGTTTTGTGTTTTTCTATCGAAATCAACGGTACAGTTATTTATTCTTCTTCTTTAGCGCGTATTTAAATGTAAATCGACGTTAAGTAGCCGTGCGCCCATAAATAGGCAACCCAACTTTCATTTTAATGTATGCAACTTCAAATACACGTACCAATGCGTACATTTTTCATATCTGCCTATAAGGCACCTGCCTATTTGCAAATTTTGTGCCGGGGAACTTTCTAATCGGTCCTCATTCGGGCAATGCCTTTACATAGTAATTCACGATCACGCCAAACATCGGAATGTCAAGAATTCGAAATTCTTCGAACCGCATGACTAAAATTTACTGAAATTCAAAATAAAAAATAAACTGGTGCGCTGTGGGTTTAATTATTATAATGTTTTTAATGATGATGTTGTGTTTCTATTTGTTTCGCTTTATCCAGGCGTGTTTTTAATGTGAAAGGTTTTGTTTTTTGAAATAAAACGCGATGAGAGCAATTATGTCGTTATAATTATAGACATCGAGATGGCGAGCCAAAAAACGCATTGTTTCTGAGATGGACGTCGTATCACACGAATTTAATAACTAAGGCAGAACTCATCAGCGCGAGGAAGTTCTGCAATCAACGCTTCCGCGACCTGACTAAATTGCAGAGCTCGGAACAAACACAACATGAGTTAACAGAAAATTAAATTTAAATCAAGTTTGTTGTTTGTTCCAAGATGAATATGAGTACTTAAAGTAAAAAATAATAAGGTTGCTTGTAAGAAAATCATTGTTATCATTATTCAGTTACTCAAGTTGCAAGAGATTAGAATTTAATATTTAATTTGAGAGACTTTAATAGGCGAGAAACCCAAAATTTAAAAAAAAGCTAAAAATGTTTTATTATACTGCAATATTATTTTAACTCTGATAATCGTTGTTTATCCATAAATGTGAAGTAAAACCAAGTAACATTATTTAAGTGAGAACTAAAAAAATTTATGTTATGGAGATTTTTTATTATTTTCGTTGTTTGAGCCTTTTGGCTGCTGATAAAAGTCAATATAAAATGAAACTCAGTATACCTGCCACCCCGAGCCGAAAAGCTTTTAAGGAAAAACCTGTAGGTAAAGCAAACACGAAGCAAAAGTGTTTTGCTGCGCTAAAAGCATTCATGCATTAAAAAAATATTCGTCTTTGGTTGCCGCTGCTCTTCGCCACTGCGTGTGCATCGTGATGTGCATACCGAAACAAAAATTAAATAGACATCTACCCAAAAATTCCCCACTTGCTCAAAATTTCACATAAAAGACAAACAAAAAAAGATGTTTATACTTCGAGGGTAGTTTTCCTCTGCAAACATAACACTATTCATACAATGCACGCACAGGTAGGTAGATAAAACCACTATTGGGTGGTCAAACAAAGTTTTTATTTTAACACCACGAGAATAAAATCTTTGCACCTACATAAAACGAAAAATCACATCTGACGATCTAAGATCGGTGTGATTATAAAATAAAATTAAATGTATTCATAATATCTAAACCTGCAGCAGCATTGGATGAAAACGTGAAAGTTATATCGCCGCTAACGAAGCCGATGATTACACGCGTCCTGCCAGTGTCTTGTCATCATCATCACGATCAAAACGTTTTCGTTCGCAGGCGAGTGAAATTTACACGTGTAAAATTCATCGACCTAGATTCCTAATAAATAAAATTTATTAACCAATAAATAATTGATTGGCATGCACCGACATGGACACGGGCAATTGCTTTTACTTTTGCTTTTCTGCGTCTTTCAATCTGTCAAAATTTGATTGAATGAATAGAATGGATTTGACTGAACATCCGATTTGGTTAATTTGAAAAAATTTCTAAAAATTATGTAAATTTTGATATTAAGACATTGAATTTGATTAAAACGCAAATTATTGTGATTTTTAGACTCTATTAGTTTATATTTAGTTTTATTACATTGTTTTTATGTTGTTTTTAAAATTTTTGGTGTTTGTAGTTGTTAAGAATGCGCTATAACTTCCATAACAATTAAAAACTCTTATTGCTCTTGTATTGCACGCATTCATGTGCGATAATCGAATTGCGCCTCAATACGAACGCGCGCGAATGATGAATGCGCAAATCGCATGCGGTGCAAACCACCACAATACTCCAACATTGAGTGTGCATAAAAAATTGCAATATTTAAAACAAACAAAAAAAATATCATTAAATTAGCTCAAATAAAATCTCTTAAAATCACTAAAAATAAGTTATGTAAGAAGATATTGAACTTATTTTCAAGTTTTATACCTTTCTGCATCACCCTGTGTATATGGTTGGCGTGGAATTGTTTGATTTTTCCGGTGGATCGGGACGCGCTGATTTGATTCCCTCCGACTGCATCGCGGGCCTCGCTCCGCGCGGCGAGATAATTAAAATTGTTTTTGTGATTGCCTCGACAATGCGACTGTTAATTGTATCAATCTGCGGCGCATTCATTCATCGCGGCGGGTAGTGGCGCATCGGTGTCCCGCCGCGCGCGCTCCTCGAGTCTCGACCTCTCCAACACATCCAGCGATCGCAGCACGCACACCCATACACACACACGCTCACCTATGACCAAGTCCGAAGAAGTGAAGAACTGAAGAAAACAAGCGCGTCGAGCGATGAACGCTCAAACAAACGTGTACACACATACTCGCATCATGCATTGGTATGAAAAGCATGAAGAGAAGACCATGAAGAGGCAAAGTCATGCATGCGAGAGCGTGGACGATGTGGGTCAACGCGGAAATGAACGAACCGTACACAAGTCTGCCATTCCATGCTTTCAACTCGTCTAAGCATCTAAAACGCATGCGCTGAATGCAAATATCACGCTGGATCACACCTCAACCGCTTTGATTGTTGACAATCGACATTGTCGGGTAGTATTCAATGCTAATGCGCTGAACGAAACTCTCCGAGGTCTTAAATTCACGCATTAGTCTCAAACTATTATACTAATCCTTTTAAAAGAATGTGAAACAACGATAGTTAATTAGCATTTAAATATGCGGCTTACTTAAGACCTCGTCGATTTTTTATCGGCGATATTTTAGGATTTAAAACAAACGCGCATGCGCTTTGCGAAAGTGGGCGGGGCAAATTTTAACGTTTTAAGACAATACACAACAATTTTCGTTCGAAAGAAGCCGATGCTTTTTATCGGTAATAATTTACGATTAGGATGCATTTGATTCAAATTTAATATTGCAAGCTTTCGGCCAAAAAATGTGCGATCATAAAATGCGTAATCAGTTACATAAAATATTCGATATGGACGGCGGGCGACAATGTTGCTAAGATGCGAAACAAGTCCACATTTTACGACGTCACGATCCGATCGAGCTTTGGGTTGTATTTTCGTTTATGGTCGCGCAGGACCCGTGAGCTTTACAAATTTTATTATTGTCAAGTTAAGCCTAAAATATTTCCATCCGATTTATACCGGGGCCTCAAAAAAGTTTTGTTTTATCAGTAACAACTTTTTATTTTATTTTATTTTATTTTTTTCATTTGAGAGAGAAGATGAGGAGAAGATGCTAAAAGCGTCGTCCATTTTTAATTTCGTTTTCTAAAGCCGTCGCCATCATCATCGGGCATCAATACGGTAACCAATTAATATGCTAATGGCACCAGTTTTCATCTCACTCCGCCGGGTGCACGCGCTGAACATGGTTGACCGACGCACAAACCAGACCAAATCCAAACGCAGCTTCAACATCGTTTTCCCGCGCGTCGCGTCGCCAATTAAATTTTCAATTAAACGACACAAAAACAATTTGTGCCCACAGAGCCAGCGCAAACTCACAAAAAAAAAACAACAAACAAACAACGACGCGAAATGTTGTAAGCGGTTTTCCAGCAATCGTATGATGCATGCCCGTGACATAAAGTTAGGGTTGGTTATGGACGTGATCGATAATATAAAATCGCAATCGGGGCCGGCGTGCGCTTCGACGAATCGCACTAAAAACCGTTCAAAAACAATGGCGCTGGCTGCCTTCTCGGAATCGCCGACGCGGCTCCGGCACGCACGATTTATTCGACGTCACACGTGTGGTGGAACACCTCGATAAACGCATTCACAAAAGAACACATCACGCTGTGGGAAACAACCACGTTTTCAATCACTTTTCATTTCTTACTTTTATTTCCTTCACCTCCGTTGAATTTCCGAAATCATTCAACGCCAATGCAAAAAAACTTAATTTTCTTAATAAATCATAAAAATCCATATTTTCTACATACCTTTAAAATGCATCGTCCAATCGGTTCGTTCTCCACCACAGAAACATTGTAGAAGCTCTGGTCGAAGATGGGTTCGTTGTCGTTGACATCATGAATAGTCACAAACACTTTAGCCGTGCTACTCAACGGCGGAAACCCACTATCCGTCGCGACCACTGTCAACTGCGGCACTGGATTGGTCTCACAATCCACGTGAGCTTTTGTGGTGACCAGCCCACTTCTACTATCAATCCGGAACCACGAACTATGAGTATCTGGTGTGTCTACCAGTGAATACGTGATTACTGAGTTGTCACCTTCGTCTTTATCACGCGCGGTCACTTGCACTACACTACTACCAGGATCAGACACCTCCATCACATTTGCATGATACACATCCTTATCAAACACCGGTGCATTATCGTTAATATCAGTCACTTTGAGGTTAATTGTCCGCGTTGCATGCAAAGGTGGTGTACCCGTGTCGGTGGCTTCCACATTAAGTGTGTAATTCGGTTGTAGTTCCCTGTCTAATGGTAGGGATACAATTACTAAATAGATGATGTTATCTCTGGTGGTAAGACCAAAGTGACCCTCACCACCGGACAAAGATACATTGATGTTGGAGTATTCTGTTTTGGAGTCTGGGTCATTCACGGAGATCCTCGCTACGAATTCGCCAGGTTGAGCGCTTTCTGATATTTTCGGAGTTGCATCATCACTGAGGAAGATGACATTGATCGTAGGTTGATTGTCATTGACATCAGTGACTTTTATACTGACAAAAGCGGTGGTTTCTAATGGTTGTAGACCTTTGTCCTTGGCAACAATTACTAACTCATGAAGTTCCTTGGTTTCGAAGTCCAAGGGTTTGTTTACACTGATGACACCTGTGGATGATTCTATCTTGAACATGGCATCTTTATCGCTTTGTCTGCGATTGATGAAATATTCGATTTGACCATTTTCATTGGCATCACTATCCGTTGCAAAGACCTGTAGAACCGTGGTACCAATTGTTGCATTTTCTGGTACAGCAGCAAAGTATCTACTTTGATTGAAAATGGGTTGATTATCGTTAACATCCTGTATTGTGATGTTAACCATCATCTCCCCTCTCAATGGAGGTGTTCCACCATCCAAAGCTTCAATCACCAGGGAATATGATGAGGTTGTTTCTCGGTCCAGGAAGCCATTAATCTGCATGTCCAAATACAACACACCATCTCTCTCCCGATGTGAGGAGAGTCTAAATGCATTATTGACATTCCCAGAGACAATATTATACTTCTGAGTGTTGTATAGATCCAGATCTAGGTCTTTTGCTGGCAGTAGTGTACGTTTTACATCCCTGGGAGTATTTTCCGGAAACTCTATACTCATCACCGCCGTGGGGAATGTGGGCGCATTGTCGTTCTCGTCCAGGACCTTGACGTTGACCTTGACGTACATGCCGTTCATTGGCAGCGCCACAAACGAATAACTCGCACGTACCTCACGATCCAGGGGTATTTTCGTGCGTACCTCTCCGGTTTCCTTATCAATGTTTAGATCGGAGTGCACACTGATACTGCCCACGGGAACAATGAGGTAGGGTGGGCCGCTGTCGGGCGCGAGCCCATCGCCGATGAAGCCGATCCGTGTGCCGACCGCGGCGCCCTCGGACACCTCAAGATCACGCACGTGCTCAGCCGTCGACGATCCCGCTGCCGCCCCCGCGATGGAGCAGCAATAGAGCAGCAGGTACACGATGGGTGTCATCGCGTGGCCACCGCCACCGCCGCTGCACGGGTAAACTGACATCACCGAGGTGGTACATACATTCTAAAACAGAGAAGCAAACAACGAAATTTGTATTGTCATATTTTGAAACGAATATTAGCCCTAACCAGAACATTTCAAAAGAGGAATTGTTATAGCAGGTAGGCTATACAAAGAGGTAAGTACGTGGCACACGCACACGAATTGAAGAATTGTATTGCGTGCGATTCGTGCACGCCAGGTTGGAAAAAGGAAGTGGCCCCGACGTTTTGAAATAAAAGCCCTAATTGGGGTAATGAGAAAATTACAATAAGAAGCCCGAGAAAAGGGAGCGAATCGTGCACGCCAGGAAAGAGCATGAACTGCGTGCGTTTCGAGGAAAAAACCAACCGCACATCATCACACACGCATGTGATGTAAGACTGCAGCTGGAATTAAATCCACGATTGAATCGCAAATAAATGCCCTTCAGACAACACATCAAACATCAAGAGGTAACTTTATACGAGTGCGCTTGTGGGACATTAGCATTTTATTTTTCTTAAATATTCCACGGTCAGAGAGATGGTACCCACGTTTCAAGGGCTTAAATTTAAACCAAAAGAAATGAGATTCTGTTGAGTGCAATTATGATATGAATTATAAACATAAGCAATATTTAATTAGAGGAATTATTAGCTTACTGCACGACCACGCAATTTACAGTAATCTGTCTATTTTTATTTGAAATTGAATTGGCGTTTGTTAATTTTGGTATAACTCGAGAACGCTTTGATCGATTTGAATAATTTTAGTTTTAAAATGTTTGTAGAAGTTCAAAGAAAGTTCAAAAGGTGAGAAAATAATATATGTAAAATTGTATCGAAAGTAGTAAAAACAACAATTGAAAAACAAATTATGCGCCTAAACTGATTTGAGAGAAGTACAGAAACAAAAAACTTTTTTTTTCGGCGTGAACTTTAAATTTAATTTAAATTAACAATTTTCAACATAACTAAATACTTTCTGAATGTATTTCAATTAAAAACCTAATAAACTTTTAATTATTTTCCCTCTTATTGCCTTTTTCGTTCTATAGTACTTTGTATCATCTTTGTAAACGTTGTTTGAAGTCAAATCAGACACAGAAATGCAAACCGTTAGAGCAATAAATCGTTCAGCATTCAATTCAGCATCATCATCTCCATGTAAAGTACTAATACACAATTTGCTCAAATTGCAAAAAAATATATTAAATTCGACACAAAGTTGATCAAATTTTATGACATTTTAATTGCCAACCAATTTTGCACACTTTAATGCACTTGATGTAAAATTTAATACTACAACAATTAAGATTTTGTCGCTTTTTATCTTGCGTATTTAGCTACAACATAAGTACAACATTAGTACAACATAATACCAAAATAACGGTCTGCGCTTTTTGCATTTCTTAATTAATTATCAATTATTCATGCAGCAACAATGCATTAACAAAATATAGGTAATTAAGTATTACATGAAGCATAACGATTACACTTTACGATTACATTTTAAACAATTTATTTATATATATTTAGTCATAAATTTAATTTGTGTCATGTCATGAAATTTATTACTATCAATTATTATAGAATTAAATAAATTTTCAGAAAAAAATTGTTACTTTACAAAATATTAGCTAAAATATTACAGTAAGCAAATCCTATACGAATAGTGCGTGTCTGAAATATAACGGTCTATTATAAAGTAGCGGCAAGTTACGTTTTACGTACTTAATAATCAATTATTGGAGAATGCAATTTGCTACCGTATTAATACAGCAATCAAAAGTTTTGCATCTACTTGGTAGAAATGTAAATTATGACTGAATAAGGCAAATGTATAACAAGTTGCAAGTGGAGTAAATCATAATTTTGTGTTATCGATTATTTTCCAGCTTATCCTAATATAGAAAATATTGGTTTTGATGAAAAGCTCGCTTGATTGTATAATTATTTAAAATCTGTTTGAAAATTGGAAATAAATCTAACGGAAAAACTTTATGTTTTTAAGTTTTTAGACTGTTAAATGATAATTATTAGAAAAAGTAATTAATTGTTAAAAAATATTACTTAATAACTTTGAAAATTATGCAATTATAGCTTCAAATTGATAAAAATGTCTAAAATTAATTATGAATTGAATTTAATTGTTCATCATGTTTTAATTAGTTATAAATTTAATTTAATTAAATATTTTTTGATCTTTTGGATGTATAATTACATCAAAATTTGATTTTTCGAAAAATTATGCTCGAAATATGTTCCGTTCCCGAGTTATGGCCGAAAAACTAACCCTTGCTCTTGACAGTATGAATTTTCGGCTGGGAAAGACGTTTGCGACCGACACAAGAACGACCTGGGCCTTCCGATGGTAGTTGGGCTGCTGAGCAAAACGGGTGTAGTAGTACTATGATCGAGTTTGCAGAGAGGCCTCGCGTTTACTCCGGTCTTTGCTCTCCGCGCGTCAGTGTCCGGTGGCCCCGGCATGCGGTGTGCCGACGCCGACGATGCCTCGTCTTCTTCGCCAGCGCTGCGGCGCAGGAACGCGCGCGCTCTCGCACAAAAAAAGACGGAATGTAACACGATCGAGCTACCAAATTCAGATGCGGTGCGTCTATTTCATTCTGGTGCGCGGCGCACGCACTCGCCGCGCGTCGCGACTTGTTCGAAAATCTTAAATATGTGACAGCTAGCATTTAAATTAAATTGCCATCGCCCCAGCCGCGTATCGCGCGACGTATCGTCCGAAATTTCTTCCTCTCCGCGCGGCCACGGCTCTCAATTTCTTTTACGAACGCGCCGCGAGCTTTTTTCGGCTACAACTGGTGACAAATTAAAAAAAAAGAAGGAAATTCACCCAATCGCTGGGAATTTTATAATTTTTAATAAATAACTCGAAGATTATCAAGATATTAAATATTTCGACTTTGGTTCCAAACTTTTTTCGTAAAATCAGCAAAGCATTCAAAAATTCTTATTTTTTCATCAAAAATTACTTGAAGTGTTATTGAAGTTTGTTAAAAATAACAAAAACAATCCAAAACAATACAGGTAACAACATTTTGATATAATTAATCAAAAACTTATTTTTTTCAATTTCACTAAATTACTAAATATTTCAAAAGGTTTAATTATTTTTTGAAACATTTTGATAATATTATCTATATCTATAGTGCTTTTTTGCTCCTTTCATTAGCATTTTGATTACTTTGTCTTAAACACACGTCTGGTGCGATTAAAAACACGATTACTCGTTGAGTCGTTGAGTAAGATCACATCCCAAAAAACTAATTCTCACGTATCCGTTTGGACTAACTCATCGAGAGAACACAACGCATACATCTACGCCGAGAAACATACACTATTATAGTGTGTATCACTCGTAAAATCTAGATTACGCTCGCGCTTCCTATTAAAACTCCTCAAATAATAGAGAATTATACAACTAAAATACAATTTTGAAATAGAAAAATATAGGTTGGCACGATCCACTCACATACACATGTATATAGAGAAACATGGCGTGTATACGGGGTGATTACGTGCATTGATATCCGTGTGATCCACTTAGAAGAGTTCCTTTTATGATTGCTGGTAATAATAATTTCGCAACCTCCGAGAGAATCAGAGAATCAACGTGTTTCTAAGTGCTTGGATTATTACTACAGATTTGAAAGTACGCTCGTGTTCTTGGTAATTAATTTAAACTTTTACACACGAAAATTGCTTGCGAAACATCATCGTCAGATATTGAACAATAATATTACTATGTACTTCTCTCAGCACTTGCAATAAATGCTTTGTTTTATTTAGATCTTGCGGTGTTACGACTTTCGAATTATTTTATTATTTCAGTAGAATTTCATGTTTCATTGCTTGCAATTTCATAATTTTAGTGTTATTCAAGTTTTGTTTTCCTTATAAAGTTAAATCCTTTATTTCATACCTTTTAAGTTATATTTTAGCAACCAAAAGTAGTCTAAATGTAAAGAAATTAATTTCAAAATTTAATTTCATTCGTTTTCTTGCAGAAATAATTTTCTACAAGAAAATAAAATGATTGTAAACTTTCTTTAGATTTCTATAAATATTTTAAAACCAAAATTAGCCAAATCTTGAGTTTTTATGGGTCAATTCATTTTTATTTAAATTTTGCTAGTAAATTATATCGCAAGCTTTGTCTCCTGATTGTAATGAGACGTGAAATCCAAATAAATCCGCAGGACCGCGCCTCCAACCAAAGTTTATTTATGATTTTTTTGTTCGTTTTAAGTAATGTGGGCAGCGATTAATGGCGTCGTTTTAAAGATAAAATGATATCTTTATACTCAGCCACCATCACAATGTAATAACTATCTGTAGACGCGTGTGAGTGTGTGTAAGTGCGAAGGACGAAGTGAGAGAAAAAATACGTGCGCGTGGGTTGATTTCGAGTTGACTAATGTCGACTAATATCGCTAATGCCGGCCCGCGGAGAGGACACACTCGACAAAGTGGACGTAAAACAAACATTCAACACACCACGCTCAAGTCTTAAGTCTCTTGTGATACTCTTGATGCATAAGTAGTGCACTTCTTCGCGGCGTTAGCTGCCTGCCATTACCGAGATTCGCGCACACACCATACTTGATAAGCGTTAATGTCTCAATCCTGTCGACAATTTATTTCTTGTCAAGGTCAATTTTTAACTTGTGCCCTTGTATATTCAGTAGGAAGGTTGTAATTAGCACGTGGCGTTAAAATAATTAATTTTTTAGTTTTTTTTACAGAGAATTGAATTATTTCAAAATTGTGGCGATAACAAGACGAAAATTAATATTATCAATATAAACTTTTAAGATTTGGAAGCAAATAGATGTAGTTCATGTAAAGATGCATTCATAACCTAAAAGTTAATAACATAACCTCGAAAATCAAATGCTGCATTAAAAAAAATAGAAAATCAATCAATTTCTGAGTTAATTGAAACATGTGTGTGGATATTATTTTAGATTCATTCAAAAAATATTCCTTTTTGCCTTGATAAGCTTATGGTTTCACCTGAGATTCATCCAACCTGTGTTTTTTTAATTAATTTATTAATATTAATAAAGCAATTATGCAGCGCTCGTTTATACAGCATAGTCAGCATTCTTGCACATACAGGATGTCGTAAAAATATTCAGTTTTAGGCGTTTTTCAAACGAAATAAAAAATATTTAGACTACAATTAGAGCAATTTACAAACAAAGTGGTAATTAAGCACACCATAATATTACATCTGTGTGTGTTTGTAAGAGTGGATTTAACATAAAACGCTGTAAAAAAACACGTTTCCATTTTCGTTTTTATTTGATTGTTATGTCGTTTTAATTGAGTTGCAGTCACACTAAAAAAATCCGGATAAAAACACGAAATTTGAACGTTTTTAACACTCGGTATGTTGCACACACACCGGTGTCATAAAACAACAATATAAAAATCTCCGAAACTATTTCGAGTTGAAAACTTTAACTATCGGTATGTTTCCAAATGCTGGACGTCCAAAGTCTAAGCAAGATTTAACACTCTTGGCCAATCAATTTGTAGATGTGTACCATATTACCATCACCGCGCGGTGTGTGTTGTGCTCGATTTGGAATCGAAGGTGTCTAAATTCTCTCTTTTTTTATGCCTTCTCGGGCCATCGGGCCCCGAAAAGGTTTTTACGAGATTTTCATGTTCGGGATAATAAAAATAATAAGCAGAAGGAGTCCGGCCGTGCGGCGATCCTAACGGGAATCGGACACACTCTTGCGACACACGACGACGAGCACATTTGCGACGCATGCAAATGAGCCCGCACAACAATAAACGCCGAAGAGGTTTTCGGATGTAAATCAATCGGTGGGGCCCGGGCGCTAATTATAAACGCACAATGTTTGATATCAGTATCGATGTGACGAGCGTTTGCGTAATATTTTACGATCGCGAACAAAACATATTAAATTTCCTATTACAAGTATAACTTAAGGATATATCTCTATTTATTATTCTGTATTTAATTCAGCGCGTAAAGCTAGGAACATGCGGTCGATGGACAAACTATGCAAACAGTTATCAACAAAATAATAAATTTGTTTAGTGTTTGTTTAATGATTTTCACGTAAATACGTATTAAGCATAGAGGTGTTGAATGAAGATACTGTTATTTAGAGAATAATTAAACAAAAACTTTAATGACACCCACATATAAATTTTGTATGTAACTAATTTGTTTCTGCAACTGAATTTTGCTATTAACTTAATTTTTAATAAAAATTTGAATTTTCTAATATCAAATGTATTTTAATAATATTTTTATTTAATTCAAAGTTGGCAATGATTAAAAAGGTTAATAAAAAACTTGAAAGAAATTGTAACTTGATGAAATTAAAATGTTTTAAACAAAAAACTTGTTGGCTCCGTAAACCAACAACAACAGGCCGCATGCGCTTGCTGCTGATTGTTCCTTTTTCTTATTAAAGCACAAAATAATAATGATGATGCAGTGGTTATTTTTTGAGCCCGCGTGCTGCCCGAACAAGAAGCATTTCTTCGGGCGCTGCGATGACGACGCCAAAAATTGATATCCTTTATGCGAGCGACGGAAAAAATTTCTTATTTCGGTGACTTACGCAGCACTTTTCGGCAAAACTACTACTACTACCACATCGCGTAATGAAACTCGCGCCGCAACTTGAAAATGTAATTTTTAAACACATTTCTTGTTACCGGCAAAAACCTTCGAAAATAGCTGTAGATCCCACTACCGCAGACAGGTAGAATTCGGATTGTGTTGAGAAAGCACCTCGAGTCAAAAGTCTAGGGGGTGTGTGTACTTCAAAAGGCACAGGAGGGATGGTCCGAGTCACTTCTCACCGACCAGCGAGTGCTTTTGTGCAGCGCTCCGCAGTTCATTAAAAACTAAGCGATTTATTATTATAATGTGAGAGCGGCCGGCGGACGGGGAACGAAAACGCTCGACGTAATTTATGATTTATGGCCGCGGCGATTCTCGGATAATGCTCGGAACAAGCTGAAAAATACGAGCGACGGATTTTCGGTGGCGCTTAGTTTTTATTGCGGCACGAATCGCGAACAGGCAAACACTTGACTCGATGAGGACTCCCAGCAACTACACACGAAGAGAGAAAAAAACTGAAATATTTACAAGCGCGCGGTTATTAACGCTATAAATAAATTACATTCTAATATTCTAATGTTGTAATGTTCTAAACAAAAAGCAAAAACGCCGTGGCTAAAACCATTAAGAGCTTTTTTCGCTCGTCGCCGGCGAGAGGATAATTTAATCGAAATACGCACACGTAGTATATTAACACGATGACAAATACGTTTTTGATTCCGACGTGGAATTGATTTTCAATGGGGATTTTTAATTTTTCACGGCTACCTTCGATTAAAAACACAAAAAGTGCGGATGGTGATGAATATGACAAGACGGAGCGTTATTCAAAATTATTCAAGAATAAAATGCAATAAAATATGATTAGATAGATTCTGTATAAAATTCTGCATCTAATCATGTTGAGTTTTCACTGATCTATAAATTAAGAGTTAAAAATTCTAGTTTTGAATTTTTTCATTGTACACTGCTTTTAAACTGCTTTTTACACAATTCTAGCTTTGTTTTTACTTTTAAGTTCAAAGAAATATTTCTAGAAGTTGAAGTATTCTTTATGCATGTTTTGGATGATCTATAGTTAGTTAATCTTGAATAAAATATTAATTATTAAAATACCAACACATTAAAAATCAAGTTTTACGCAGGACGAATCTGTATTTAATTCATGCAGTAATTGAAATGATTTGCAACTTAAATAAAGAGCTACCTACAAAAGCAAAATGTTTATATTAAATTTTCTACTAATGATTGCTTTCTTTTGAGCGTAATTATGTTTATTCTGCAGTAGTTTTCTGTAACTAAAGAAGAGTTATTGGTGTTTTTATAGCAATTCGTTAATAACCAACTAAAGTACCTGTTTGTGAAGAATAAAACAGAATTTCGTAGCAGAGTAATTACATTGATTACGAGATAAGTTATAAAAATTATGGTTGATTTTATATTTCAAGAATCATGCGAGAATTGGGTTAATAAAACAAACAATTATGCAACTTTTCTAAAAATTATACTGATTGCAATTCAGGAATTTAACTCTAAATCCATATTTTATGCATTGGTTAATGTGATTAATTCTTAACGAAGATGAAAACCGTTTTTGTGAAGATTTGCCCGTTATTACACACATGATGTTCTTTGAATATGTATCTTGATTTCTAACATCTTGCTTTTTGCTTCTCTGACTCGACGCATCGAAGTAGTTAACTGCGACAGTAGTTTGCCCGGCTCGTTGCAAATTGTAAATAACTTAATATCAAGAAAACTGAGACAAATCCGCGAGCAAAAAAAAAATGTTTGCGTCTCGTTGACTCTCGCTGACGACGGCCGCGCGCCGCGGATAGAAGGAAGCTCTTCAGCTCTTCGGTTACACGCACGCCGTGGCCGAACGCGAAAGAGTTCAACTTCGTCTCGCGAGTTTCAACTCGGCGACGTCTCTCCGGAACGCTCCAAGAAGTTCTTCTCTGGGCAGCCCGCGCAGATGCACACACGCGAGCCAAGCAGCAACCTGCCGCCGGACGGACGGACGGACGAAGACGCAAGGAGAAGAAATGTTCAGAAACGCGCTACGAAGCGCGCGCGCGGGGCCGCGGTGTGTGCTGGGTCTTGGGCTCTCTTCGTTTCCAAAACGCCTCTATCTCCTTTTGAGTAATGGTTTTTTAAACGCTCCGAAGTTAATTTTCTAAAATTCCTTCAGCCACCACGCCGTACGTATGCGCGCAACAATCATCAACAAACCCGGCACACACCGCATCAAACACAACACAACAACAACACTCTTGTTTTGCAACAGGCGGCGAGAAACAGGGAATAAAAAAAGAATCAAAACAAATAACACGCGAATTCGGCCCGTCTAACAAGCCTAACACACTTACTTAATTCACGCGCATGTCAATAATCCTTTCGCAGCAAAGCCTTCGAATGTTTAATCCAAATCATGCACTAGTAATTGATTCACACACACGTTTCACACGTTGAATAATTTTTCTTGTCGAATCTCAGCAGTTCACTCTGGAAATTTTAAAGGTATTCCCTTTTACGCACTGGAAGAGTCACTTATGAATTGGTATGGCACGTGTGCGCGTCGCGATGCCCGTCGTCGTCGTCGTTGTTGTCGTCGCCAACGAAAATCCGCCTCAGCTCGCACTCGACCGGCTCGCCGTCTTCAGCACAGAGAACTGAGTCGCTTCGGAGTCGCTCGAGTCGCGTTCGCTGCTAGCTGCCCGGTCGCTGCATTCCACAGCGCCTCTCCTTGCCCCTTGCCGACGAGCGCAAGAACTAACCTGCCGAGGAGGTATACCTGGTACACCGACAACTTACATCCACGTGTTGGTGTGTTACGAACCAGAGGAGGAAGAAGACGAAGTGATCCCGCTCGCACCCATTGCTGTTTAGCCGTGTAAGTTCTTCGACTTTGGACAACTCTGATGCTGTGAGCTACAAGAACGTAACCATCACATACACTCACACTATATATGTACACCTACCTTCTTGCCATCAAGAGTGAGCAGGTAGGACGTAGGACCAAACAGGTAGATGCGGCCCTTTTTCCACTTTGGGTCTTTGTTTCTTTCTTTATTTTTTTATTCGGAATTAGACATGTGGTACTTACTTACTATGCTTACCTCCACCACTTCAACATGTCAAGCATTAGAAGAATACCTTGCCAAATATTACAAAAGAGTCAAAATAGTTAGACATGTGATCTGGATCTTGATTTTGATCGTGATATAACTGTTTGTGTGTATTTGGTTGCCTACATTCAGAATTGATTCGTGATGAAATCGAATAATTTATAATTCAACCCAGCGCAATTAGTCAATATCCCTTCCGCATCATATCTCTTCGCCGCGCGCGCCGAGACGTGTTGATGGCCTCTTGAGCGCGCACGCGAAAACCGCCATACATAGTTGTGCGCCCAGTTGCGCTCCAAGTACATAAATATATATTACAATTTTACAATAATACCGTCATATATTTGCTCGGCGCACGCATTGTAGTGTTTTATCGTTTCGCAGCGTATAAATGATTTATCGACGAATATTAATCATAAAGTAGTAAACTTTTACTGCGCGCGCCCAAAACGTAACCACATCGTTTGAGTACCATTACTTCCCCCGGCCTGAGAGCCTGGATGCGAAAAGATCTCGTCGCATTCTAATGTTTCCGTAATTAAGGCCGTTGCTTTATGCGCGCGTTACGCTCGTCCGCGTAATTAGCAAGGCCCGGGATGATTAATCGCCGATGATAATTTTGCGCTATTTTTGCATTTTAATTACTCGCGCACCTGGGAATGAAATAAAACTATTGCAAAGCGCTGTAAAATTTGATTAAAGAATATTGCTTATGTTCTTCTAAACAATATCGCGCTATAGACAATACGTCATTCTAACGCTGGTGAAATGGTGATGTTTATGTATTATTCGGTTATTTATTCGCGTCGTTGTCAGTGCGCGCATATAATTGGCGATGCAATGGCCGAGCAAACGACGAAGTCGAGTCCGCGGCCAACGCAACGCGTGACCACTCGCCAACAACAACTGCAACAACTTCCAATGTAATAAAAATGTGTCAGAGCGCATTTAGCACGATTGTTAACCTCCGACCGTAACCACTACCGAACTGAATTTATCATATAAACGATGGTATGGTCATAATTTTTAAGAATACACGCCTTTTAGGAGCGTTATTGCTTGGCTAGGTGTAGTTTATTAGCGCTTTTAAAACAAATGGTATCAGATATTTTTAATGCTAATTTGCAAATTTTGTTAAAAATTTGGCTTAAAACTAATAAATTTTTTTGCTTTCTTTTGCACTGCGTGACAACTTTATTCTTATTGTTGGTCATTTTGACGCTCGAAATTGCATTTTGTCGACATCACATCTTTGGTAACTTGTTCATTGTTGACAGGGAAGAGTAAACTTTCTAAGTTGTACCTTAAAACAAAGAAAATATTACTTTAAGTTCTAAATCTAACCAAAAAGTCGATTTCAGCATTTTTTTCAAAATGAACCAAAGAACTCAAACATTATTAACATTTATCGTTAATTTAAGTAACAAAACGTAAGAAGATAGAAGCTGGTCGAGCTCCAGCAAATTTGCATTCGTTTTCGTTGATTGTCAAAATGCAAAAATATCGCATGTCTCTCGGACGTTACGGACGTACGCACCGGCGAAAGAAGAAACATTGCGTTTTCGTTTTGGGCAGCTTTCAGCGACGACGGGACGACGGGCGCGTTCGGACAGGACAATGGTCGAAATATATAAACAAGCGCGCCGTGGTGCGTGTGTATGTGCGTGTGTGCTTTTGCCAGAGCGCTTTCAACTCATGCCGACGGATGGACGCGAGGACGCATTTTATTAGCCCGAGACGACGACGACGACGACGACGGGGCCCGGTCGCTCCCCGCCTGCCTGAATTTACAAACGCGCGCCCGCGAACAGGAGCAATGCGTATTTATTTATAATACCTATAAGTGGAAACAAAAAGCGAGGATTTTTAACCAAATCGGGCGGCGTCGTTGTCCGGCTGACTTTATGCATAAATAAGTCCGTCGTAAGCTCCCTTTGCAAGACAAAAGCTCTTTCGCGCAACAAAGCTACAAAACTCCAAATAGCGAATAAAAAAAACGAAGCTCCCACATGCACACACACATTTGTACAAACTGAATTAGTGTTTTCCAGCCTTCGCAAGCAATTACTAAACCGAATACAGCTGCTCGGCTAAAGTTTTCTATAAAATTTGTTTAGTTTCTTCTCTTGTATATTCCTCTTTCATCTTTATATTCGAGGAAGCTTTTGTAGCTCTTTGCTGCGTCGGCAGAGCGATAACTTATTCTTCGATTATATTCGCGAGCCGCGTCGTCATTTCGCAATGTCGTCGCAACGTCGTATTGTATTGCCACTGCTACCGTTTAATGTATTATTTCTTATTCCGCATCTATTTATCTCTTCATACATGCGAGCGACAGTCTCTTCATTGTTTTTTTTTTATTTTCCCACCATCAAATTCAAAACTCTGGTGGTCCCTGAAACTGGCGTAAATAATGTCAGAATAATGTCAACCAACAATTCAAAGTCAATAGCAAGCAATAGGTATGGTTATATTTATCAAAATCCTAGTAATTCTAATGACCAATCATTTATTCCGTGTTTGGTCTGCGACGGAATGTTTCTTTGCATATGATCTTCTAATGAATAAGTCTCGACTTGAAAAGCATATACCGGTTGTATCAATTTTGGGTGCTGCTGAATTACCTGGTTTCCAATTGGATTTTGCTATGTATTCCAAGGTTCATCATGGATGTCTTCCAACTGTTGTTGAAGATACATCAAATTATTCGCGTGGTGTTGGGGGTGTTGCCTATCTGGTATTCGCAGATCATATTTACCGTCTCGATTATGTAAAAGGTGTTTGGATGGGGATTAACTCCAAAGCTAATATGCTTGTTAAAATTGGTGGAAAATTAAGAAGAGTATGCTGGGTATATGCTACTGCAACGGTTGAACCAGTATTAAGGGCGGATTTGTCGACATTACCTAAAATAAAAGCTCCATCCCCTACACTTATACAGGAAATGAGGAGAATTGCTAAAATTTTTAATTTGTCCAAGGAATATCTTGAGTTGTTGGACACCGTACCTGATAATGGCGATTATACTCCGGAATTACAGTTTCCTAATCCAAAGTTGAAAAAATCAGCTTGCAGCTGTTCAAAGCAGGATGAAAAACTTATTTTATTGCTTTTGCTTCATATGATTTTTAGTGTTTTTCGAAATAAAGGATTGTGTTAAATCAAATGGAACCGCAACTTTAATGATACGTATTAAAGGTTCTAAGTTTTAGGTGTTGATGAGTTTTGTAAATAATGTACGTTTGTTTCGCTATTGTTAACAGTTGCTAATATCTTTCTAGAAGTACACCGCAATAGTGTACGTGTAAGTGTACAGATATAATATGTATTTCTTTGAATATTTAAAATATTTATGAAAGACTTTATTGAACACTCTGTGAGCATAATTCAAATAGCAAGAATGAGGCATGGTAGTTACATATTCATTTACGTTTGATTACTATAGGCAACTCTTTTTACGCCGCAAACTTATAAAATATCAAAAATATTTGAGAATTATTGATTGTAATTTTTTACTATTATTATTGTTAGCAATTTTAATATAAATAATTGTTTAATTGCATATTTAATTCTGCAATATGCATGCAAGCTGACACTGGGTTATTAAAGTACTCAATACTATGGTATTACTATATGCAATACATTATACACCACGTAACGCCTCTTCTAAGTTGGCAACACCGGGCTACATCTCAACGATTAACGATAATTATAAAGATAATTACATTAAATAATTTTAAATTTTCATCCCATAGAAAATTTTCCAATCTTCAAAAATCGCGCCACATTGTTTGAAACACTATGTTGTTTTGTGAGGTACTATAAAGTGTCCTCAGATGGCGCAACGATGTAGATTTACCTCGAAATATTCCAGCAAGTGAATTTTGTTTTGTTCAGTCGGTGCGATAACGACGAGCACACATTCCACACTTTCGGCTTGTGTTATTCGTTGTTGCAAGTTCGGTACAACGTGTTATATTTTCTAAATCGCTGGTGATAATTAGTGTTAATAAACGTGTTTGATCTTTTAATGTAATCTTCGTAATAATTAATTGACTTGTGAAAAACATTTGTCATCAACAGAGGAGCATGGATCATTGTGCTTCCAGGTAAATATTGTCGTTCCTATGATTATTATGCGAATAACAAGAATTTTAAATGTTTGGGTTCTGACGGAAGTCAAATTTATTTCAACATCGCACGAAATGCTGTAACTAATGTTTTGTTTCGCATTTATTTCAGTATTCGCCAACTTGTCGTCGGTATACCATCTTCCATAACCGGTAAGTAAAATAATTTTATCATTTGTAAAAAATGTTTGCCGTGTACGTAGATTTCAATTTTGTTCTACGTTTTATTGTTGTTCTGCAATGTAGTTTGATAACGAGAAACAATGCGTATACGAAATAATTATCACTGTAATATTTGATGTAAAATTTGACAATCGGGCAGCATAAGAAATCGGAATTACATTAATCGAGTTTTAATTTTTTATTAATTTTTATACTTAATCTTTAAATATATACTTATATTTAAACTTTACTTAAACTTTATCAGCAAACGTGGGCATTCGACACGAGAATTGTGTTTGTTTTGAACACGATTTACACTTTCTTATCGCATCCTCTTGTGTCGTCGATGCCATCCCCTCTCGCCGCACGCTGCCGCATTGTAGTTTAGTTTCGATCGCATGTATTCGTGCCAAATGCAATTCGCGCACAAGGTCGCGGGCAGTCGTCGCGTGACATCGACGCGTCGGCTTTGCGCACCTCTTACTTTCTTCTCTTAAATTGTCGGATCGTTGCTTGCTCGGCTACGGCATGCACTATACGTGGATTATGGTCAATTTCGTGCAGGTATCTGCTAGCTTTAAACTTATTTCTCGCGTCTCGTATCGAAACCCACGCTGGATGTTTTACCTCACGAAATTAAATTATTTAAAATTTCCGATCTTCTATAATCTACAATTTTCTGGATGCAATCTCTTTTAGTTTAGAAGATATTCAGTGAAGATATTCACCCTTGGAACTTTTCTTATGAATTAAAATTTCATCCTTTAGATTTCCATTTTAACTAGACTATCTTATAGAGAATTTTCCGTAGATATCTGCGATTTGTTCATTCTTATCTTAATTAGTTTACGAGATATTCGCAATTGAAATAAATTGTCAAAAATTGAAAATTTGTAATTTTTAGCAATTTCAGTCGCGTTTTTGGACCTTACACCCCATTAAATTAAATTAATTTAATTCGTATTCGCATCAGATAGAGAATTTTCAAATCTTCCTTAATCTACAATTTTATGGTTCCAATCTCTTTTAGTTTAGGAGATATTCACTGTCGAAAATCACAAAATCGTCGATACCAATTATCAAGCACCCCCCCTTTGGCATTTTTTTCTTAAGAATTAAAATTTCATCTCTCAGATTTCCGTTTAAACTATCCTATCTTATAGAGAATAGTCCGTAGATTAAGACGCTGCGATCAGATCTTAATTATCTCTTTTAGTTTACGAGATATTCGCGATTGAATAAAATGGGCAAAAATTGAAAAATGTCACTTTTTAGCACTTTTACTCGCGTTTTTCGACCTTTTACTGTAGGAAATATAATTATTTTATATTTTTATCTGATAGAGAATTTTCCAATCTATCATAATCAGCAATTTGTTGGTTGCTGTGGCTTTTAGTTTAAGAGATATGAATTTTCAAAAATCGTCGAAAAAAAGTATCAAGCACCCCCCCTTGGAAATTTTTTCTTAAGAATGAAAATTTCATCTCTCAGATTTACGTTTTAACTATCCTATCTGATAGAGAATAGTCCGTAGATTAAGACGCTGCGATCAGATCTTAATTATCTCTTTTAGTTTACGAGATATTCGCGATTGAATAAAATGGGCAAAAATTGAAAAATGTCACTTTTTAGCACTTTTACTCGCGTTTTTCGACCTTTTACTGTAGGAAATATAATTATTTTATATTTTTATCTGATAGAGAATTTTCCAATCTATCATAATCAGCAATTTGTTGGTTGCTGTGGCTTTTAGTTTAAGAGATATGAATTTTCAAAAATCGTCGAAAAAAAGTATCAAGCACCCCCCCTTGGCAATTTTTTCTTAAGAATGAAAATTTCATCTCTCAGATTTCCGTTTTAACTATACTATCTGATAGAGAATAGTCCGTAGATTAAGACGCTGCGATCAGATCTTAATTATCTCTTTTAGTTTACGAGATATTCGCGTTTGAATAAAATGGGCAAAAATTGAAAAATGTCACTTTTTAGCACTTTTAGTCGCGTTTTTCGACCTTTTACTGTAGGAAATATAATTATTTTATATTTTTATCTGATAGAGAATTTTCCAATCTTTCATAATCAGCAATTTGTTGGTTGCTGTGGCTTTTAGTTTAAGAGATATGAATTTTCAAAAATCGTCGAAAAAAAGTATCAAGCACCCCCCCTTGGCAATTTTTTTCTTAAGAATGAAAATTTCATCTCTCAGATTTCCGTTTTAACTATCCTATCTTATAGAGAATAGTCCGTAGATTAAGACGCTGCGATCAGATCTTAATTATCTCTTTTAGTTTACGAGATATTCGCGATTGAATAAAATGGGCAAAAATTGAAAATGTCACTTTTTAGCACTTTTAGTCGCGTTTTTCGACCTTTTACTGTAGGAAATATAATTATTTTATATTTTTATCTGATAGAGAATTTTCCAATCTTTCATAATCAGCAATTTGTTGGTTGCTGTGGCTTTTAGTTTAAGAGATATGAATTTTCAAAAATCGTCGAAAAAAAGTATCAAGCACCCCCCCTTGGCAATTTTTTCTTAAGAATGAAAATTTCATCTCTCAGATTTCCGTTTTAACTATCCTATCTGATAGAGAATAGTCCGTAGATTAAGACGCTGCGATCAGATCTTAATTATCTCTTTTAGTTTACGAGATATTCGCGTTTGAATAAAATGGGCAAAAATTGAAAAATGTCACTTTTTAGCACTTTTACTCGCGTTTTTCGACCTTTTACTGTAGGAAATATAATTATTTTATATTTTTATCTGATAGAGAATTTTCCAATCTATCATAATCAGCAATTTGTTGGTTGCTGTGGCTTTTAGTTTAAGAGATATGAATTTTCAAAAATCGTCGAAAAAAAGTATCAAGCACCCCCTTTGGCATTTTTTTCTTAAGAATTAAAATTTCATCTCTCAGATTTCCGTTTAAACTATCCTATCTTATAGAGAATAGTCCGTAGATTAAGACGCTGCGATCAGATCTTAATTATCTCTTTTAGTTTACGAGATATTCGCGATTGAATAAAATGGGCAAAAATTGAAAAATGTCACTTTTTAGCACTTTTAGTGGCGTTTTTTGACCTTTTACTGTAGGAAATATAATTATTTTATATTTTTATCTGATAGAGAATTTTCCAATCTTTCATAATCAGCAATTTGTTGGTTGCTATCGTTTTTAGTTTAAGAGATATTAATTATCGAAAATCGTCGATAAAAATTATCAAGCACCCCCCCCTTTGGCAATTTTTTCTTAAGAATTAAAATTTCATATCTCAGATTTCCGTTTAAAATCCTATCTTATAGAGAATAGTCCGTAGATTAAGACGCTGCGATCAGATCTTAATTATCTCTTTTAGTTTACGAGATATTCGCGATTGAATAAAATGGGCAAAAATTGAAAAATGTCACTTTTTAGTACTTTTAGTGGCGTTTTTTGACCTTTTACTGTAGGAAATATAATTATTTTATATTTTTATCTGATAGACAATTTTCCAATCTTTCATAATCAGCAATTTGTTGGTTGCTATCGTTTTTAGTTGAAGAGATATTAGTTATCGAAAATCGTCGATAAAAATTATCAAGCACCCCCCCTTTGGCAATTTTTTCTTAAGAATTAAAATTTCATCTCTCAGATTTCCGTTTAAACTATCCTATCTTATAGAGAATAGTCCGTAGATTAAGACGCTGCGATCAGATCTTAATTATCTCTTTTAGTTTACGAGATATTCGCGATTGAATAAAATGGGCAAAAATTGAAAAATGTCACTTTTTAGTACTTTTAGTGACGTTTTTTGACCTTTTACTGTAGGAAATATAATTATTTTATATTTTTATCTGATAGACAATTTTCCAATCTTTCATAATCAGCAATTTGTTGGTTGCTATCGTTTTTAGTTAAAGAGATATTAGTTATCGAAAATCGTCGATAAAAATATCAAGCACCCCCCCTTGGCAATTTTTTCTTAAGAATTAAAATTTCATCTCTCAGATTTCCGTTTAAACTATGCTATCTTATAGAGAATAGTTCGTAGATTAAGACGCTGCGAACAGATCTTAAATATAGCTTTTACTTTACGAGATATTCGCGATTGAAAAAAATTGACCCCGAAAATTGCATTTTTATGTTTGAATAACTAATTTTTGTTGGTTTTAGGGATTTTGCTCCTGAGTCTTACATCGTACAAGGACCATTCTTTCTTTAGATTGTAAGTATTCAATTTCTTTATCATTTTTCTAAATACCCTTTGTGATTATCTCACAAATTTACCCCCAAAATTGCATTTTTATGTTTGAAGGACTAATTTTTGATGGTTTTAGGGATTTTGCACCTGAGTCTTACATCGTAGAAGGACCATTTTTGCATCAGATTGTAAGTATTTAATTTCTTTATCATTTTCTTAAATACCCTTTGTGATTATCTCACAAATTTTGCCCCAAAATTGCATTTTTATGTTCGAATGACTAATTTTTGATGGTTTTAGGGATTTTGCACCTGAGTCTGACATCGTAGAAGGACCATTCTGGTATCAGATTGTAAGTATTAAATTTCTTTATCATTTTCCTAAATAACTTTTGTGATTATCTCACAAATTGACCCCCAAAATTGCATTTTTATGTTCAAATTACTAATTTTTGATGGTTTTAGGGATTTTGCACCTGAGTCTTACATCGTAGAAGGACCATTTTGCATCAGATTGTAAGTATTAAATTTCTTTATCATTTTCCTAAATAACTTTTGTGATTATTTCACAAATTGACCCCCAAAATTGCATTTTTATGTTCGAAGGACTAATTTTTGATGGTTTTAGGGATTTTGCACCTGAGTCTGACATCGTAGAAGGACCATTCTTGCATCAGATTGTAAGTATTAAATTTCTTTATCATTTTCCTAAATAACTTTTGTGATTATTTCACAAATTGACCCCCAAAATTGCATTTTTATGTTCGAATAACTAATTTTTGATGGTTTTAGGGATTTTGCACCTGAGTCTGATATTGTAGAAGGACCATTCTTGCATCAGATTGTAAGTATTAAATTTCTTTATCATTTTCCTAAATAACTTTTGTGATTATCTCACAAATTGACCCCAAAATTGCATTTTTATGTTTGAAGGACTAATTTTTGATGGTTTTAGGGATTTTGCACCTGAGTCTGACATCGTAGAAGGACCATTCTTGCATCAGATTGTAAGTATTAAATTTCTTTATCATTTTCCTAAATAACTTTTGTGATTATCTCACAAATTGACCCCCAAAATTGCATTTTTATGTTCGAAGAACTAATTTTTGATGGTTTTAGGGATTTTGCACCTGAGTCTGACATCGTAGAAGGACCATTCTTGCATCAGATTGTAAGTATTAAATTTCTTTATCATTTTCCTAAATAACTTTTGTGATTATTTCACAAATTGACCCCCAAAATTGCATTTTTATGTTCGAAGGACTAATTTTTGATGGTTTTAGGGATTTTGCACCTGAGTCTGACATCGTAGAAGGACCATTCTTGCATCAGATTGTAAGTATTAAATTTCTTTATCATTTTCCTAAATAACTTTTGTGATTATCTCACAAATTGACCCCCAAAATTGCATTTTTATGTTCGAAGGACTAATTTTTGATGGTTTTAGGGATTTTGCACCTGAGTCTGACATCGTAGAAGGACCATTCTTGCATCAGATTGTAAGTATTAAATTTCTTTATCATTTTCCTAAATAACTTTTGTGATTATCTCACAAATTGACCCCCAAAATTGCATTTTTATGTTCGAATGACTAATTTTTGATGGTTTTAGGGATTTTGCACCTGAGTCTGACATCGTAGAAGGACCATTCTTGCATCAGATTGTAAGTATTAAATTTCTTTATCATTTTCCTAAATAATTTTTGTGATTATCTCACAAATTGACCCCTAAAATTGCATTTTTATGTTCGAATTACTAATTTTTGATGGTTTTAGGGATTTTGCACCTGAGTCTGACATCGTAGAAGGACCATTCTTGCATCAGATTGTAAGTATTAAATTTCTTTATCATTTTCCTAAATAACTTTTGTGATTATCTCACAAATTGACCCCAAAATTGCATTTTTATGTTCGAAGGACTAATTTTTGATGGTTTTAGGGATTTTGCACCTGAGTCTGACATCGTAGAAGGACCATTCTTGCATCAGATTGTAAGTATTAAATTTCTTTATCATTTTCTTAAATAACTTTTGTGATAATCTCACAAATTGACCCCCCAAAAATTGCATTTTTATGTTCGAAGGACTAATTTTTGATGGTTTTAGGGATTTTGCACCTGAGTCTGACATTGTAGAAGGACCATTCTTGCATCAGATTGTAAGTATTAAATTTCTTTATCATTTTCCTAAATAACTTTTGTGATTATCTCACAAATTGACCCCAAAATTGCATTTTTATGTTCGAAGGACTAATTTTTGATGGTTTTAGGGATTTTGCACCTGAGTCTGACATCGTAGAAGGACCATTCTTGCATCAGATTGTAAGTATTAAATTTCTTTATCATTTTCCTAAATAACTTTTGTGATTATCTCACAAATTGACCCCCAAAATTGCATTTTTATGTTCAAATAACTAATTTTTGATGGTTTTAGGGATTTTGCACCTGAGTCTGACATCGTAGAAGGACCATTCTTGCATCAGATTGTAAGTATTAAATTTCTTTATCATTTTCCTAAATAACTTTTGTGATTATCTCACAAATTGACCCCCAAAATTGCATTTTTATGTTCGAAGGACTAATTTTTGATGGTTTTAGGGATTTTGCACCTGAGTCTGACATCGTAGAAGGACCATTCTTGCATCATATTGTTAATATTTAATTTCTTTATTATTATCTTAAATAACTTTTGTGATTATTACACAAATGTACTTCCAAAATTTATACTCGTGTGTTTTCTTTAATAAATAATATTTTTTAAGTATTTCTGATTTTAATTTGTTCTGTTATTTCAACCCGATCACATATTAAACGATCCCTTAAACCATTTATTTTAAAAAGTGCATGCTAGCGCCATCTGTTTATTGGAAACTGAAACTACTGAAAGTTTTGAGCTTCGACCCGTTGCCACTAGAGGCAGCACATTACTAGTTACCGCGAAAACTTTATCAGCCTCCTCAACTTTCTGCTCTCCTAATATTCAATCATTATTTTGTCGACTCTGGGAGGCAAAATGACACAAAATTTGGACTCGAAACAGTCGAAACTCAGGTTTTGGTATTCGGATCGCAGAAAGTGTAAGGAGGCTGATATAGTTTTGGCGGTAACTAATGGCGGGTAAAATTAATGTTTAAAATTCATTTATCAGCAAGTGCAGCTTCTGTATAAGTGGAATTTTTAAATTCTGTTTTCGGATTTTGTAAGCTAAACTTCTATATCGACTATTTATGTAATTATTTTCCTAACATTGACGTTTAGGCCCTATTTGCAATTTTAATTAAAAAACTGTTTTTTTACATGCCAGTAGGGCCTTAATCTATAAGTGTGTTACTGGTTTCCGATTCAGAATTTAATCTACTTTCAGAATCCGAAAACAGAATTTAAAAATTCCAATTATTACAGAACCTGCATTTGCTGAAAAAAGATTTCGTCATAAAAAAGGCAAAACATTTTTCTTTTTTATGTCGAATGTTGTTTTCATTAAAATTGCAAATAGGGCCTAAACGGTTAGCATAAACCAAAAAAGTTACTAAAATAATCGATGTAGAATTAAATTATCAATCATAATCCGAAAACAGAATTTAAAAATTCCAACTTTTAATTTTCAACATAAAAAAGAGAAATCTTTTGCCTTTTTTATAACAAAATCTTTTCTTTAAAAATTTTTTGTGCCATTTTTGTGGTTTTTCAATAATGATGCCATCTTGTCCAGAATTCTTCAAGGATCAAGAATATGTAATTATTTTTATTCTAGCCCTTTTAGTTGTCGAGATAATTACCATTTAATCTTCATAAATTAGGCTATCTCGACAACCAAAAGGGCTAGAATAAAAATAACTACATATTCTTGATCCTTGAGGAATTCTAGACAAGATGGCATATTTTTCTCAAAATGAAGAAATGGGCACAAAAAATTTTTAAAGAAAAGATTTTGTTATAAAAAAGGCAAAAGATTTCTCTTTTTTATGTTGAAAATTAAAAGTTGGAATTTTTAAATTCTGTTTTCGGATTATGATTGATAATTTAATTCTACATCGATTATTTTAGTAAAGTTTTTTGCTAGCATTAACCGTTTAAGCCCTATTTGCAATTATAATAAAATACGTGTATCCCGTCGGAATAGTCTAATTTATGAAGATTAAATGGTAATTATCTCGACATCTAGAAGGGCTAGAAAAAAAAGAACTACATATTCTTGATCCTTGAAGAATTCTGGACAAGATGGCATCCTTATTGAAAAACAACAAAAATGGCACAAAAAATTTTGTCGAGAAATTCTAGTGAAATTATACACAAAATTCTTTTGAATATTAGGATCGCAGAAAGTGCAGTAGGCTGCTGAATCTCCAGCAATCTTGAATAGCGGCGTAGTTTAGTTACTCGTGGATAGATGACACTAGTGATACCGTTTTTGAATTAATATTGATACAATATAAAATTGATTTTGAACTATTTTCCATATTTAGCAGTGGCATTTCCAATAAAGTTTAAGGGATTTATGGATTAAATAAAGGAGTAACGATGTTGCGAGCTAAGTTCTCCGTTTGGAACAAATAAAACGATAAAAATTTATAGTCAAAAATATAAAACTACAATTTTATTCAAAGAAGTAGAATATACACAATCACAAACTCAATTTCTCAATATATACAGCATTTTCAACAATACAAGCAAGAAAACAGGATAATAATATGCAATTATATAATGCTCTTTTCATAACTTAACAAAATAAACAAAAATGATATCAATAACAGCTTCCAAATGTTGTAAATTCATTCAATTGTATTTGGAATCATCATCAACACCGGCAATCCAATCTTCAATTTCTTGTACACTATAAACCAGAATGAATAACAGAATAGTAAAATATAAAATATTATAAATTGCCAAAATATAACATACGTTCTTGGAACTTAAGTCCAGTTGACACATCCATCTTCAGTAATTAAAACATAATCCTCAATACGGACTCCTCCACCAGTACCACGGAACCTCTCCAGTTGGTCCCTATTGATAAACTTGGTCATCTCAGGATTAGCCAATGCTTCATCCAACAACTGGAAAATATTTATGTAAATGAAGTATACATATACATAAATTAAATTAATTATTTTTACAGAATCCATAAAGATTCTCATTTAGGGCACCGTACGAAGGTAGCGGTAGAAGTGACTCCCATTCAAGGCACCGTACGAAGGTAGCGGTAGAAGTTACACCCACCCAGTTTTGTACACCATGCAATAAATCAAACCTATATTAGTCGTAATGTTCAAATTTTCGCAGGTTACAGGTCGAATTCCTGCACCTAACAAATACCACTCGGCGGAGAATTTAATTCCGCATCTTTTGATGCTGCGCTGAAATTGAGACGCAAACCCGAAAAATACAAACATTGCACGAAAACGGTGAGTAAATCACCCTGCAAATTTTCGCAGGTTACAGGTCGAATTCCTGCACCTAACAAATACCACTCGACGGAGAATTTAATTCCGCATCTTTTGATGCCACGCTGAAGTTATTGCGACGCCAAGAGCGAATACAAACCCGAAAAAATACAAACATTGCACGAAAAACGGTGAGTAAATCATTTTGAACAAATTTTTACGGGTTGCGCGTCGAATTCCTGCATCAAACTAATACCACCCGACGGAGAATTTAATTCCGCAACTTTTGATGCCGCGCCGAAGTTATTGAGACGCCAAGATCACGTTCAAACCCGAAAAATATAAACATTGCAGGAAAAACGGTGAGTAAATCACCTTTTAATGCAAATTTTTACGAGTTGCTGGTCGAATTCCTGCATCAAACAAATACCACCCGACGGAGAATTTAATTCCGCAACTTTTGATGTCACGCTGAAGCTATTGAGATGCTAAGATCATGTGCAAACTCAAAAAAATACAAACATTGCAGGAAAAACGGTGAGTAAATCACCTTTTAATACAAATTTTCCCGGGTTGCAGGTCGAATTCCTGCATCTAACAAATACCACCCGACGGAGAATTTAATTCCGCATCTTTTGATGCCACGCTGAAGTTATTGCGACGCCAAAATCGAGTACAAACCCGAAAAAATACAAACATTGCACGAAAAACGGTGAGTAAATCATTTTTTAACACAAATTTTCACGGGTTGCAGGTGGAATTCCCGCATCTAACAAATACCACCCGACGGAGAATTTAATTCCGCATCTTTTGATGCCACGCCGAAGTTATTGAGACGCCAAGATCGCGTGCAAACCCGAAAAAATACAAATATTGCACGAAAAAGGGTGAGTAAATCACCTTTTAATGCAAATTTTCGCGGGTTGCAGGTCGAATTCCTGCATCAAACAAATACCACCCGACGGAGAATTTAATTCCGCATCTTTTGATGCCGCGCCGAAGTTATTGAGACGCCAAGATCGCGTGCAAACCCGAAAAAATACAAATATTGCACGAAAAACGGTGAGTAAATCACCTTTTAATGCAAATTTTCGCGGGTTGCAGGTCGAATTCCCGCATCAAAGAAATACCACCCGACGGAGAATTTAATTCCGCATCTTTTGATGCCGCGCCGAAGTTATTGAGATGCCAAGATCGCGTGCAAACCCGAAAAATACAAATATTGCACGAAAAAGGGTGAGTAAATCACCATTTAATGCAAATTTTCGCGGGTTGCAGGTCGAATTCCCGCATCAAAGAAATACCACCCGACGGAGAATTTAATTCCGCATCTTTTGATGCTGCGCCAAAGTTATTGAGACGCCAAGATCGCGTGCAAACTCGGAAAAATACAAATATTGCACGAAAAAGGGTGAGTAAATCACCATTTAATGCAAATTTTCGCGGGTTGCAGGTCGAATTCCGGCATCAAACAAATACCACCCGACGGAGAATTTAATTTCGCATTTTTTGATGCCACGTCGAAGCTATTGAGATGCCAAGATCGCGTGTAAACCCGAAAAAATACAAATATTGCACGAAAAAGGGTAAGTAAATTACCTTTTAATACAAATTTTTGCGGGTTGCAGGTCGAATTCCTGCATGAAACAATTACTACGCGACGGAGAATTTAATTACGCATCTTTTGGCGCTGCGCTAAGGTTATTGGGACGCAAAAATCTCGTGCAAACCCGAAAAAATTCAAACATTGCACGAAAAACGGTGAGTAAATCATCTTTTAATGCAAATTTTCGCGGATTGCAGGTCGAATTCCTGCATTAAACAAATACCACCCGACAGAGAATTTAATTCCGCATCTTTTGATGCCACGCTGAAATTATTGAGACGCCAACATCGAGTGCAAACACGAAAAAATACAAACATTTCATGAAAAAGGGTGATTTTTTAATGCAAATTTTCACCGGGTCCATACGGTGCCCTGAACACGAGTCACTTTTACCGCTAGCCTCGTAAGGTACCCTGAATCGAGTCACTTCTACCGCTAACAAATACAACCCGACGGAGAATTTAATTCTACAACTCTAGACACCCCGCTCGAGTTTGTGTGGCGCCCAGCTCGCGTTCAGTGATTAAAAAAACGTACATATTACCAGCACGTGGGGATAAGTACAAAACAAACACTTAGTTACACATACCACATACCAGTATTTCACTCGTTGCAACACTCAGAACTATTGTTGAAGCTGATAAAATCTGTGAAATAAATAACATTGTTAAGCGGAAATGCGGGAAGGGGTGTCAATATTTATTTTATTTTAAATCGAACGACGAAGCGAATGAAATTCGAATTCTAACTTAGCTCGTAAGTCAGGCATCGGAACTCGAAGGCAATTGCTAAAACAGAGATGAAAACGATAGTTAGAACATTGCGTGCAAGTAATGATAAAATAAAGCAGAGACAAAACATGCAATAAAACTTCTGCGCTAAGTGTAAAATGATATAAATGCGACACGAAAACGTGTTTATACACAAACGAATACTGATACTAAATGAAATAGAGAGGAACGGATTGTAGATTGGCAATCTACATCAAATATTCTATATAATAAGCTAGGTAGTTGCAATTTGCATCGCAAAACACTATAAATGATTCCTGAACACGAGTCACTTCTACCGCTGCCCTTGTACGGTGCCCTGAATACGAGTCACTTCTACCGCTGCCCTCTTTTAAACTAAAATCACAAACGACAAACGCAACACAGAATATGAAAGTTAAGAAAATTCTCTACCAGGTAATAATTAAAAATAATTTTATTCCGTAGGATATATGCGATCAAAACTAAACAAAAATATGCTACATGCGATATGAGCAGATTGCAACGCGATACAAAAAACCTTGTTTATACTCAAACGTTGATAAATATCCCATCCATCTATGAATTATACAGTAACTAAAAACAAACAAATTTCCAAAATTCTCCTAAAATGAAAATGAAAAACCTTTCAGTGAGATGAAACAAGTATTGTCCTTAGCAAATGGTTTATGAATTATTTTCGACCTCTCCTATTTTTCCAATTTGAATTGAAAAAACCGAGACAAAAAAGGGGATAGGGATGGTTAGGGCGGAATTCCGCTGTATTGCATCTTCAAGTACAAGACTTGCGCTTTTGTAAGCGAAGGAAAAACGCGGTGGACTGCGATAAATCAAAACAAAGTAAATACAAACTAATAGAGGACGCAGAAATTAAAACGAAAAATATAATTTAATTAAAAACTTACCAATGCAAAACTCATTGACTCCAAGGCACGGCAAATACTGTAAACAAAAAGAGAAAACATAAGTTAAAGCAAAAGTATTGCATACGGTTCAGTAAAATAAAATATTTCATACGTCTCGTTGAAGCAATATTATAATCACACAGCGGGGAAAAACAAACAATCTGTGCTGTTTAGTTAAAAATTACTTACACCAGCACGATGGGTCATCCTAATGATGAATATCAAATCAACATGGGGGCGATACACTTAACCGGAATTTATGGATAATATACGCGCAAACAGTAAATAACATTACTATAGTGGATTGATGATCGAAAATAATGCGAATTTGGAAAGTAGATGTCCGGACAAAAAATACGAGTCGCGTAAAATACGTCTGGATCAACCAGAGACCGGCACGAAACTGGCTGCAAACTGTGCAAGCAACAACGCAACAGTTAATGACACGATAGCAATAGCACGTAGCACGTAGCACGCGAACTTGTGCGCGAATTGCAAAAGACACGTATTTATTGCAATAAGAACAAAACTAAAATGTGCTGCATGCGACCGCGCGTTGAGAATCTTATCCGTAGCATCTCGCACGGCGAATGCGATAAGAAAGTTGTTTATACACAAACGCTGATAATAGAGCTGTTCAAAAGGAAATCAATTCTATTTTATGATTCATGCTAGTGAACTAAAATTGAAATCATGAAATTATGATTTAAGGTTTTATTGAACATCGTCAATAAAAAATTGAATTGCCCTTTTCAGATTTTCTGCGGAATGCTTAAAAGAAATTTCCGCAAAAATAAATTTAAGATATCAATTTCCTAATTGCAGGAAAACAGATACTTAGAATGATAGAAAATTTACTTACCAGTGTATCGAACACCGAAAAGTTTTCGGCGAAAACCAAATGCGAGTAAATACTGAAATAAAGAAGAAACACCATTAGTTACACCAATTATTTAAATGAGTATTCTTACCAGGTAGCACATTGATCTGACGAGTTCTGCTTAAAACAAAAATGGTTCGCACAAGACCAAAATTAATTACAATTACAATTATTTACAATACCACATCAAGGCGGCCCGCGTCCGACGGCAACCGATCAGGAATACATGCGAAAATTTAATAAATATACAAAATATTGAATTCCAAAGATTACACACGCGAAAAATATTTAGCGAGTGACTAAACCCAACAATTAACACTAAATTCAATGAATGCGATATACCGAATTTACAATGAGAAACACGAATACTCGTCGGAGTATTATTACTTGCCGCACGAAGTAAGAGCTGCCTGCCGGGATCACATCTGTGCAGGTCGACTTATACTCGCAGGAATATTTTTAGTTAAAATATACATCGTTAGGCCCTCTGACGATACTTTATTGTACCTCAAGAAAATACAAAGTGTTTCAAAAAGTATTACGTGCATATGAGGCAGTGTGAGATTGCATATGTGTCAGTAAGTGGTCTCGCATTTAAATGATCGTGTCCGTGTGTCACACGTACACGAAAGTGCGCATGCAGTACCCTATCTAAACGAATAGCAAATTTTACACGTAACTCAAAACTTCAAAATAGACGCCGCAAGGATGTACTTATTGAAAATAAATTAATCAAATTTTGTAATTTTAATGCAACTATTCATCAATTTAATATATGTTCGTAGAACGTTCGACGTTGCTCAAGGCTGACACACTGAACTCCGAACGGAATATCGCAAAACTTTCATGAAAATTTCCGCGAAAAGTTCCGGCTTGTAAAATACAAAATGTTCAAATACAAAAATATACAGAAACTTTACATACTAATTCGGCCTATTGGCAAGTTCCGATTTGTGAAATACAAATCTAATGAGGATCTATCGTATTTACCAAATGAAAATCATCAAAAGTTTACGGGTTCAAGAAATGTTCAATAAACCTAAACGATAGCAAGTGACTTTCTATGTTGAAATAATACTATCACCAAATTAAAAAAGAAACTTCACGAGCTGCGACAGCGATCACTCAACGAGAAACGTACTTTAAAACCGGCGAACGTCGCACAACACCAACGCACAATATAAGCCAGTGAAAATAAATTGCAGGCTAAAAAGCATGAAACTGTATGTGGCGCCATCTATCGGCATGCGAAATAATGACAAAGAAGAAAGTGTCACCAGCTTTAAATTTCCTGGCGCCATCTAGTGGTGGAGGCCAGAAGTACTTAATTATTATAGGAAACTGTAATTGGGTACAGTATTTCTTTCAAACCTGTCATTCTTCTGTGGGGGAAGCGGATTGACAAGCGCAAACAATTTAATTCAAAAGCAATGAAAACTTTGCATGTACAACGAAAAATGAAATTTATAAGAAAGAAAACTTCATTACCTTAAATTCAATGTGTGTTGTGACTATTCTAGTACAGCCTTTTGACTTGTTAATGCCCTAAAACCAACAAAAACAGAAACAAATCAGACGAAATATGCAAAAACATTCAAATTCCTTTTGTTAATATTCAAACAAAGTTCTCTGATACTCAGATAATAAATTAACAGGTAATTGAATTTTAAATGAAGCCATGAAGCGGTAAATTTAACTTACCAGGATCAAATGATGATACTACATCTTCAAAACCGGCGAAGTTAAGTGTGTGCACAATGTTTGTTTCGCGAAATCTTGACAATAACATCTATTTTGAGGTAGTGAATATATAAAACGGATAAATCACGATACAAAGGTTTACTTTAACGAAAAACTAAGTACAAACAGCGTTGTTTATATTGTGAGAACGCGCAGTTATGAATAAAAAGACGAGCGACACACTCCCACAACGGACGAGTTTATACTGAAGTGCGAAAATGACATTGATACAAAGCGCAGTGCTGCCAACTTAAAATTTGAAAAACGCGTATACTTGAACCATATTGGTCCCTGCTGCTGTTAAGTTGCACCGGCGCAATCAAAAATACTGTTTTAATTACGGCGTTAAAAGTTTATATAATTTAATTTAATTTAAAACGTTACCTAAATCACGACAAAATATGAACCGCGTTATGATGCTAATAATAATAATTCGTACGTGTAACGTACCGAAGAACAATGATGATGTTTTGTGCATGAAAGTGTGACTTTTGTTGCAATAAACTAAGGTGTCTTTCTTTATAGCCGCATCTTCCATTTTTACCGAATGAAACATATGTCGACAACTATAACTTTCATTCGTTTTATATGCTCCAGAATAAAATTACGTGTGGCTTGAAGTTGTTGCTTGTTATGTCTCTGTGCACGCGACAAGCCAAGAAATAAAACCAAATAAACTTTGCAGTTTTTCGACCCGTCGAGCATAAACAATAGCGATTTTCCGATACGCGGACGATACGTAGACTATGACAATCATGACAATAGAATTACGCGAAAGCCACACGCATTACGAGCACTCTTTTGTCTCCATCGCCATATTGTTTTCTATACTTACACTAATAGGAATGATTGGTGTTTGCGTGGGGGATGCAAAGAATCCATGTGGATATAAAAGCAAACCAGCTTGTAGATTAAGTCATTCAAAAACATTTCTTCTCACTTATCAACGGTGTGGTGTTCTCTAGCAAAGTGCAGCAGAAAAGTGAACTTAATAATAACATTAATCAAATTAAACGAGTTAAAAATGTGTTTTAAAGTTCAAGTTGTCTTTGTGCTTTGCCTCATTGGTGTGTCAATGGCGGCCATTTCTACAACAGGCGAATCCAATGAGATTAAGTAAACTATACTTAAGTAGTATTAATTACCTTAAATTAAACAATTGGGATTTGAAGTTCTAGAGGTCTCGACGCAAAATTCATGCTAAATTCATTGGCGTCGAATATCATGTCGCGAGGATATGCAACCACAGCTAATGGCGGCTCACAAGTCGTTTCATTAAACCTAACCAATCTTTTGGTGCTGGTTCTATTAAAAGCATTGATTTTCGCTGCTGGTAGCTTAGGTGCTGGTACTTGGAAAGGTGGATATGGAAGATCAGCTGATGGTCAAGAAGAATTACTAACAGAAGATGAAATACTTATGTATTTAAGTTATCTTACTGGTTTGTTACAATCATATAACCTTAAATCCTCCATTTACTTAAACATAACCTTATTTTTAAGGCTCACCAGGTAATAATGCTTGTTTACAAAACGTTGCGTGTCGTCAACCTAACCAAGCTTCACGCTACACCACAGCCGGGGAAATGTTACTAAAAGCAGGTAAAATGTTACAACCAGGATCAACGGAAGATTATGAATATACATTACGAGAGGTAAAGGAAGCAGTTGATTTTGGTAATACAGGAGGCGATTGTGGCGCGCGATACTTCTGCGGCGATAAGAAAGCGAAGAAATAAATTTTGTACACAATTTATTTTATAACTGTATAAATAGTATAATTATGTAATAGATTATATATAAGGTATAATAAAATTCTGTTTTTGTTTGTATAAAAAGAAGGTTAATACTACTATTACGATATTTGTACTGATGGTAATGATTCAACTTGATCAGTTTGAAGATGAGGAGCTTTTCGGCCAGGAATTTTCGTTTCTTTTTCTCTTCCGGCTTTGTATTCAGGATAACTTAAGAAGCCGTCATTGTCAAGATCATCTTCAGCGAAAACTTTATCAATTAAGTCTGGAAATATAAAAATTTTCAAAATTTCAAACAAATTTTCAGTTAAATTTTAAATTTAATTGTCTGGTTTTATTATTTTTTATATTTTAATAATACCTACCTGTATAATATTCCAAATTTGTCTGAACCTCCTCAGCCAAAGCCTTCAAATCATAATCTGAATCATTCACACTATCAGATTCTTCACCTTCATGCTCATGATGTGTATGGTGTATAGCTTGCAGAATCTCTAGACCGTCCAATTTATTATTTCTATCAACATCATGCACTTGAAAGTAGTAAAAATCCAATTCCTCGTCAGTCAAGTTGTCCAAGTTGGGTTTGTCTATAATCTCCTCCAAATGTTCCTAAAATATGACATTTATCACATTTTATTACATAAAACTGACTTAACCTCAATTAAAGTAAGATCTAACCTCTAAATGTTCTCTATCATGTAGCAATTCCGAGTCTTGAATGATATTCTGCTCCACATCTTTGGTGGGCTTATAATGCACATGATGTTTAGCAATTGAATCGCCACGTGGATGATGTGGACCGCGGCATTCCACATCCCACACGAAGGTCAAATGAAGAGCAATTATTGTCAAAATACGCATTTTAAATACTATGTAATTCCTAAAATATAAAAATACATATTTAGGGTGATTTATGTTTGAAAATCAAAGATTGTAACGAGATATCACATCATACAAAAGGGGACAGAATAAAATCACTCGCATTTCAACCCTCGGCGTGGAAATATGTCGCTACAAATTGTAAATTCGAATGTTACGACGAGCAATCAGATCCTACAATTTGAGCTGTTATATACAAAGTGTTGTAAAAGTAAAATCTTCAAATAATTTAAAAATAAACCTTATTGTTTTGTTTTATCAATAGGGGTGGTTTTATGCAACACTTTGTATATAAAAGAACAAAACACTGTAATAGCACCCGTCTTAAAATCCACTCTACAATTCCATCAAATAGTATATTAAATACATGTACCTATTAATAGAATATCATCCCTTGTTCGCGTCCCCTAGGCACCCCTAAAAATTCACCCCTTAAAATCTAAGCTGCACTTGTCGCCGACACTAGGTACAAAAGTGCACATATGCATTTGCTCTCTCACTTGTTCGCACCCTCTGTCGTACAGATATGAATGGGTGATGCATAGGGTGGTGATGTGGTGGTGAGTGACTCCCTGTTGCTTCTCGTACTGGTGCACTTCAGGTCTTCGGATGCTTATCGACGACGCTTGTGCGTTTGTGCGTTGTGTGCGTATGTGGCTCCTGCTAATGACCGTCCCTTGAGGGTGCACTCGTCCGCAACCCCTTCATTAGTCCCTCTGTCGTGTTTCAATCGGACGCACTTTTTATTTATTTCTTACAATTTCACTTTATTATTACTACTATTACTGTTTGTCTTATTCTAGGAATGTTTTTAGATGTTTGGTAATCGAAATGTGTAATTTTGGTCTTGTACAGCGTAGGGGTGGTTGTGCGTTGTTGCAATGAAGTGATAACGTTGTTGGCAACTAGTTGCAGACGTCGTTGAACGTAAATGCGAGTGATGAACGCAAGAAAAATCACATCAAAACGAGAAACCGAAAATGGTGTGTTGTGCGTTTAGATTGTGCGCGTTGGTAATCGATAAAGCCAAGCGGCGCGCTCGACACCATCCAGAATTTTCGCATTGTTAGACGGCGCATGCGCGCTGATCCTTGCGTATCCCGAAAATTCCTGCATCCGGAAAATCTTCTCATGGAAATAAATTCGTGGAAATTCCTATAGATGTCGCTGTTATTCAACTCATAACTTTTTAGATATTTTTTTGTAAAACTAAACTAAAACTCAACAAAAATTAAATAAAATTTAAAAATTTTGTATAAAAAATTTATTTATTTACACATATTGACTATATTTTGGTGGATAGTTGATTGCTACAGATTGCACCGGAAACGCAGAGCTAGGGCTTCACACGAGACGAGACTGGACGATACTATCAAAGGTATCGTCTCGGTCTCGGTATCGTCTCGCAAAAGCGATACGAGACCGAGACGATACGAGAAAAGTCTCGGTATCGTGTGAAGCTTTAAGTAGAACTCAGTTTTAGATCTTTGCAGTTCAAAAGTTTAGTCATTTAATTGCTAATTGCATGTATTGTAAAGTAAATCCAAAATACATACATAGTTTAAAATATTAATTTTTTAATTGCATCACTTTTAATTGAAAATATATTTTTTAATGTTTCAAATTTTTAAACGTTAATGTATACTAGGATACAATAATCGAGTTGATTTGTGTTGAAAGTAAGCGGCGCACGTCTACAATTCCTAACTTACCCAGATGTATACAATATCTTTGCTTCAAGAAGTACAGAAAAACACAAAAATATGTCTCCGGATGTCTAAACAAAGACAAAATTTTCATAAAACTTTCAAAAAGTCAAAAAGGTCATGATATTCGGTTACTGACTTGTTATTTTGAATATACAAAAGAAATATTTCACAGATGGTCATATATTGGATTTCATATATTGGACCTTTTCCCATTTTTCTAATAACAACTTCATAAAAAAAAGTAACGAGACCAATAACGAGACCAAAAACGAGACTCGGACTGTGGTATCGGTATCGCCGAGAAATTGATAAAACACGTCTCGTCTCGGTATCGTCTCGCTTTTCCGAGACGAGACCGAGACGATACGAGAAAAGTCTCGGTATCGCGTGAAGCCCTACGCAGAGCACACAATCATCCCGACTTCCGGTCCGCCATCCGGTAAACATTTTCCGTCGGATGTTCCAACCCGGTGTAATTTTGTTTGACATGTCCAAAGTGAAATATTTTTTCAATTTAGACTTGTCATCTTTAAAAAGAAAAACAACCCTTATTTCTTTTCTTATTTCTGATTTCTATCGCTGTGCAATAAAATGCAGTTAGTACGTTTCATTTCGTTCTTATTAAATTGATGTCACCGGATGAGGTCACAAAAAAATGAGAGAAAACAAGAAATCATCCGACGGAATCGTCAAAGCATGAAATCTACTTAATATAATACTCGTCGTCTCAACGTTTCGGTTTTCGCTGGAGATATTCTTACAATAAAATTGCGTGTTTAATGATTTTGCAATTTTCTAGTATTTGCACCGAATAAAACAGAAAACTTTCCTTTTAATTTTATACTGATTGGATTTCTTTGTGTGAGTGTGTACGTGTGCGGCTTTGAAGAGCAAACATTGTCGTGATGGTAATAATTGCAACTCAGGATACCGCACGCCCATTCAATCTGTCGCCAAATCGTCCTTTGTCGGCGTAGGGCTGTAATACACAATTACGGTCGAGATATAATTATGTACACGTGATGCTCAATAGTCTCATTGCGCTTTGTCACAATAGCAAAATACTTAAAGCATAATTTTGTCAAATAACGATGTCAAAATTTATTGATTTCTGTTAATAATTTAAAAAAATACAAAAAAACGCTATTAGTTGAAGTACAAAGTAAGATATTAAAGTTTTTGTTTTTTGATTAACAATGTAAAAACTGTTTGTGATAATATTTTATTTCTTTATGACTGAATTTTAAATTAATTTTGCTAATATCTTCTACTGTCACTTTAAAAGCGCCAGTTTTTTCACAGTTTTGAGACAGGAAAAAAGTTACTTTAAACACGGACGGCCAAAGTACTTTAGTCATGGTCGTGACTAAAGTGCTTTAAAGTACGTTTTAATCACTTTTTGTCTCTCAAAACCGTGGAAAAACAGACTTTTTGAAGGTGAAAGTAGAAAATATATTAAATATCAAATGACTAAACAAAATAATAGCGAATTAAAGTTGATTTAAACAAATACGACTGAATTTTTGACTCCTGCGGTCAAAACAACAACAATGTCGCTGTAAATATCCCGTTTGACAATTGTACACATTTTTCTCTATTTCTCAATATTTTTGTTGATTTATCAGCGCGTACCTGCGTCGTTGCTCGCATCGTTTCGATTAGAGTGTCTATCGAGTCGGACGTTCGCAACGTTGCCCATCCATCCATCAGTCAGCAATGATTGAAAAATAAATTCGATTTTCCACCCTTCATCGCTCTCGCGCTCGGGCACGCTTCTTTCTTCTTTTTTTTTCACATCGTCGTTTTCTTATTTGCTATCTGATGCTTCTCGGGCTAATCTTACGACTTTTCCAACAATTTTCAACTGAGTCAAAACTAAAATCCAAGCATTATTGGTTTGTTTAAGAGTTTAAGGCTTTAAACTACCGCGCATGCGCATTTGATGAATTTTTTATATTTTTATTTAAAGATGTTTAAATTTAAGGTTTTTTCTATGCCCGGGAACGTTTTTAGAAATGATGTAATTCAACCCTTTTCGAATTAATTAAACAAAATGGACATGAATAATGCACGGCCCATGAGGCTCACCCTCCGGAATGCAAAATGTCGTAAGTCAACACAGCGTATAATGTCTCCGAGAACCTTTTTCCTATCCATGCTAAAACCTAACATTCTGAAGCCTCGAAAATTGCGGCACAGGTAAATAATAATTTCATGCGTAAACACACGCGACAACCCCTTTACACATTGAAAAAGGGTCGGTTTGCCCAAAACCGTAACCATACTCGAATTAAACCAGATTTCTCTCATCCGCATGAATAATTCCAGACAATTCGCAATGAAATAAATAAAATTGAAATAAAAAATTTTGTGTGATATCGATTTTAACCTGTTAGGATGGTTGAATGTTTGTATCTATTCGGAATTGGTAATTTTTGTTTGTTGCAATTTTGCAATTTCGCAATTTGGCGGCACGCGACGGCCGGCCGGAGCGGAACGAGGGCCGCCCTCTCGGTTCACTCACAGCCGCCGTTGCTGGTCTCTCTCCCGTCCCCGCTGTACGAGGGGAACGCGTGTGCGGTACGCGTTGCCCCGGCAACCGCACATCGCCGCCAGCTACGACCAGCTTATTGATCACCGGGATGCCAGGCGCCGCCACCATCCCCGACGACGCTGATCGTGATCGTCTCGCAACAATTCATATTGGAGACAACAGACAACAACACAAACACAACAACAAAATATCAATCAATTTATTTATAAATTTATATCATTTATATGCATTCAGACTGCGAATTTTTAAATTTTGTGCTAAAAATTATTTTTATTAAAATACAACGCACAATGCTCGAAATTAAATTAAACTTTATGAATATTGCGAACAATAAATCCCAGATGCATTTATATAAATTCATTAAATATTATTTTGTAAATTTATTTTTTCTATTAAAAGTTATTCTGTTGAGGAGGAAAAAAAAAAGAAACAAAAACACAAGGCCGAGGCGGTGAGCGTTCCGGCGCTGGTCGTCCATTAAAAAGTCATTAAACATCATCGCGAGCAATTACAAAGTTGGAAAACACGCGCTCCTTTTTCGCCCTGCCATCTTTTCTGAGATCACGTCACAAGTTTGACGAAAAAATGCACTTGGTTAAAGTTTTCCTCAGAAATTAATGCTTATACATCACATATGAATGTTAATTCTCATTTGTAATAAATTTATTTGTTTTTGAAGATTTTGAAGGTGGTTGGCACCTCCACCATCCCTGCCCGGAGGAAAACTGCTCGAGGTGTAGGAGGTACTCGTACTCGTGGTACACAAAATACATATTTACGAGTTTAGCGGTGCGCTCTAATGCTCCACGTCGGATGACTTTGCGTTATGGGATTTTACGCCCTCGGGCAAAATGTTACCCTCTTCGACTCTGTCTGCGTTTCAACAGCAAAAGTTATTTTCAGCACACGACAATGAACATTTCATCTTTGACATTTCTTAAAGGGTTAACAACAATTAAAATATAAATTTAAATTTTTAGTATTTTAAGTTTAGAAAACAAGTTTTGAGAGTTTTTTGACTTTTCCACCACAAAAACGCGTTAAAAACAAAAAAAAAGGTGGCGGTGATAATCGCATCTCCTGATCCACTCACCCCCACTAGTGTTTCAGCTAAGCCGAGCGATGCCCCACTGATGCCCACTGATACCCTCCGAATATCCGATAATTCGCCGATAATCCAAATGCACTTGTCGATAGTTTCTGGTTACCGATGCCGACGCGTCGCGTCTCGCCAAAGCAGGGGGTGCGTGCGTCCCCGTGGGGTGGCTGCGCGCCACCACGGGGTGTCCGACATACTCTCCAGTCGACCCTTCGAATAATCACAAATTGAAATAAAATTGTAATTTGAGGGCTGCACACATGTTACATGTACTCATGTGTCAAAAATCTACAAAGCAAGCAAATATATTGCTTTTCTTCCATATTTAACATCAAAAATAAAAATTAAACAAAATTTTTAGGTTTTTTTACGAAAAACTAACCTATAAGGCAAATTAACATTGAAACTAGTGCGCATGCGTAGAATTGAATAATTTCAATCAGATGTATGTACCACATGTTCCCGCTGTTTCTTGAACATGTTCGCTGGTGAATAATTCATGATTGCACTCCCATTGCGCACCGCGATTATGGAAAGTTTCGCACTCTGATTATTCATTAATCTGTGCGTGCGCGTGTGTCTCACCGCACAATTGCCTTAAAAGTTCGCTTCGATCTTTTCCGCCCCCGGGAACGTCACTCAACCTATCACCGCAACTTTTGCGCGCACGATTCTTCGCCGCGTTTAACGCTTCGCTCTTAATTAATGCTTGATTTGATTAAAACTTTTGCTTTTCACCCGTCAAAAATACAAAAATTTAAAATAAAGCATTAACCAATCACTACTTTTCCCTAACATGCAGCTTCAGAAATAATATTCACGTGTGAAACTTTGTTGTGACACAAATTTACACTTGAATTGTTCATTGATAAAGGAAACACTCAAATATTTTGATTGGGTAATTTTAGGTTGTCACCCGTTCGGGGCAGGGCCTGAATTTAAGCTTACAATGAAAATTTTAACCGTTCTATTGATAATGCTAGGCGCTGATTGTTGGTTACCGAAGTGCCCAAGTGCGGAAGTCGCAAGAGGTGTAATTTGCCGTATTCATCGACGGGCGCGCGTCGTGTAAATATTTACGCGCCGTCGGGGGTGAGCTTAAATGGCTGCGATCGGAAGTGTGCGCGCGCTAAGTGAGAAAGCGTGCACGGCACGTGTCGCTGCCAGCTTTATATTTAGCCTAAACCAATTGTCGAACAAATCAAGAAATCAAAATCAATCAAGTAATCACAAATTTCATTCAATATCTGCAAATATTTATTATTTGCTTAAAAAATCATTCAGATATTATTTAGTTTATTAAATTGTTGAAAATTTTACATAAATGCTGTTGAAATGGTTTGGAAAATAATTTTTTTAATGAATTAAAGTAAAAAATTCATAATTTTTCTGAATATTTGAGAAAAATTCAAGAAAAACTTATAATTTCTTTGTTTTTCGGTGGGAAAACATTATTATAACTTAATTTAAATAAAAATTTGTTTTTAAATCAACAAAAACACAAAATAATCGCGTAATTTTTGTAGAAATTTGATTTTTAGTAAGTTTTTACGTTTTTTACGTTTTTCTCCATGGAATTTTGTAATCTGAACATTATTACCATATAAACTGGTTCCTAACTATTGCAGAATTAGTTGCAACTGTGCAGAATTTGTTTGCATTGTTTACCGGGGGTGGCATTCGCGAAAGCTCGGCAGTTAGTTACAGAAAGTGCACGTAACGCAAAGCTGGGCGCACGTTTTGCCATCGAACGACGTCGACACGTTTGGCACTCTCTCCAGTCCTCGCATCCACCCGAATATATGTGTGTGCGGGCCACATTCACGCTTTGTTTGTGCGAAATACGCAAAAGAGGAAGCTTGCCAGCCGCCGCGAGAGAAAAGCGACGCGCATTAGCCTGCATCACGTATGCAAGGCTTTTTACCTCAGTAATTGGCCAACGTGCTTAAAGCTTTTAAGTTTGATGAGGCTCTCCGGGCGGCGGCGCGCGGCGCGGCGGCTTTATACATTTTTAAAAAGCTCTTTCGCCGTTGCTTTTTCCCGACTCTCAACACGCTACTGGATCAGCGCGTGCAAGGTGCACGAGGAAAAACATTAGCGCCGAGGCGCGCACTCGCGCACTTCACCGAAATGCGAAACATGTAAAAAAGCGGCTACTTTTACGGATTGCGTGTGTGGAGCGAGAAAAAAATATATGCGCATTAGCGATCCGCATAGAAAGCACTGAGAGTAAGTGTAGCACGCGGAACGCGATGCAGTGCATTAGTCACTTTCGACATTCAAAGAAACTTGCAAAATTACGCGTATTCCGATTTTATACAAAAATAACTACATATTTTATTCAAATTTACGAAAAAAATTTAAATTTGTGTATTTTAACACAAAATATCAAAAATAAACATAGGCAACTTAATTTGCAGCATTATTTTTAGCTAGCGCGCATGCGCAGCACGTATATAACCTAAAACAATTATAATTGTCTATAAAAGCTTAAAATTTGATTTGGTTGACAGAACATCTAAATTTATGATGAATGGCTGCACGAACCCTTTGATCTGCCATCATCTAAACAGCTAGTGATGATGTTTCCATCCCCTCACACTCACTTAAACATACAATCCGTCCCAAAACCACAATCCGAAGGTATATCACCGTATCAATATTTTCCATCGCTTTATATTGAAAATTGGCTGAAAACACTATGCAAAACATTTCCATTCAAAAAGAAGAAAAAACAAGCACTAGTCGTGATATCTCAATATCGCCATATTACAATATCATGATGAAGATGTAAAATCAACAAATAAAACAAGCAACCGGGATATATGCCATCTGTGCGAATGCAAAAATCGAATCCTGCAAGCCACCATTTTCGGTGCGTCTCCCCCAGGGATTGGCGTTGCTAGGCTAGCAGGAAAATTGGTGAGCCAATCGTATTCGTAGTCACCACCACGCGACAACCCCCATTGGCCCAATGTGATCATCCTGGACTCCTCCAACGTTTGCGCAGCCCGCCACCTACGAATGCAATTCTACAAGGATGGATTTATACGCCAAGGATAACTGTAGAAGAGGATGTAGTGCAAGGGTGGTGGTTGGAGATTGATGTGCGCGATCCGACCGGATAACAGAACAACGCTATCACGTTTTAATATTGTTATATTCGCTCGGCGTTCGGCTTAGGCAAAAGGCCGCGCTCGCACCGGGTGCACGGGTGGTGTGTATATGTTCATTATTCTCGCGAGCGGGCGGATGTGCGAAATATAATTAGATCAGTCACAGATATTAACAATATCAACGATCGCGCAACAATCGTATTATTCGCGGGCGTGCGGTCTTCGCGCGGTGAATTTTTGGTGTCTACTTGGTGCAACACAACTACTTACAAACCTGGTACTTATTGTTACCATTCAACAATAACAGAAACTTCATCAAACGGGTAAATTTTTTAGTGCGGTGTGTAACGGCCTTGAAGTGGATTTCAAGGGCGTCTCCAGTTGCCTGGGGGCCTTGGGCAATTCGCCATCAGCCCCCACGACGACGACCACCAGCGGTGGTGGTGGCGGCGGCGACGATCTCGCCTCGCACCAACAGTTCAACATCTTTCCGGCGATTTTTAGCCGCCAGCTGAATTTCAACGCGTGTCCGGCGGCTGCACAGAAATCCATGATGGACGACCTGCGGCCGAATCTCGTTGGAGTCGGTAACCTGCTGGGGGTGAGTGGGTTGTTGGACGACCATCATGGTCATCTCATGGGTGGCGGTGCGGCCGGTGGTGGTGATAATAAAGGCGCGCCGCGGAAGTGCAACACTAGCGGGTCTTCGGCGGAAGACTTTACCGCCATTTATGGTGGGCTTCAACACACCCATGACCATCATGCACATACTCCAGCGCATACGCCGCCTGCCGCCCCAGGACTATCACGGATCACACAGGTAATTATCAAATAATTTCGTTTAAAATTAAAAAAAATAAAAATGATTTTTAACGTAGGCAACTTTTCTTTCACTATTATAACCTTAAAGTTTAACCTATAAAAAGTAAGGAAGTAAATAATACTAATTAGTTGGGCTTCCTGCACAAATATAACATGTGCACGCGTTGACAATATGTCAAATTGAGTGTTAACCATCGTCATTATGTTTCCTCCCCAACCACCCTTGGTGTTGTCGCCCCGTCGCGGCTTTGTTCCGATATGGTACTCGACAATGAATGACAAATGTCCATATGTCATGAAAGCCCTGCAAAAGGACTTAATCCCTATTCATTTGTGTGTAATTTTTACGCTGTTACAAGTGCATCAATGAAGTGTTTTTATCATCGTTAAAGTACCATGACAAATTGACTAAAACCTGAAATATAGACAACTTAATATACACTGCATTGTATGTATGCAATCTACAAGTTAAAAATTAAGGTTATACTTGAAAGTTAAACGCATTGCTATTATCGGTATGTGACTAATTGTAATTAGGTTCGTTTGCTAACTGCATTAATCTCTCTAATGAATTCGATAAGCATCAGATATCAAAACCCTTTAATAACTTTCTCTGTTAATGTTCGTACTTGGATTGAACGTAATAGCGTTTTGTTTTGAATGATTAGATGACTTTTGGATTAGTTTAAGTCATCCCCAGCGTTTCTGTTCGCAGACGGCGCGTTCAAAAAGCTAAAGCCGGAACCGACGTCGGCGGGCAGCGGCGGCGGCAGTCTTGGGACGGTATCGCCTGGTGGTGGGCCGCAACACGCCGGGCACACGCCGACGACCGCCTCATGTCCAACGCCGGCGCGCCGACGTCATCGTACCACCTTCACGCAGGAACAACTCGCTGAACTGGAAGCCGCCTTCGCCAAGAGCCACTATCCTGATATTTATTGTCGCGAGGAGCTGGCGCGGAGTACCAAATTAAACGAAGCTAGGATTCAAGTAAGTTAAAAATATTTTTAAATTATTTTAGTGTTGGTAAAGTAAATATTTCAATATTAATTTAAAAATAAATCAAATATAAAGACTTTTTGTTAAAATTTTGATTTTTAGTAAAAAGCGATTTATCCCGCATAAAATATTATCAAAAACGCTTAAAAACGGAAAGGGAATTGTAAAATTAATTCTATTTGTTGATGTTTCAACTCCAAAGTTAATTTCTCACTGGTTACCGCGAAATTAAGCAAAATTAAACCGCGAAATATTTTTTTCGTTTTATGCTTAACCGGTCAAGTGTATTTGACTTGGTGCAGTTTAGTTTTGTTCGCATAGAATCTTTGATTGAATTATCCGTTCGTTAGCCGACGGCGCCCAGCACGACATCCCCTTCGAGACGTGCAACTGTCAAACCGCCCCTCAATAACAAAAAAACCTATTCTGAGTCATGCATTACCAAACTTCTCTCAACAAAAGAATAAAATTGATAGTCAATAAATATAGCAAGTAAATTCGTTCAAAAACGCTCTGCATATCGTAATAATCCAAATTTGCTATTAATTATAAAGCTGGCGAGTGCAAACGAAAGCGAAAATTCCCATCGTCATCATTAAGTTATTAAATATTTATGAGCGGACGATCCGCTCTTGCTTATTTTGACAAAATGCAAATCAAGACCAAAACGAATATCCCAAGATTACAGAAACGTATTAGAATTAGAATTGTTATTTTTTGCCGTAAATTTTTACACTGCTTTTATTCTTTGCTGAAATATGTATAGGTATAGGCAATGCGTGCCTATTTTATTGCTTTTATTCGTAGGGATATATGACACGAATATTCTGTGCATGTGTTTTTGGCGGAGCACGTTCGATTCGTTGCCGTCGGCGCGGCGTGCGCAATTCCGTCACTGGAAAACGCGGCTGGCGTGAAAATAAAACGTTTCGGGAAATTAAAATTCATGCGCGTCGTCGACGCGCCTGCCGACGGTCGGTTACCGTGAATTTTAATAACGTCGCAGCACGAAAACGCGCTTCACTCCTTTTTTTCTTTTCTTGCTGACATCCACAACCACCTCACAAGTATTCTAAATCAACAACGGTTTACTTTCATCTTGATACAGCGTTATATATCTTAATATATTATTTTGCAAGTAAATTTTAAAAGAAATTACAAATTCCTTTGAAACCTCTTTGTTTGCCTTTCTATTCCTATTTTATGATAATTTAAACAATTATTTTGCGATAGTTAATTTATTTTTTACTAGATTTTTCTAATATGAATGATTTTTAACCCAAAATTTAAAAAAAATAATAATAAAAAATTAAATTAAACTTGAACAAAATGAAGTATTATACCTTTTATATTAATGAGAGTAATCTTTTACCATTATCACTGTTTTTGTTTATTAATTACTTTAAATAAAATGAGAAATCTTTAAAGTTAAACTTTATCACTAATTGCTTAATAATAATTTATATCAAACTATTTAATTCTCATTCCTGCACTAAATTTAACAAAATAACCATTTTTTATGTGGGTAGTAAAATTAATGTGTTCCAACGCGAATGAAAATTTAAAGATGATTTGAATGTTGTGGAAACAATGCGAGGCAAAGTGAAACGCGGCTTTATTAGTATTCCTTTGATGTAATATCATAATGACGCATTGTGTACACGTACATTTTGCATGTGACGTCGCCGCCTCCGCCGCGTAAAACGAAACAAAGACCGAGCGAGGCGGCAGTGGGTCCCGAAACATTAAACGAAAACGCAGCGCGCGTGCAACTAGGCGAAAGAAAAAGGCGAAAGAACCGCCGCCCGCTTGTTGCCCGCCACGGCAGCAGCCGGCGACGGCGGCAGCGGCGTACACGTCGAAACGGCCGCCTCTCGCACTCATCCTCGTCCGCCCTCGATCCCATCAAATGGATCCGTAATCGAATTACGGACAGCGCACAACCCAACCCACCCCCCTTCACTCGGAGCGCACCGCCCCCCTTGAACAAAACTCACCCTCACCGCTGCGCGTCCCTTCTGTGCGCCTTTCGGGTACGGGTACGCGTATAACGTTTTCGTTTTCGTTCCGCGTTTCGTTTTCTCCCTATTTTCCCGGTTTTCGCTGCTGGGATGAACCGCCCTCGCAACGTTTCGCTGCCGACGGCGGCGGCGGCGGCAGCCACCCTCAGCAACTATTTCAAGTTTTCGTCGGCGAGGGTGGTGCGTTAAAGCGACGCGAATTTTCCAAGTCGAGGAAATGCAAAACTTGCAATTATTACAAGGAGAAGATTAAAATTGTAATAGAACCAATTTCGGCAGCCATCTTGTTGTCAAAAAGAGCGGCGTATTAAACTGAAGTCGAGCAAAACAAAGAGAAAAAAAACTTCGACAACTTTGTGTTGTAAACTTTCGGCACGTTTTTCCTCACTTTGGGAAACTTTCCTCTTCTTTTTCTTTTATTCGTGACGTTTTTTTTTCTTCTGTTCTTAGGGGTTGTTATATGTTGCTGAACTTTTAAGATCACGATCCAGATGAGATAACTTGTTAGTAGTCTAGGAAAAAATTTAAGAGTGGTGTTCTTATTTGTATTGATTGCGATTGTTTTTAGGTGTGGTTTCAAAACCGAAGAGCGAAATACCGAAAACAGGAGAAGCAGCTGCAGAAGGCGCTCGCGCCCTCCGTCCTCCCGGGATGCAATGGCGCCATGATGCGGAACATTTATCCAGGGGCGGCACGCGGCTACCAACCCTATCCACATCCGACGGCTATCAATCGTTATCCACAGGTAAAAATTATTTAAATATTATTCCGTTAAAATATTCATAAAATTCATTAAAATGTTAAAAATAGCGGCATGATCAATGAAAATTCTATTTTGGGCTTGTTTATGGAGGTTGTAGACATGAAACCGAAACGGTAGTGGTGACGACGGCGGCGGCGGCGGTGGCGGCGAAGGAAATGCGCGGTCGAGACGTAAACTAATCAACTAACCTGTTTGACCTCGGCTAATTAGGTTACCTGCGTCTTGCTAATCGCGTACCGGCACGCTCGCCGCCGCCAGCCGCCGCCGTCGCCTACCTGATTCGTTCGTAATCGCCGCCAACCGGCCGAGCGACCGTGCGACCGCTTTAAGATTCCACGCAGCCAAATTCGCAAACATGCCGGAAATGCAATTCGTCCTGTTGCACCCCTATCATCGTTCATTTGCATTCAGCCGGGTTTAACTCATTAAGCATTATCCTTTGATTCCTAACCACCAAATTATTAATCAGCACTGGTCTTGTCTACTTAGGCAACCCAACATACAATAACAAATACTGAAATAAATAATAAATGATTACTTTCAGATGAGTACAAGTTCATATCCTGGAATGGCGCAGTCCTTTACGATGTCCCATGGTACAAACATGTCCACCGTCGCCGGAATGCGTCAAGATGCAATGGGTAAGCGTCCACAGTTGGAAATTGCATGTTTACAAACAAGAAAGCTGAAAAATATTTAGTTTAATTAATAATTCCACTGCGTATACGCTGAGACGCTGGTCGTCTTAGATGATTTCCGCGAGAGTATCAAAGTTCCGGTCGCCGCCATCTTCCGCTTGATGAGAAACGTGTAATGGGGATTGCTCGCATGACGATTAACGGCGGCGGCGGCGCGAGACACGGCGAAGGAGAGCGAAAGGAAATTGAACATCTTGGCCGCAATCTCGGCGGCGCGGCGCGAGCGCTCCTCGAGAGGAAGCGGATAATTTCCCATAGGAGTCAGAGCGTAACTTTGCAACGTCTCACCGTCGATGTTGCGTTCGTCTTTCATTTCCCAGTTTGCTTTGACAAATCGCATCGAGTTTACAAATATTTCTATGAGTTCTTCACAAATTTCAATTTTATTTATCTGCAGCTACTTTCTGAAATAACACTAATATTAATTTAAGGTTAGGAAAACAATTTAAAACAATTTAAAGTTTGAAATAGCTAGTACTGTAGTTAATTTTAATGTTAATTAATAAATTATTAGATAAAGAAATACTTGTACCTTAATTACAGCAATAATTTAAATTCTTTTCTTCATTTTTCAGGCATGAGTGCAGAAGATGAATGGTACAACAAAAGTTTATCGGCGCTGCGAATGAACTCAACACACCATCCGAACCTGACAGCGCCAATGCTGCAGTACCAAACATAATAGACGATATCCCCGCATCCGCACGAATTGGATAGATTCGAGTAATCAGCGTGCGCCACCCATCACGAATCGCAAAGCGTGGGCGACGCGCGCGGGCGTCTTTTGTAATATAAAGTTCTTTTTCAACTAAATTCTACAACATACAAAAACTCACACGCAGCCACACAAAACAAATAAATCTACTTTATAAATATAGACAACACACTTAACACACGGATGACTTTAAAGACGATCAATTTGAATGTACGCTGTAAATCTGGTTTATAAGTGAGGACGTGAACGTAAACATTATCTTGCATATTAAATGAAACTAACATTAGGCATGATGTATATTTACACTATTTACTAACAACGATAACGTAATTGTTAGCATCACGAACAAGTTTTTGCGTTTTGACTTTAGTTGTGTCTCGTACGTGTAATTCTATCGCAGAAATTAAAAGTTCCTCAATGAAATTTCATAGTCACGCTAAATATTGAATGGACTGGACGAGTAAACATTTTTTGGTTGTGATTATTCGTTAATAGAGTATCTCGTGATTTTGTGTCATATTTGTTATATGCCTATTCTTATTTATTTCATTGTTTGCATTAATTAATTAAACACAATAACACGGAGTGTGCTGGAGCGGCGTGAACGATGTTTGTGAATCTTTTAGGCGATTCGCGACACACCAGCGACTTGTAGCTCATACGCATAAGATTAAAATGAATAAATATAATGATAATTAATTATTAACGCTAACTGTAAGATAATGAACGCAAATCAATCAATTGCTGCAAGCGGAGGCGGTGAGGTGATGATCTAAACTATAAAAATGAATTTAAACAAAAAAATTGTGAAACTAATGCGCAAGCAAACAATGAATTACGTACATGTATAAGAGTGGGGTGAATGCAAACTATTCATTATTGTAAATTAAAGTAAATTGTAAATAATTATGCAAATAAAAAAACATACAACTACTTATGCATTGCTTTGAATGTATAATTAAATGTCACACCTGTGAAAAACATGTAAAAACAATTTTTTTTTACTTAAGTTGCAAATAGGGCTTAAACGGTTAATGCTAGCAAAAAAAGTTACTAAAATAATCGATGTGGAATTAAATTATCTTTCAGAGTCCGAAAACAGAATTTAAAAATTTCAATTATTACAAAACAAAAATTATTTTATTTATCTCTAATGCAGTTTCTATTAAAATTTGCAAATAAGACCTTAATGGTTAGTGCTAGCAAAAAATGTTACTAAAATAGTCGATGTAGAATTAAATTATCTTTCAGAGTCCGAAAACAGAATTTAAAAATTCCAATTATTACAAAACGAAAATTATTTTATTTATCTCGAATAGTTTCCATTAAAATTTGCAAATAAGACCTAAACGGTTAATGCTAGCGAAAAAAGTTACTAAAATAATCGATGTAGAATTAAATTATCTTTCAGAATCCGAAAACAGAATTTAAAAATTCCAATTATTACATAAGGAAAATTATTTTATTTACCTCGAATGCAATTTTCATTAAAATTTGCAAATAAGACCTAAACGGTTAATGCTAGCAAAAAAAGTTACTAAAATAATCGATGTAGAATTAAATTATCTTTCAGTGTCCGAAAACAGAATTTAAAAATTTTAATTATTACAGAACAAAAATTATTTTATTAATCTCGAATGCTGGTTCCATTAAAATTTGCAAATAAGACATTAACGGTTGATGTTAGCGAAAAAAGTTACTAAAATAATCGATGTAGAATTAAATTATCTTTCAGAATCCAAAAACATAATTTAAATTTTTAATTTTGAATGCTCAGTAGACAAATTCGAAGGTGCAAGCTCCGCCCCGTGATTAAAACCCAAGACTAAAGTACTTTACTCACGGTTTTGGTATAAAATACCACTTTTTGCGTATTAAAACTTTGGAAAAACTGATGTTTCACAGGTGGAAGTAGAAAAATAATATTTACAAGTCAGTTTATTAAATTATTTAAAGAAAGATGTGACTCATTATTCCTTTATGTTAACATGTCATCATACACCAATGGTACACCTTCTGCTTCCATGACACATCACATTAACTCATCTGGATCTTACACAACTCCCCAATTAGCGTGTTCGTCTAATTAAAAATCTATTTGATCGCAATGAATAAGTTATTACGCGCATACATAAGCGATTATCAATATCTTGCGATAATCAGAATCATCGCAACCTCGCCAAGATCATATTTGTTCCTCTCTTCACTTATAGTCAATTACACAGCGTTCTGTGTAATGAAATGAAATGTATCGAAGATTACAAAGCCTTAATACAACCTAATTGATTGTGCATAATTCGATAAATTCTAGAAATGGACGATTGCGTGCGTCTTATTCATTAAATTAAATTAACAAATACAATATTCAGAAAATGATTCAACCGACGACTGAAAAAAAACTTAAGAAGAACCTAAAAATTAATATATATTAAGAAATCTTACAATTATTGCTAACAATAGGAGATATGCTAGAAATATAAATTAATAATTCTGTGAGAGTGTCACAGCTTTGTGTTTGTGTTGATGTTACTCAGCTATATCTAAAGTGAACACATTTCACGCTTACCCCCCCAAGTGCTATCCATAACGTAGCCGCGATTTGTTTACAATAGCCAATTACGTTCACGATTAAATTCATTTCCTATCTAACTAGCGTATCCTAGTTATATGAAAAAATAATCAAATTTATGTTGACCGTGCGTGCAGTCATTACGCTTACTCTGATAACATAATATTATATAAATTGGAAAATTTAAACAATTAACACTTATGGTAATATGTATAGTTATGTGAGTGGATGATTGTGTGCGGATCACGATCATTTCGCCTGCGCGACCGCCAATTTCTTAAAGTCCTTCTTGATCGGCGACGGTGAGATACAGATCACATCGCCGTTGTCGTTGGCGGCATCATCGACAATCTCGACGACTTTTCAGCCTCGCCATTGTTACCAGCCTCTTCGACGATTGGTCCGTTGTCGTTTTCGTACTCCTTCAGCACATCGTCGAGGTTGTAACGTTTACGGTAATTCAGGAAGAATGTGCGAACGTGCGTCTCTGTTTTATTACCGATGACATCGGCTATGCTCTTAAAATCCTTGCCGTATTTCCGCACGCCCTGGACGGCAAGGTGTAGCTCCTCATTCGTCCATCGTGCGTTTATACGCGACGTTGTATCGCCAGTCGTACGTAGTTCTTCAATGCTTTCAGAATGCTTGCGTTTCAGTGAACTGATTTGCTGCTTATTGTGTTGAATCTGCGTCAAAAATAATAAAGGATTTTAAGTATGTATGATATAAGAACTGCGTGCAATTAAATTCAACAGATATTCTACCTTACTACGATGAAATAAGACAAATGCACCACATGCAGCAAACTGAGAAACGAAGAAACAAAAGCAAAGAAAACCAGGTGCGCGTGATTAGAATAACTCGGACACACGGGTTGTATATGTATTTTTTTTTTGTTTAAGTTTTATTGGTTTGAGTAGAGAGAGGCTGGAACTCACTTGTCTCTGGAGAGCGTCCTGTTCGCGATTAAGCGCCTTGAGCATTAGAACGCCGGCGCCGCTCGTCGCCATAGCGGCGAGATCGTCGTGATTGATGTACATGCCGCGCGGAGGTTTGCGCTTGTGTCTGACTCCCGGCAGCGTGCCCCGTTTGCCGCCAGTCGGCCCCGAGGTTGGCCGCAATATGCCCGTGCGTCTATCGACGCGCACAAATCAGAAAAAAGACACGAGTTACAATAGTGAGCTATATTATTGTTGTTGATGTTGTTGTATTTTTTGTTTGCAACTATTAATTCACTGCCTGAATTGAGAACACGTACCTCCAATGCAGATAACAGGAATTACACAGAGTCCCCTTGGGAGTGACTTGTGTGTAGGTACAGCCGACGCCGCAGTTAGAACACGAGCCTCTCTCACCCTGCACACACACGTACAACAATCATACCGAACAAACCCAAAACTCATTAATGCTTCAGTAAATCAAAGAGTATCAGATGGTGTCAGAATTGAAACATTACGAGCACAAACAATAAAAATTATTTTCAAAACGCACACTTTGGGATTGTTAGGGATGCGTGCGAAAAATTATGAGCTGAACATAAAACTGCGTAAAACTTCCGCGTGATTTTGCTTCCCAATAAATGCCATGATTATGATGATGATGATGATGAAAACGCGATAGAAAGCAAAAAGAAAACTGCCAAAAACTACAAAACATAAACTACTGAATAGAAAAACATATTCGTAATAGTGGAAATAAATGTATAAAAAAAAGAACTTGTTCGACTATTATTTTTGCCATAGTGATTTGAGCTACCTGAGACGTATTCTCGTCTGGTGGTACACCGGCACGAAGTGGCGAGCCACTTTTACGCCTGATGCCCCGATGTATCGTCCATTTCTGCAAGATAACAATCAACTTTGTATATGACAAGTGCGCGGATTGTGTGCCCAAGGCGCTTTTCGATTTCAATTTCGTCGGATTTTTCGGTCGCACGGTAGAAAAAGTAAGACAATCGCATGCAGAACGCATTAGTGCATGCACAAAACATAATGTTAGCCAAAAACTTGAGCCCCCAAAATCAAACTCATACCCATCGCCCACAAAGATTTGCATAACGTAGTGACACGCACCTTGTCGTCGTGGTCGGAATCTTCATTGGAGCCGCCTTCAGAGCCTCCCTCGCTGGGTGTGCCATCCTCACGCGGTGTGTTCAACTTACGAGCCTGCTTGTCCATTAGACTAGTGCGCGATCGAGTTTTCTTCCAACTGTAGTAGTATTTCACAAGACTGGCGATACTTTTATCTGGTAACTGATGTAAAAGGTATTTAAGTAATTTCAGAGGCTTGCAAAATGTATACAAGATGAATGTATTACCATTTGTCGGATTCGATGAAAACTCTTCCCGTGGAATTGAAATGCTTGCTCAAAGAGTACCTTGTCTTCAACGGACCACTCATCAGGGAATGGTGTGAAGTTGGCGAGGTCAAGCACAGCGCGATCAAGGTCGTGTTTGTGCCAGAAGAGCATGCCCAATGCCTGCTCCCCATTGTAGCCATATTTGTCTTTGGCTAATGTGATGTACTCTTCCACTATTCATTCAAAAAAATATGTTTAACAATAACTAATTTTAATGTCAATAAAAATAAATTACGTTTTATTTCTGGAATATCTGTTGTAGGTGACCACACCAGCAGGGCTCTGTCAGCAAGCAATTCAGGTTTTCGCAAAGCTTCTGGCTGAAGCTCAGGACATGTGGCTTGGTAGTCTCGGCCCACCCTTATCTTATCCACTGGAACTTCAATCATAACAATTGCTTATTCAAGTCTTCAGTAAATAAAAATGTTGTAAAAGTGTCCAGGAGCTTATAAGCTTGGATATAAAAAATGCACATATTGTGATACATTGAAATGCGAGGCAAACATACCTGTGCTTTCGTCCTCGCTGGTGGACTCCGGTTGTACGTGACCGTTCGGACTTGGGCCGCGACTTCTTCGCCCGTTGCGAGCGTTGTCGTTGTTCTTCTCCGCCAACACCATGGTGGATATTGTGTATTGTTAAGTTGGTTTGTGTACCTGAACGTTGATGCTTCTATCACTAGTCGAGGTTCAGTTTCAAATGCGAGTGCGGAGATGAGGAACTCCTCTCGGTTGTGCTGTGCGAATCGAAGTAGCGCGACGGCGACTTCGGCATCTCACCGTAGTTTGGGCGACTCGCAGTTGGTTCGAGGCACCGTAGGCGTTGCCAGCCAGTCGCCGCACAGATGGCGATACTTCAAATATTCAATTTTATTTTATCAAATAGACTCAATTCATGGAAATTTAAACCAAAACAAACTAAAATTATATTTAATTAGTAAAATTATGTATTATTCTGTATAAAATAAGCATTTTGATTTAAAATATTAATAATTTGAAGTTCAGTGGTAGCCAAACAGCTCTATTTTAAAACAGTGCTACCAACGGCAACTAAGTTATTAGAACTGTTTGAAGTTTTTATAAATCAAATTTATTTAAAAACTAAAAAAAAGTAATAAACATAATATAATGTTTAAGTAAAATTGATAATAATATAGAAAAAGAGATTACTAAAATTTTTGATTTAAATACATTTAAATATACAATTATATCTAGAGGTAACCAAGCAGTTTTATTTTTAGTACTACCAATTCTTTATATTTCAAATTATTTTGTGTATATTAGATTATGTGCAAACCAAGGAATAAATATATTAAAGCGTTATATAATTATAACATAAGTAATTCTTTTTAATTAAAACATAAACAAGATTTAAAAACTAGAGTAATATGAACTAATACTTCACAGGTTGGAATTGAACCTCTGGTTTACTTACACGTCAACCTCAAAAACAAAACGTCACACCACAAAAACAACAAATCATATGTAGGTATCAATCAAATAATTGTTATTAACTTATTAAAGACTTGTAAAACTTGAAGCAATATGTCTTCTCTACGGCAAAAACAAATAAGTGCGTTTTATTATTTACAATTTTAGTTTAACTGGAAACCTTTATAATAATATTACATTTTCAGATGCGATTAAGCAAATGCTGAACTTAAATCAGCCCCAAACCAAGCTAAGTGCATCAGAACCCTTATGGAAAGTCTTAATTTACGACAGAGTAGGACAAGATATTATTTCACCACTAATATCTGTAAAGGAATTGAGGGAACTTGGTGTCACCTTATATGTGTATGTTTTCTGTGTATAAAAGTAATAGTTTAATTCTACCAGCGTATTAACTGATTTAATATTTTAGGCAATTACATTCTGACAGAGATCCCATACCTGAAGTGCCAGCTGTGTATTTCTGTGCACCCACAGAGGAAAACTTGGGAAGAATAAGTCAAGATTTTCAGAATGGGGTTTATGATATTTACCACTTAAATTTTATCTCGCCAATCAGTAGGCAAAAGCTTGAAGATTTAGCATCGGCCGCTTTGTCCGCAAATTGTGTAGCTAACATCCACAAGGTTTATGATCAATATGTGAATTTTATTTCATTGGAGGATGATCTGTTTGTGCTGAAACATCAGAATAGTGATAATTTATCATATTATGGTAAGATATAACTAAATTAAATTGTTTACAATGAAAAAAACGTGATTTTGTGTTTGCAGCTATAAACAAGGGGGATATAAAAGACACGGAAATGGATGAAATCATTGATAGCATTGTAGACTCTTTATTTTCGGTCTTTGTGACAATCGGTACTGTGCCAATCATCCGCTGTAGAAAAGGCAACGCTTCCGAGATGGTCGCGCAGAAGTTAGACAAGAAACTGCGCGATAATCTATTTGACGCAAGGAATAATTTGTTCAATGCAGACGTGCACGCTGGCAACTTTAACTTTCAACGACCATTGTTGATTCTGCTGGATCGCAGCATTGATATGACTACACCACTGCATCATACGTGGACTTATCAAGCGCTGGCGCATGATGTGCTCGATTTGGCTTTGAATCGGGTGGTTATCGAGGAGCAATCCACATCGGGGGGTAAGGAACTGTATTTTTATGAATGTATTGAGCAAAAATAGCATTACAAGAAAAGAAATAGCTAATTATGCGTAAAATTAACTAAATTTGATTTTATTTTTATATTTTGCGCAATATTTACCACATTTGACATATTCTAGGTGTACGTGCCAAGAATCGTTCTTGTGAACTGGACAGCAAGGACAAATTCTGGATGAGTCACAAAGGCTGCCCCTTTCCGACCGTAGCGGAAGCGATCCAAGAAGAATTAGAAACTTACCGTAACTCTGAGGACGAGATCAAGAAGCTTAAAACTTCCATGGGCATTGATGGCGATGAACTTGCGCTTTCTATGGTCACTGACAACACCAACAAGATTTCAAGTGCAATCAGCTCATTGCCACAACTGTTGGATATGAAGCGACTTATTGACATGCACACAACCGTTGCGACCGCCATTTTGAATGCGATCAAAGCACGCAAACTCGACACATTCTTCGAACTCGAGGAAAAAATCATGGGTAAAGCAACATTGGACAAATCGCTCCTGGATATCATTACGGACCCGGAGACCGGAACAGCTGATGACAAGATGCGATTGTTTATCGTTTATTACTTGTGTAATTCGCAGATAACTGACGCGGATTACAAAAAGTTTGAAAGTGCGTTGCAGGATGCAGGTTGCGATTTATCACCAATGGCATACATTAAGCGCTGGAAGGGTTATACCAAGATGGCCACCGGAACGAATCATTACAAAGGAGCCGGTACGAAAACAGTAAACATGTTTTCAAAGCTTGTCTCGCAGGGTTCTTCATTTGTCATGGAAGGTGTGAAGAATTTAGTTGTCAAACGGCATGTAAGTCCGAACTAAAAAGTAAAAACTTTAAATTACATTTATGTGTAATGAATTATTGCAGAATTTGCCAGTGACGGAAATTGTCGATAATCTAATGGAGTTTAAAAGCAGTCAAGAGCTGGACGAGTATTATTACCTCGATCCTAAACAGTATAAGCTGACGGATATTCCTAGAAATCGCTCGCCTTTCCAGGACGCGTTCGTATTTGTCATCGGCGGTGGAAATTATATTGAATATCAAAATCTCGCCGACTATTGCAAGGTGAGTTACTTGAATGTGTAACCATACAAAATGGCGTTTCTACATCTATATTTTCTTAGCAAAAAACAACTTCGGGACAAACCAAACGCGTTACGTACGGAGCGACGACGTTGAACAACGCCACGCAGTTTCTTAAACAGCTAGCCCACTTGGGACAGGATTTATAAGCATTTTACATTATTATTACACATTATTTTATAGACTATATTTTATGGGCTTGTTAAATAAACGGAATCACGAGCAGATATTATCGATTCCATCATATCACAAAAATAAAACATTTTACGACAAAAACGGCCATGGCCGTGACTAAAGTGCTTAATCAGTGTGTACACTGTACAAATATAACACACTGTTAAATAGATACAAACAAAAATCCAAATTCTAGTTCTGACGTTTAATATTTTGACAATTCGATCGAGTTTCATCCATTTTCTTTCATAAAAATGACTATTTATTATTTTGCATATGGGAGTAACATGCTAGCACGGTGTTTGCATGGAATTGCACCTTCTGCCCTGCGTGTGGACCTTGGAAAGCTGAATCATTTCCGTTTGGACTTTGCTGGATATTCCGAGCAGTGTCGAGGGGCACTTGTCACTGTAGTACCAGCAAAAGACGCCACTGTGTACGGCACAATTTGGAAAGTCAACCGCCAAGAATTGGATTGCATTGATAAATTAGAAACGTCCGGCGGTCGTGCTTATCGCGCCCTGGATCAATGTGTGGAGCGTGCTAATGGCAGTATGATGCTATGTCGTATGCATCAACAAACCCAATCGCCCCACAACAACAATGACCCGCAGATGCGCTGGAAAACAATGCCGTCGCTCACGTATTTGGACACGATACGCGAAGGGGCGAAAGAATCAAACCTTCCCGAAGAATATGTCAAGTTTTTATTTAACTTGAGCGATAATGGTCGCACCACATCGCTGGATAATATGCTCTATATGGATGCAGTCCTAAAGAAAGATACGGCGTGATGTATGTTTCTCTTAGATAATACATATATTTCTGAAAATGATTAAAAATTGTAATTGTAACAATATTGTATTTGGAATAATATGATTTTAACTTACCTTTGCTTAAATTAGGTGAGTGTTTGTTAGGTTTTATCAATTAGTTTTAATCTCCGATATTTATTTGATATGTTGCGCAATCGCACTTCAACCTGTCTAATTCGGTGAATTAACTCATGCATTTCAGCAGTTTTATTTATATTATCTGCAGTTTTATTCACTTTCAGTACATTTTCAATCATTTTTGGCACTATTGTTTTGTCAGTTTTATCAAATTGATCATTATTAGTTTGCATTTTTCGTTATGCTTGTATTTCCCACAGGATGTGGCTAATTACTGCGAGTACACAGTACTATAGACGCTAATCACGTAATTTATCAGTATGCCGCTAAGGAGATAAAATATTTTATTCTAGTATTATATATAACAGCTCAATCAATTTTTTGTAGCAAATGCAACATCTCATAAAAGGTGCCGAAATAATAGTAGTCATCGTTATCATCGTTTTATTACACAATTAGGTATGCAAAAATGTCTCAACCCCACCCAGATGATCCCTAAATACAAATAGGTATTTGTTATTTTCAGAATCTAGTGGTCACGTGGTGAAGAACCACTTGGTTCTTCATCTGAATCGTCAGCGTTCATCTCGATTTTTGGAATTAACAGGGCTCGAGTCGCCGGGGTGACATAGTCCTCATCATTAGGCTCTTGACTGTTATTGCTCTTTAATGCGCGTTCTACAGCCATCAGAACATCCTTTTGCTTATGTTGCCGAATCTTGCGCGCAATCTCAAGTTGTTTCTGTCGGATCTGGGCTTTGCCATCACGCGCAAGTGCGCTCTTTTCAATTCTCTCCAACTGCCTGTGTTTCTTTCGGATGACCTCCAGCTTCTTGTCGACGTCCTTGCTCACTCGTTTTACCATTCTCTCGATATCTTTTTCTTGAGCGTCACGAATCTTTTCCTTTTCAGCCAACTCCTTGGAAGACCATTTCATCAACATCGTTACTCGTTCTTGCTCTAGTTCTTCTTCTTTTTGCCTCATTTTTATTTCGGATTGTTGCTGGATCTCTTCAGCCAATCGAACCATTTCCTCCTGACCACTTTTTACAATTTCTTCTTCGTTCATTGCAATACACTATTAAGTGAGCGGATACTTGATTCAAAATAATTTAACGTACTTTGAAATTAATTTATACGTTATGCTTAAATATTGCGCTTATATAGTGGCTTAATCCGACATAATCTAACTGATAATAACTAATAACTGAACAAACTGGTCAATTTTTACTTGCTGTGAGTGCAAAAATTGTTTGAACTATTGTATGGCGGTAAAAATCTAAAAACAATTGAATTCGTCAACAAGATAACAAGAGTTATCCACAAAGTTTTTAATTTGTTTTATAAAAATACCAACTTTTAATAATCGTTTTAGAGCACTTCCTGCCTGCAGCTTGAATTACAAAAATGCCGTAAGAAACAAAAATATAAAAAAGTGGTTGCTAAACCATTATAGGGTTTAAGTTTAATTCTAACGAGTTTATACTGTACATATCTGGTACATGCTTACCTGTAGTTTCCGAATGCTTTACTGACACTCTCAGAAACCGTTCCATTGAACTAAGCCACAGAAACTACAACCCATCGGCGCTAACTAGCCACCAGCAGTATACACGACCGATCTTTATCATGTTTTAATTATACATTATTTGAAATAATACATTTTTTTACACACAGATTGAATATTAATAAATATTTATATATGTATAGGGAGAGGGGGTGTATATATAATATATATATATCACTATATTGTTACAGTTTACACGATCTAATTAATGAAAACTTGCTTGCAATGACGGTACTTCTCCCGCACGTGGTCACTTGTATAAATAAATATCAGGGGTAAAAAGAGAGCTTGGTGGAAAACGAGACCTTTTAAATGCGTTTTAGTTTACACATGCCCTCACATGGCGTCCGACACAAATCAGCAACTGTTCGTACGCCTAGTGCACCACAATCGTACTCATTTCAATCTTCGTTCGTAAATATAAATTAACTAATATTCTCGTACACGCGCGTATATGAATGTGTGTTTCTGGCTGTGTGTATGTGTGTGTGTGTGTGTGTATTCGCGGTCACAAGTACATTTTAAACCTTAGTTTATGTTTTACATAGTTATTTGCTTACTTTCTTATATTAGTGTTTCCCTTTTTAAATTAGCGATGATAACAATGATAAGAGAATGTAATAAGAATCGAATACAAGATAAATATCGTGTTTGTGTATGATGTGTGTGTGTGTGTGTGTGAAACTTAAGCATAAAACCTCAGTATATTCATTATCCCTAATTGGTTGTGGTTGCTAAGGTTCGCGTTTAGTCGGTCCAATAAACCTGCTGTTTGTCTTGTAATTAATTGTTACAACGTTAATCAACTAAACTTAACGCATCTGCTTACCACTCTACGCGCTACGGTTCGCTTATAGGTTTACGTTAATTTGTTATCGTTAAAATTACTTTTATAATCCGCCGTATTTTACGAAATATGTACACGCTTAATAACTACGCCTGTTCATCTTGATCTACATCGATAGTGTGTGTATGTGTGTGAGAGAGTGTATGTTAGTATGAGCGTGTACGCGCAAATTACTTCTATATAAAAAAATGCATGCCTAAAATAAGCCGAGAAAATAAATACACAGGTTAAATTCAGTATTCATATACAATTGATAATTGTGCCTTAAACTTAATGATGCGCCGTGAATAGTATATGTGTGTGTGTGAGTGTGTTGAGATTCGAAACAAAATAAAATCGTCGTCGTGCCGCACTGCCTGTAGAAAACATCACTTAACCAGTACAATTCTAGAGTATTTTGAAAAAGCTTACGAGTAAATGTCTCTGTCATTAGTATCAATGTCCTCAACTTGTAGATAGATTCGCGTTATGTACAAATGAATGCGCCCGCATACAGTTCGTCGTTCGTCATCAATCAATTCGTAATGGAACTAAAGCAAACAATAATTCGGAACGACAGTTTCGTAAATATATACAGTAGCAGCAGTGTGTGTTGGGGTGTTTCTGTGTGGGTTGGGTGTGTCAAAGTTCGCCGCGATCGCGCCTCTTAAACGAAGACCTTAGCTAAGCCGTCAGCGCCGGCACTGGCGATGTAAGGTCTGGACGGATGGAAGGCCACGTCCAGGATGCTCTCGTCGAACTTCTTGCGATGGGCGGTGATCTCCTGCACGCACGTCTTATTGTCCAAGTGCCATAAACGTATCGAGCAGTCGTGCGAACCTTCAAACGGGCACAAACATCAACATAAATAAATTATGCAAAAGGTCAAACGATGAAAAATTGAAATTTAGTGCGGGGCGGAGCCTACCTGAGAGCAAATACAGCCCATTCGGGTCAACCGCCAGACTAGTCACGGCGTCCAGATGCGCCACCATCGAATGCACCATTTGGCCGGTGTTGTTGTCCCAAAAGCGGATATGGCGGTCTTCATGCGCGGTCACCGTCAGCGGCAGTGTCGGATGACAGACCACTCGATTTATTTGCCGGCTGCAAACAGGAAATGTTTAACAATTGCCATAAACCGCAACGTGTGGGTAACAATTAAACAGTGTTAATATTACAAAAAAAATGACTAAAAATTATGGAACATCTCAAATGTCTCAGAACCTTTTACCAATACTACTAAATTATTCACCTTGATGCAGCATTCGTCTCGCCCTCCAAGCGTACGATCGGTTTCCCCGTTTCTGTGTCAAAAACGACGCAATGAGAACTTGCAAACGCGCCAACAATTTTATTCGGCTCGTCGCGACAGAAGTCTACACTATTCGGAATGCCATCTTGCTCCGATGAGAACGTATTCAACAGATGTGTCTATACAATCAAACAATATCCAAGTAAATTACCTCAACTTTTCGGTGTATATCACGTTGCCTACCTTAGCATGAGGCGCCCACAATTTAATTGTACTATCCGCCGAACAAGACAAAATCTGCTGTCTCGAGTGCAGCACCGCCAAGCACCACACCGCCTCGGTGTGCCCTTGCAGCGTTGCGTTGAGAACGTCAGGCTCGTACAAGTCGTATGGATCAATGTTCGAATTGGGCGTGTTCCAGCAGTGAATGTTACCATCCAGTCCACCTGAGTAGCAATGCTCTCCGGTGCCAGACATCGCCAGACACAGCACGGGCCCCTGATGACACCTGAACGTATACAATGGTTCGACGTCCAGTGAAGCGGATTTCTTTGCCGGCACGGTTTTCTGCAAGTTCCACAACTTGAGGGTGTGATCCTCACTCGCCGTAATCAGCACCGACTCGGTCGGGTGGAATGCAAGCGCGCGCACGCCATCGAAGTGACTGCGCAGCGTGTACTTGGCGTTCCACGTCTTGCGGAAGGACTCCTTGCTGGACGCCATGTCGTAGGAGCTCTCCGCTTCGTTATTGACGGTAAGCTGTGCGAGCTCACCCAGTCCCAGGCTGGAATCAATGTTCTCATCATCTCCGAGACCAATGCGTGGCCGCTGCTGCCCCGGCTGCTGGAAGTTCTTGTTCCACTCGGTCGGCGCGTCGGTTTTAATCTCGACGCGATCTTCCGACTCCGAGAGAAGATTGAGCTCGTTGAGAACCTCCATCGCTTCAGCATCGACGTCATCGCCAGCCTTGCGCTTCACGTCCATTTCTTCCGAATACATACACACGGACTCATCGCTCATGTCATCTTCGTCCTCCGTGTCAACGTCGGCACCAGTGAGGAAGTCCAAGTTCACCATCACAGCCGCCTCGGTATCAATCATCATCGCTTCGGTGAGTGAGCTGCCTTGCGTTTTCTTCACTGGTGTTCTTCCTGCTTAAAATAATATGATTTTAGTTATAAATTAATATAAATCTGGGGGAAGTATTCATACCTTGTGTTTCGCTCGCTCGTTTATTCGTCTCGTTGCCATTGACCGACCCGCCGTTGTGATTCTCTTCCTGTTCGCCATTGTTGTTGAGCCCGAGAAGAGCGCGCACCCGCGTTGACCGTACATCGATAATTCGATCGGTGTAGCCGATCTCCTGCAGGTATTGTCGCAGTAATTGTCTGCCCTGTCTCCAGGTGGCGTTTGATACGGACGTGTACGGCGTCTCGCTATCCAGCTGGGAATCCACATTGAGGCTGGGATCGTCTACCGGCGGCTTCATGTCGCCCTGCTGCAGGTCGACGCCGTACTTCAGCTTGTGGAATTTGGCGCGCTCTTGTTTAAGCGCATACTCGAGCATCTTGATGCGGCGTACCAGATCGTTTTTGAGGTTTTCCTGCCCTTTTCTTTCTCCTTGCAGGAATGCAATTCTTGCCTATAACAGAAATATTCAATTACTCTCGGAAATCACCCCAAAATAATGTTGATAATTAGAAAAAATATTTTTATTCTGTTTTTCTCAATTTATTTCAAAACAAAAGTAGATTTTTTTAGGAATATTAAAAGAAAAATTTATGGTTATATGGTTAAGGGAGAATTTAGCACTGAAAACACCTCTGAAAAAATATTTTACGTGGTGCGGGGAGTTTACGAATATTAAAAAAAAAAGAAGAATAGTCAACCGAAAACTCGTTTCTGTGCTTCAGACCGGTATCGTACACATATATGCATCATTTGCGAAAAACAATTGAAGTGGGACTCACCTGTAACTCGGCCTTGTCGACCTCCCATTGTGAACGCTCCAGCTCGAAGCGCGCCCACTCATGCTGGATGAAGTGCAGGATGCCCGGTATGGAGTACTGCGGGTTCGGGCTGTCTTCCATCTGCTTGTTATTGCCCGTCGGTGGGCCGCCCAACTGGGCGCCGTTCTGGTGATTGAGCGCGTCCTCCATGAGCAGCGCTGGCTTCGGCTGGGGGGGCAGGGACTCTGCGACGACGGCTGCGACGTGCTGCTGGTGGCGGCGGCGGCGGCGGCGGCTAACAGTGCGCCATTTTATCGCCGCGACCTAGACGAGACAACACGACCAACACAAAACGAATAGCCCCGGCGCGCGACCGAACAAGGGGAGCTGCTATGCACGCGAACGTCGCGAATGCGAAAACACTTCGCTAACTCGCGGCAGGCGGCGAGCGAAACACGCGCTGGTGGCGGGCGGCTAGGCGCTCGCGTTCCGCGTCAATCGCAGCGCTCTCGCATCACACGCGGCCTACAGAATGCACGGCAACGACGAGGACGAGATTCGCTGCGCGGCCATTGATAGTGGTCTTGTGTGGCTGACGGATAGTCATCGGTAGTCGTGCCGTCAAACCTCAACGTCTCCTGTCTTCGTTGTACACATTACAATACTGCTAGGACTTGTATTTTATCTCTGTTTAATTGATGACAACGCGCAAGACTTTTTGCTATCAATTGGGTTGCATACGTTGAAGTAAAGCCACATGACAACAACGCGGAGAACTACTACACAACTCAAAATTTTATTAACAGATGGCGAACTACATCACATTTTATGTTAAAACAATTTATGATACTGGTGACGGCAACAAATTTGAAGGATTTTCAATGATAAGATAGCATACTTGATCTATAGTTATGCTCACTAAATCCGAAATAAAATCTTTATAATAATCCAGCGTGGGTTCTTTTTTACCGACTATGGTATATCCAACAACAGCCAAATACTGTGTCACAATATTCGATTGCGTGTGAGTCATGATATAATTTAAAATTTGTTTAAAGGCAGCATCCCCAAGAGCATCGTTGAGACGTCCTAATGCAGGCAAAACTGCTAAAACAGAGTCCAAGAGTGGTATCAATTTAGATTTGAGAGCATCCTGACACTCAGAATGAATTGGTTCAATCGATCGCAAGTCAGTTATTTCAGAGTCTTCACGTGCGTTTGCCAATGACACTAAATTAGCCGATAAGGTCACTAATACTAAGATAAAGACCTAAAAATTAAAGAAAACCTTAAGATTTTAAACAGTTTATTATATTTAACGTTTTATTACCTTCATTTTGTGGCAGTTTCTGAAGTAATTGTATAATAAATGTTTTAACAACAAAATTTATATAATTTATTAAAAGTTTTGACGCATTTCAAAACGTACTAATCTTTGCAAATTTTGGTTAATATCTTGCAAAGTAAGTGTAAAGCCATAAACAACGTCAAACCGATGACGCAGATAAAAGATCTCTAGATAATGCGTTAAAATTAATTCAAGGATAAATAAAGAGTAAATAAATAGAATTATATGTTGAACAGATTTATTTCAAAGAATACATAATTCAATTCAAAAGTTTATATTCAGTTTATGAAGGAATTGGCAATTCGGGAAATTCGGGAAATGCTGGCAATTTTTCAAAAATTGATTCCAAAAGAACAATTGCAGTTTGAATCATTCCAATGATAATTTGAACTGCAGCACTCAACACACCTAACCCAACTTCATCAAGGGCTTCACTGATGAGATCGCCAATGGAAGTAAGAAAGTCCAAAGGTTCTGGTAGAATAGTTGTCAGATCTATGGGCAATTCTGTTGGAATTGGTGGTAGTGTAATTTCGGCGCATGTTGTTGCAACAACGCAGAGAACAAGAAAAATTGCAGATTTCATCTGGAACAAGTTAATAGTTTAGATATTTTGCAAATCAATGCTTTTTCTATGTAGAATATGAAATACCTTGTTATTTAAACAATGTCTAGGTTTTTGTAAGAAAACAATGATGATTATTACATTTTTATATGCACGAAATTATGTACTTAACTTAAGTATAGTTAAATCTTGTTTTTAATAATATTAAAACCTAGAGTATTTGTTTTAAAATTGTTGCATCATTATTTACATAAGGATAATATCTTTCTATTCTTTTAGTTTAAATAATACAAATATCCAATAATCAAAGAGTAGCATTAAATTGAGGTTAGAATTTGGATTTTATAATTTAGGTTAAATTAAATTAACTTTTAACCAAAGAAAAAAATCATTCAATAAGTTTTGGTGTGAAATTCTTTATTTCATAAGTGACAAAGTTTTTAATCGGATTTTGCAGTCAAAGTGTCGGTAAGTGTTGCAAATTGCTTGAGAAGATTGACAATTGTATTGGCTATGTCTTCAAGTCCAGCTTGATTGATAATGCCATCGATGTTGCCGTCAAGAGGATTTGTGCCAGAACCCACCATGCTAAGAAATTTTTGAATAAGATCGTTCAATGTTGCTAAAGGATTGGAATCGACTCCGTCCAATGCCGCATTTGTAGATGACACAATCACGACCAAGAGCAAAATGGAATAAATGAACTTCATCTATTAATCGGAAATTATTTAAAAAATGTAATAAAAGAAAATTAAAGCAACATGTTGATATTTTTAAAAGTATACCTTTACTTTCGAATTTTCTTCAAGAAGTTAAGAAATCAGCAAAAACAATGAGTAGGTTATGATTACTTATTCATTTTTATACAACAATTATGTTAAATAGAATAAATATATGGATTTAGATAAGTATCATAAGAAATATATAAACAAATGTTGAAAATTAATTATTTTTTATATTTTGATGACATGTGTTTATTTAAATAATTATTATGCTCTAGATTATGTTAAAAAAATTAATGCAGAGTTATTAAATAAGGTTAAAGTGTTGACAGATGATTATAACCTTAACAGCGCCCTCTGTTTTCATGCCTTAACAAAAAAAATAATTTTCAAGTAATTTCCAGTGTTTTACTGAGCTCCCACATTATTTAAGCCTTTTTTGAATTACTTTTATTAACCCTAACCTAAAATATGTCAAATCTAGCGATAAATAAAGACACAAAAAACAAAAAATGACAAAGAGGTTATTAAATTTAAGAGGTTAAGAAAACTTTCAATTTATTATCATTTAACAACAAAGAATGTTTACAATTATTTCCCCAAACCATCCAAACCACCCAAATTACCCAAACTGGATAACCCTCCAAGTCCACCAAATCCACCACCCGCTAGTAAACTTTCAAAATCCAACTCGGAAATCTGATCCAACAAAGTGTTTGCAATCTGATCCAAAACGCTGGTCAACGGAGTACACACAGAATTCAAAGCTGAATAAGCTGCATCCGGCAATGTGTCAATCTGACACACAACTCTGGGCATATCAGTGATGCTCACCACAACTCCCATGACAATCATCTTCACCAGATCTAATAAAGCCGCCACCAATTTCATAGGATTGCCAGAAGTTGCAGCAGTTACGAGATCATTCACAATATCCTCGAAAATAAACAAGTATGACTTAATTAGGTTTCCCAAGATGGTGGCAAGGCTTCCAACAACCGGTACACTTTGAGCATTGGCTGTCAACTCATCCACGACAGCTACAATCGTGCTAAACACGCCGTTAATTTGGTTTTCACCAACTACACCAGTTGCAATCGAAGTTCCTTTCGATTCCACATTATTGACAACGTTGCCAACGCCACCCAGCGGAATAGGGGTGGTTACTGTTTCTGCATTGGTATTACAAACCAATGTAAACACTGGCAACAAATATAATAATAATAAATTCATTTTTGCTTTAAATTAAATTATATTATATTAACGTGTTTCAGTAATAAGTGAATTTATATCTGAATTTTTTATTTTTTCGTTCGAATTAGATTTTGACGTCTGTAGACGCTTTTGTGGATTAAACAGATTTGCATTTTTTTGTTTAAATAATTTAAAATATATTTACATCTCAGACAACGCTATACAAAAACGTATTACATATTTAAATGCTTTCTACTCCTAAAATAAAAATAAAAATAATTTTTTTCCAAAACTAAAGTAAAAACATTGTAAAACAAGAAAAAACTGGGCGATTCAATGATAAATTGTAAATTAAACATAGAAAAATATTACAGTTCTCCCCAGTTACATAATTTGACTAACCATTAACTTTTAACCAGGCAAGAAAGTTTTATATACTATTAAACATCATTTTTTGATACAAAAAGTGTGCTATCACTTGTTTTTATGAATAAAGGTTTACTTCCGGAAAAGCCAGTTGGGATTTCGACGTCGGAGACGATTCGTGCTGGCGAGTGTTTCTCGGAGTGGATGGCCTTGCGAAAACGGCGGATGGGCATTTGTTGTAACGTAATACACACCTCGAGCTCTAAACAAAACAAAAAATATAAATTTTTGCAATAATTTCACTATAAACACTGAAGTAGCGAGTATAAAATAAACTTATTTCTATTTTTTGGATTTTTTGTTGAAATTTTTGATTTTAGACCTTTTTCTCCTTTTAAACCATCAAATTCAAACAAAACTGCAGTTTTCTACTACACCGATATGCGACAGATATTAAATTACTATAAATTAAGTCATTCACGGTTAATTGAAATTCCATCGAGTTGAAACTGATGTAGAAATCAAAAAAGAGGACGAAAATTATTTACACTTTATCCAACAAGAGTAAACAACACAAGAATGCATTAATCACATCTCACATACTTATTCCCACAAGCAATAATTATCTTCCCGTTATACAGAGTGTTGCAACCGATTTAAGCCATGATTAGTGATCATATTGAATTACATACTTGAAAAACGTTATGGTTTACTGCACGCTAGGTCAGTAATTGTAATTGAGAGCAAAATGTGGCAAGCATGTAACAGTATGTAATGTAGCAATTAAATGTACCAGATGATGAAATGTGTCTTACTTGCGTCGGTCGACATGCTCGCCCATTTGCACATATTCCGACTCGTCGGGATCACAAATGCGTAGCAAGAAGCTGATGAGCGTCGGGCACGGATACGCCCAGAAGCCTTTCTTCGACACGATGGACTCGATGAAGTATGGTGTCACTTTCGTGTGGTCGCACGCGAGCGTTTCTAACACATTCAAACAATTAATTATTATATAATAAAATAGACTACATGTTACACCTACAACTTATATAACAATTGCAAAATTTTAATCTATATATATATATATAAATGAATTGCTGTTCGTTAGTCTCGCTAAAACTCGAGAACGGCTGAACGGATTTAACTTATCTTGGTCTTGAATTATTCGTGGAGGTCTAGGGAAGGTTTAAAAGGTGAGAAAAATTCGAATAATTGCCGGGAAAATCCTCAAAACAGCTCTTTCCTATAGAATAAAATTTGACATTGAGATTCAATCATAGTTATAGTTAAATAGTTGAATTCGAGATGGCGCGCTGAAGTGCATTATTGACAAAACTTTATATAATTAATTTCTTTAAATTAAAATTGCTAATCTTATTGATAGAATTGACTCTTACTACGAGTATGTCTAGAACAAGAGAGTAAAAACGAATTACATTTTTATTAAACACTGCGGGAACGAAGTCGCGGGCAACAGCTAGTTTATAATAAAAAATGTAATAATTACTGAAAATTGTATCGCTTGCACAGCCTGGTTGGCTTGAACCGCCATTGATGTAAAAGTCAGCGTGTCCATTCGGTCCCCATTGGCCTAGAATCCCTGAATTCGTATGTAGAATATCCACGAAGTGTGCATCTGATGGATCCAAGTCTCTGGTTGTATTTGCCGCTGAGTAAAACACAATCGTAGGGTCTAAACCTATAAAATAAATAAAACCATTAAATGTATATTTGGTTGCCTATATTAGTTTATTAACTATAGAATTACTAACCTGTAATTCGACCTAGTTTGCCATCCAATTGTGGATCTAAAAAGTTGGCTACCAGACCGGAAATATGCGCACCCACACTATATCCTATCAAGTGTAGTTGATCAGCTCTGATGCCCCGCGGATGTTGAGTCAAATAACGCACAAGGTGCGCGATGCACAGCGCGCAGAAACGCGGCGCCCATTCCATTTGCTTCAGACACGGTTCCTTGACCAATGTGCCGTAATCGACGATGAAGATGTTGTAATTACCTCGGTAGAAATACGCATCACGCATGTCGGTACTCGGCGATAGATTTCGTCCGCCACCGAAACCATGAACGACGATTTTTGTTTCATGCGCACGATTGAAGTTTGATTTGTATAAGGAATCCAGTTTCATTGTACTGATTAGTTCTGGGGATGCTTGCGTTCTCCTGAAATAATTTAATTTGAAAAAATTAAAATAAAAGAATTTATTAATGATTTTGGGAAAAAAATTAATTTTTAATTTTTTTCTTGCAATTTTCTTCATATTTTCTAAACTTTCAAACATTTTACAAATATTTTAAAACCAAAATGAGGTAAAACTAAATCAGGTAACACGTCAATTTATTTTTTACATATTGTAGGTTATTTACTTAACTTTAAAATGCATTACATAATCCTCGTATTTCACTTTCTTTCAATGAATTAGCGCAAAGAAATACCGCACCATAAATCGTTATAAATGCAACAGCAATAAAAAGCAATTTTTATAATGACACACATTTACTAGATATTCCACAGCATGTGTGCTTTCTTTCCTTCTTATTTACGCTATTGTTTGTATGCCTAATACTCGTAGAATCGCAATTTTGTAATTTTCAATTTTGTAATTTCTCGTTAAACATCATTAAACCAACGACAACATCCACATTATGAAACAGCAATGATTAGCATAGATCCAAGCGTTATTTTTTCACATACAAGTAAGTAATTTGCAGTTAAATATTTATTGCACTCTATATAATCATCTCTAAATGTCAAACGTGAGATTAATCAAGAAATGCTTGAAGTGTGTTGAAATCCATCTTTACGACTTTTAATAAAATATTTGCTGTCATGAAATGTAATTAATCCACAATGAAAACCGTGCTGATTTAAATTTAATTATTGATAAAATAAATAATGCACAATAGATAATAATATTAACTGATTAAATTCGATGATTAAAAACAGGAAAAATTAATAAAAGGTTGGCAACTTCATTTACTCCAACATAACATACATTATGAAGTGTAAATATCCGTTTGTGTTGTGTTTTATTTTATGTTATAATATTATTGATGTAATAAGTAGTAATATTATAGCGAGGACATCAAAAGGCCTAATTTCCGGTTTGGAACTTTTGGATTACAATAACAATATGTATTACGCTTTCCAATCAGTGCCTTATGCTCAACCACCTCTCGAAATTTACGTTTTCGTCCACCAAAAGAACCCCAACCTTGGTTAGGCATTAAAGATGGCACTAAAGCATCACCAACTTGTCCACAATCATATGGTACATTGTTTCTTGGACAGGAAGATTGTCTTTATTTGAATGTATACACAAAATCAGTAAGTTAACCAAACTTTTGAAAGATGTATGTATATTAAGTTGCCTATGTTAAATGTATTTTTATATAATCCACAGTTAAACTCTTTGAATTTACAACCAGTCCTTGCCTACATTCATGCAGGCGCTTTCTTTTTGGGAACCAGCTCCTTTTCGAATGCAAATCCAAAATATCTTATCACTGAGAACATTGTCATTGTTACAATCAACCATCGTTTATCATCGCTTGGTTTCTTAACTCTAGACAACTCATCAATCGTTACACCTAATAATGGTTTTCGTGATCAAATCATGGCTTTAGAATGGATACAGAAAAATATTAGATATTTTGGTGGTGATCCCAATGCTGTGACACTGAGTGGTGAAAGTGCAGGTGGTTTATCCTCTCATTTTCACTTATATTCACCGCTATCAAATGGTTTATTTCATAAAGTGATTTCGAGGAGTTTAACAGCTCTTTCGCCGAATGTTCAGTCAATCCAACCAAACACCGCAGTAGATTTAGCTGAAGCATTAGGAATCAATACTGATAATCATGTTAAAATGGTTAATCAATTACAGAATACTCCTATAAATGATATTTTATCAGCCCAAACGAAGATAAATTGGAATAATTTCTGTTTAGATAAACCAATGTATTCAGGTTTATCAATGGAAGACGAAAAAGACAAAACAAAAGTTTTATTACTAAATCATTGATTGAGTCCACAAGAAACGGTGATTTCAATTGTGTGCCCATGATGTTGAGTACAACTAATATGGAAGGATTGTTATTTAATTCTACAATCATTCCGAACAGTGTTGAAATGACAAATATCTCTATACATATCCCATTTGATTTTGGTATTAATCGCACGATAGTAGAAGAAGAAGTAAACAAATTTTATTTTTCAAATCCAAAAAAATCAACGAGTCTTTGATAAATTTCTGGGGTGACATTTGGTTTAAACATGGCGCCCACAGAACTGTTGAAATTGCAAGTAAATATCAAAAGATTTACATGGCGAATTTCGGATTGGATACAAAATTGAATGTGGTTAAGTTATCCGATGCTAGAATTAAACAATTTCCTGGCGCATGTCATGCTGATGATGATTCTTATATTTATGCTAAATCTGCAAGTCCCCAGATAGCACCAAACAGTCTAGAAGAGCTTTGGATGAAGCGAATGGTACGATTACAAAGTAATTTTGTTAGGTATAGTAATCCAACACCGTTTTATGACAGATTATTAATGAATATCAAATGGAAGCCGTATAATTGTATAGATAAAAATATTTTGAGGTTAAGAAATGATGAATTTGATATTGTGAATGGTAATAATGTAAATTTTGAGTTTTGGGATCGACTTTATGAAACATATGCGCCTGGTAAATAAAATTAAAGTTTTATTACAGGAAGTTATTGTAAAATTTAATTTGAGGTTATATTACTTCCGGAAATATATAATGTATAGGCTTCCCAATAAGCAGCAAAGAGTAAAAGTACGTTTATGGCAAGTTTAGTGACGTGTGACATCTATAAGTGATACTTTGAACATCAACTATAATTTGTAACTTTTCCTTTTTACGGTCAAGTGTTTTCACTTATTTATCATTGACTGGCGTAAGTAAGTCAATAAAAGTCGCAAATTAATTTAATGACACTGATTAACTTTAAAACTAAATTAAGCGCTCGGAAAGTTGAGTGATTAGCATAAATCTGTGGTTATGTTTAATTAGTAATTACCTTGTGTATAAGTAGTATTGGATTTGCGGATGTGGACATGTGAACGGTTTCGGTATGCATGAGGAGGTGTTGTACAAGTCTTGCACCGTTTGAGGTTTCTTTGATGTGGACTCCTCGACAACTTCTACGTCTTCGATGTCATCTTGAGCTTGAACTTGTGATCCTACGAGAAAAATAATTAAAAAAATCAATAAAAATTAAATATTGAAGAAAATAATGTAATGTATTAGGTGTGAGGATTTGAATAAATTAATGAGGTTTTATTTTATCATAGTTATAGATAGTTGTCCTTTCACTTTATGTCATACATATAAAGTGCATAGGTGAATAATGTGAATATTCTAGATGTGGTTGAGCCAGAAATAGGAATTCGTGTTTTATTGCTGATTGCTGCTGGTAATTGACGCCAGTGAAACGATTTCATGCTAATTTTGGTTAAATTATCATTAATTATAGATAGGAATAAATTATTAGATGAAAGAGGGGAGTTTAACGAGAGATTTGAAAGATTTTAGTTCTAATTTTAATTTTAAATAAAATTTTCAGTTTTATGATGAATATATGAAATAGTTAGTTGAAATTTGTAAAATAATTTTTAATTTAGTTCAAATAAACTTGATTTAATGCAACATAAAACTTGATTTCAATCAGTTACGAATAAAACCGCATATATTAGTAAAATATGGAGTTTATGTTTCTTAACGAAAATTTGTACGGCATTACTTAAGCAGAAATAAAAGTAAGAGTGAGAGTTTACGTGTGTGTTATTATTTAACTGAATTACTTTCATAAAAATTAAAATCAAATTAAAATTAATAATGTTATGTTTTGAATGATAAAAACTATAGAATTAAGTATAATAATGTCAGTAATTTCAAGGTCTTGGACACCTAATTTTAAAATTTATTGGTGTTGGTTTTTGTTTTGCAGTAAAACAAAATTAAAATACTTAATTTTATTTTAAAATTAAATCTATGACATTGAAAATATTCTTCTTTTTATTATATCACAATGTCCAATAACAAAAAATAATTTAAAACAAGAAAAAACTTAAATTACGCTTAAATTTTTCTACCATTAATTCACTTTCAAAGTTTGTTCTAATTCTAACCTCGTAAATGAACGTCAAAAATAATTAGAACCTGATAATACTTATACACAACATTTGAATTAATGCTGATATCGATATCAAAACATGCAAGCACGTATCTGTAACTGCAAATGTATAATAAGCATTAATCTTAATTAATTAATGCATTTCACTCTTTACTCGTACTTCTTTCACTTTCGTTCAATTTTCATTACACTCAACACAATGCACTCCCTGCTCTACGTGTATTGTACGTGTAGTGAATGCAAACAAAAGAGAAAAACATGCGTAACGCAACAAACCAAACACATTATTTCCATTTCACGTATCGTTTCTTACATTTTATTTTCCCAGAACAAATTATAATCTTATTTTAATTTTTCACTCCTCATTAAAAACAAAGGCGAAAGAAACTTGTTTACATTTACACTGTTTTTTTTTTTTATAAAAAAAAAGAAACAATATAAATGTTGAAAAAGTTAATAAGTAAACAATAAAAACACGAAAACAATTTTACAGAAATGCAGTGAGACAAAGTTTAACTTTTTATTTTTTAAACTTTCTTGATTCATTTTTAAATCTGTTGTGCACGATCCACGAGTGAAAGAAAGGTATTAAAAATAAAATTAAAATAAAAGTGAGTGTCAGGTGCGTCCACAAACTGGATTTAATTCTTTTATTCGTTTTTTACGAGTGTTTTTTAACTTGGAAAGGAATCTAGGCCATGATCAAGGTTAACATCTGTAGAAAAAATCTATAGAAAAATCTTTTAAGTTCCAAGTAAGTCATTTGTTAACATTACGTCAAAACGAACTTAGTGTCTAGAAAATCAAGTGAAAGTTTGAAAATTCAGCATATAATAATAATTAATATTAATTTTCTGAGAATTTGTAGGAATTTTTAAATCTTCATTAATTAGGGCTAAAATATGTATAATAATATAGGTTTAACATTTGTGTATGCTAATGTTAATGCCCGCTCAAGTGAATTTTGAAAGCGCGTCAATGAGCTAACATGAAATTACGAAACTCAACACTTATTGATGTTGAATGATTTGAATCTTCATCAACTCATTGCAACATGTTTGCCAGATAGCCGCTGCAAGGTAAACGTCTAGTTCTCGATCGATTGTATATTTTAACTACAAAATTACAAGTAACGAAATAAAAAAAAAACGTAAATGCAATTTGTTTCGTTCGTTCTTGAAAAAAAAAAACTAATATCGTACAATTATACATAATTTATTGTTATTTGTGTGCTAAATATTACTAGTAATTATAAACAATTAAATTATTTAGTTATATCTTTGTTTATTTAAGTAATATTTGTTTGTTTTGGAATATTAGGTAAGAATATTATTGTCGCCAGAATAATTAAATCTGATTAATTATAATTAAATTTGTAGATAATTTATTTACCTCAGCGACACATTTATATTGCCAAATTTAATTTCATTAACCAAAATAAACAAATAATAAATTATTTCGTTCTTTTCTAGTGCACTTTATGCGTATCCTTGGACTTTACGGAGTTAATTATGAATTCTGTGTGAAGGTTATTCTATTTTGGACTTTAATATGTTCTTCACAGTGGTTGCCACCGTGACAATCAATTATAATTGCTCAATCATATAATTAACTAAATATATTACGAAAAATAACTGTGTATATTATAATAATTGAATTTATTGCTTAAATATTTCAAAATAAATGCAAAAAATGTGAGGGATGTTGCTTTGCAGTTTGTGTTATCGTGTTTAAAGTACACGACACATTTATAATTTAATATGTATAGCCAATGTTGCAATTTTACGATGTGCCCTATGATTTTGTGTCGCTAGTTGGCGTTATTTTTAATTATTTAAAAACCTCACCGCCTGCTTATTACATTGGTTGCGCAAAAACGAATAATAAATACCAGTCCAAATGCAATATCACCGCCAGTTCATGCCACTATTATCTCATTATGCAAACAAAACTTCAACCTAAACCCAGAGCGGCAATAATTTTGCGTCTTCTCGCATTTTTGCTCTTGGCAATTGCCATGTCAGACGCTGCTCGCGATCTGTTGGCGACAGAAACCAAACGAGCGTTCCTAAGCGATTTCTTAGCCGCGGACAATCCCAATCCTCTAACTCACAACTGGAACATCAACAGATATTATACTCTGCTCATGGAGTGTTGGCCACGGGCCGCCGTTAAGAATTTAATCGCCGCAAATCATCGAATATTTTTCCGTCATTTAGAACTGAAAAATAATGACGAATTAAAAACCGCACCGGATAAATTCAATAATTACGAGATTATTGATTTCGACTGTCCGCAAAGTTGGGACGTGTTATCGACTCAAGTTTGGGACGATCACATTCCCCCTGTGCGGTGGATGGGATTCTTCAAACAGATTTTAATCCTCGTCGACGCGGGCAATTTCGCCGAGTTGGGGCGAGTTTTAATGAATCCAAATGGCAGAATTAAAGTGAGCGTCATGAGTCGAGTGATAATTGCCAGACGCATTCATTCAGAGAGATATCAACTTTATCAGGTTTATCGGATATCCAAAGACAGACCATTGGGTAGACATCTTTCTCTCGTCTTAATTAATAACTCTACTTAAACTTGTTGTAGTCTATGAAGATTTCGGTTACTGGAGTATCAATGAAGGTCTTATATTGACCAAACAAAAAGGGGAGATTACCACAAGAAGAAGGAATCTTCAAGGATTGTTTTTTGTCATTTCATGTACACTAGAAAATCCGGAAACAATAAACTACTACAACACAACAAAGTAAGTAATTTGTAATAATCTTCATTTATTAATTCTATAGATTTATTTAGACATCCACAAACTGATACAGTGATAAAACAATCTTATGCCATGTTCTCAAATCTGGTTGATATCGTTAATATGACCTATGCCAATGTATTCCACAATACTTTTGGGTATTATAACGCTACATCTAAGAAATGGAACGGTCATACTGAATCTTTAAGAATTGGTACATCAAATTACAGCGGTATTTAAAAATATCATAAAAAATGCTTAGAATATAATTTAATTAAAATTCTAGCATCACCTTTAGTTGTAATAAGGGAAAGAGTACCTTTCATAGATTTCGTCATTCAAATCTCCCAAAAAATCACTGTAAAATTCATCTTTAAAAGTCCTCCGACATCTTATGTTAAAGACATCTTCAATATTGCTTTCCACTGTAACGTGTGGTACGCCCTGCTTGGAATGTCTCTCTTATACTGTATATTTATTGGTTATCTACTCAATATCGAGAAAAAAGTATTAAATAATTATACAGCTAATGCCAACGATGGATTCCTGATAACTCTAGAATCCATCACTCAACAAGGATCTGTAGTAACAACTAAATCTATATCCGGTGAAATACTCATCGTAATATTATCATTAGCATGCATGTTCTTCTACACTGCATATTCTACAAATATAGTGAGTCTCCTACAAAGCACGACTAGTATCAAAACAGTTAAAGAACTATTAGACAGTCCATTTGAAGTTGGAGCCGAAGACACCATCTACATCAAATATTTCATGAGAATTGATACTGATCCAGTAAGAAAAGCGCTGTATGATACCAAAGTGACTGAACATGGTTTCCTGAAGAAAAAGAAGGTCTCGATAGAGTGCGTCAAGGTGGATATGCATTTCACATTGATAAGAATCCTGCGTATTATTATATTCTGCGTTATTTTGATATCACCGAGGTTTGCTCCCTGCAACGCATAGAAGCATTGTATCTACCCACGCATTTGATATACATTCCAATGATAAAAGCGTCACCATATAAGAAGATCAAAAAAGTCGGGTAATGGTTACTATTATACATATTCTTAGTACAATTTTTTGAGAAGAATTTATTTTTTAATTTTAGAGCATTTCGAATATTAGAAACAGGATTACATCAACGTCATGTATTACTCTTTGAACAAGAACCTAAATGTTCAGGGATTGCACCCACGTTCAAAATGATTGAGTTGGTTGATGTAGAGACTGCTTTTGTGATATTTTTATCCGGAGTATGTTTGACCATGTGGGTTCTGGCTATGGAAATTGTTTATTATCGTAAAATAGCTTTGAAAGCAAAAATTCACAAAGGAAAAAAAGTAATACCTTCTGCTTGACTATAGTATATCATACTATATATAGACTTACCGTTTATAGTAAATAAAAGTAGGCAGCAACAAAAGAAGAAGACACTTTCTCGCGTGACGTTCTCAAATCGTAGAAGATGCGTCACGCAGCTTCTTTTATGGTGTGTCATTTCGTTTACTTGACTTTAGGAGGAGTCCAGATAACCAATTTTTCTTTGTTTTTTTATTGTTTTTAAATTTTTATATTACTATTACTATACTAATCCACTTTGTCAACTTTTCACTTTTTAAGCAGCGCCTTGGGTTAATGTCTAACACTATTATTGCTATTTATAGCCAATAACCGGTCAATTAATACCGCGCACGATTGATTAATTCAGCGCGGCTTAAACCATGGAGAATTAGAAGTTCACTACAGTTCGCACATGTGGTGAAAGCGCACGATTCACTGCACGAACAAAAACTATAAGAATAAAAACAACCAACTGCTCTTTGTAATATTTTAATATTTTAGGTATTTCCGTTTGATTATTATTGAGTAGATTATTATAATTAAGTTTAATATTTTCTGTGTGTTTCTTTATTACAATAAATATTATAAATATGTGGGATTACAGTGTGAGTAGGTACCGAGGTAGGTCCTTCCTGCACGCCGAGTCGCAGCGAACTGCCAGTCGCTAGTTGCAGGCGGTGCTCAAGAAACTCAAGACCTCGCTGTCTACCGAAAGTGAGAACCTGAGAATACGCATCGAAAGTGAACTCTTTGCACATGAGTAGTGAGGTGCACATACTGCCACCTACAAACATGTAAAGGCCAGTAAATAGAATTTTGTGTCTTTTTTTGATTCTAAATTCAGTTAATTCAATTTAATTTGCTTGTTTAATGAATAAAAATGTGTTTTATTGTGTATCAAGGGTAGAGAATTATACGACAAGGTAAATACTCTTGTAAAATACAGTAAAATGTATTTGTATTTTGAAATTTGTTTAAAATCTATGTACAGGAATAAAATTGACTTGGCGCTTGGTAATTTTATTATAACTCGAGAACGGTTGAAGCTATTTGGCTAATTTTGATGTTGAAATATTTGTAAAAATACAAGAAAAGTGAATAAAGGTTAAAAAACTTGTTTTTTTTTCCTCAAAATCTGAAATAAACAACTAAAAAACTTATAATTTTAAAGTTAACACAAATACATACCAAATAATGAAAGAATAGCAAAACAACAATTCAGTACGAATCATTAATAGTGATAATTTATACCCAAACAATTTTTATTTGATTCTCAAACTAATTCATTACCAATCACAGCTTTTATAACCTTTCTATTGACTTAATAATATCTATACTTAGTTGGACTCTACGCCTGTAAACATACACTAAGTTTTATTTGATATTTTTGCCATAAACTAATAAGTACTAAATGTGTGTGATAAAATAAATGTGTCGCTTTCATATTTTCGTTTTTCGATCAATGACCAAACGACTACCGCCTTTTAGAAACCGACCGTGATTGCGTCGAGTGCGTGCAGGTGACATATCGCCGTATCATACAAGAAGCCTATAATTTCTTCCACTTCAATTTCAATATCGATTTCATTAATTTCAATTTCAACTTCTATCGTCGTCTTCGATTTCAACATTGCGCAATGTACATTGAGCAATTCCACAGTCGCCATTTTCATATAAAAAATGTCAAAGTAATAAAGCAAATTGCTATTAAAAATTAAAATGTATGACTATGTAAATACAAATAAAATACCCAGGTAATTAATATTGCAAAGAATTTCAATATCAAGGTCATTACAATATCATTATATTATTCTGCGAAGTGCGAGTACTGTGGTTGTCATTGTTCATGATGAAAGTCTCTGTTGACTTGCAAATAATGCATTAAGGTCGATTAAGTAACCACAATCAGGACAAAATGCAAGGTGTGAATTTATTTAAATACACAAATAAAATTTTGTTGATAAAATTGTAAAAACCTTTACATTAGGTCAGCGACGATCTCAATACATGCCACATCTTTGTTAGTGGCTACTTCTGAGATTGGTAACTCAATCCGGAAGTTGCCTTTCAGTGGTATCGGCAGTTTAATTAATTTAGCATCAACAACTGTGTTTCTTGCAGTGTAAACCCCCTAAAAATACAAATTTTAACTCAAATATTGAAAAAATAAAATAATAAAAATTCATTTGATTTTTTTTATTATTTAAGCTTAATTATTAGTATTATTACGTGCTGAAAGTTATTTTTTAAACTTTTTAGCTTACCTTTTTGATTGGACAACTTGCAGAAACTTTAGGACGTAGAACATTCAAGACATTGGTGGCAACATCACCCAAAATAGCAAAAGCACCCTTGCAGACATCTTTACCTCCAAAATTTATAGCCAGCTTTTTTCATTCTTGTAAATATTTGTTTTATACTAAAAAAATCAACAATAAACATGTATTTTCAATTTTTTCTAATTTTACAATAATTACTTTTAAATTGGCTCCAAATTCAACTTCCCCAGTCAAATTCACATCGACACGATGAACATAATCACCCAAATGTTTAAAGTTAAAGATATGCAAGAAATTCGGGTATTTTTTGCCACCACAGCTCGACCACGACTTCAAAATGGCGTTGAGTGGCTTGACATAATCAACACTTCCAGAAATCACCAACAACATCAAGAACATTTTTAATACCTTCATTTTGACCGTTGTTACAAGATTTCTAGTTGGGCGAGAACTGAATACATTGCCCACTGATTGTTATTTTATTATTTATAATAAAAAATAAAGCAGATGTTCTGGATTGCTTAATGTGTCTACAAAAAGCATCATTAATCCCAAAAAACAGTATTTTGGAGGAAGTGTATACTCAGACTAATGTAAAATTAATGTTCTATATGGTAATGTGGTTCGTAATTGTTTTTACTCTTTTTTGATTAATTTATATACAAATGCTAATAAGGCGCCATCTTCATGTGAAGTTTATAACTAAACAAAATCAACGTGACAATGTAACCTTTATACTTGCTAGTCTTTATTTTTCTAAATTTTCTGATTATGCACGTGACGTAATTATTAAATTGATAACAATGCGTTTATCACAGTTTGTGTTGTCGAGGGCAATGATGGACCAAGCACGCCATCTTCGTGAGATCTTCCAGGCTGCACTGGGTTCAGTGCAAACTTCAAACCTCATACAAACCAGCGTTAAACTAAAAACCAGTGAAGAATCCGGTAAGCAAACCTTAACAATCGTGGATAGAAGCTTCGAGTTGAAGAAACCAGTCTATATTATCGGTTTTGGTAAGGCTGTCTTTGCCATGGCCTCGGAACTCTTGAATGTCCTCGGTGATAAAGTCGAACGTGGAATACTGACAATCCCCGCAGGTACGCACGAAGTCAGTAAGATGGCGCTAGGGACTAAAAAAGAGCAATTATTCGCTGAAAAATTCGAAGTCTTTGAAGGAGCGTATCATAATCTACCCGATGAATACGCCATGAAAGGAGCAAAGAAAATATATGATCTTGTTGAAAGCCTAGACTATGATGATGTGCTTATTGTCTTGATATCCGGTGGTGGATCTGCCCTGTTACCATTACCTAAAGAAGGTGTCACCCTTGATGAAAAAATACTTTTGACCAGGGAGTTGTTCAACAGAGGAGCTGGTATCTTCGAGGTGAACTGTGTACGTAAAAAGTTATCCATATTCAAAGGTGGCGGATTGGCACGTATTGCTTATCCAGCTAAGGTTTACTCATTGATCCTCAGTGATGTGGTTGGTGATTCCTTGGATATTATTGCAAGTGGACCAACTGCACCACATGTAGCTTCTCAATGCATGAATGTTTTATCAGTTCTAAACAAATACGAACTCTTGGATGGTCTGTCTCGTAACCTGAAAACTGTTGTCTCTCATGAGGAAACACAGGAAACAACAGCGTCGACTTTACGAGTGTTTCGTAATGTTAAGAACTTTGTCATTGGTAACAATAGCTTGGCATGTACTGCCGCTGCGCAGAAAGCTCAGAAACTTGGGTATTACGCTGATGTGGTCACAACGAGAATTGATGGTAAAGTTCCTGATGTCGCTGAATTCTATCTGGAGATTGTGAAATACTTCAAATATAAAAGTCGGCCAATTATTGCTATAAATCAGTACCAGGATTTGTTGGATTCGATGGTTATGGTTGCATTTGAAAAAATGAAGTATTCACGAGTGGGTGATCCCTTGTGTTTGATTTTTGGTGGTGAACCAACGATTGTGGTTGGTGGTAAAAAGGGGAAAGGTGGGAGGAATATGCATCTTGCTTTGGAGCTGGCGATGATTTTGGAGGGTGATGATAGTGAAGGGATTTACTTTTTAAGTTGTGGAACTGATGGTATAGATGGGCCGACGGATATGGCTGGGGCGATTGCTCCCGTTGGACTAACACCTGAAGAGAAAGAACAAGCAAAGCCCTTTTTGGAAAATTGTGATACTTACAACTATTTTAAGGAGAAGAAACCTGATTATTTGATAAGAACAGGACATACAGGCACGAATGTCATGGATATTCATATTTTAATTATAACAGGGAAAGCAATTTAAATTTAAAATATACTTAAACATAATTTTGAGGTTTATAATAACGAAATTGGGACGTTTTTTGATAAAATATACGAAAAATCATGTTTTTTAGTAGACGTTTAAAAGTGTCGCGCCATCTATCAAGGAGCATTGCAAACACATGAAAATAACAAAAAGTTTCTCTGTAAGATTTAAAATCATATGATTGATGCATAAACTAACAAAACACAAAATAACTCACAATATAATCTACAATACAACGTATTAATCAAAGCTTTTGAAACATTATCAGATTTTAATTAATCAAATGTTTTTTTCCGAGTCCAGCCGAAGTTGCGTCGTGGGCAATCGATTTTCAAGTTCACCATGCTTCTCCAACATGCCCAACATGTTGTGACATTCCTGCGGCGCGTGCGCTTCATCGGCGTTAGTTGCCTGCACGCGGTTACTTCGCCAGTCGGCATCAAGCGGCGCTCGCGACAGATCCACCCACGCGCAAATCATCTTATCGGCGTCCCGGTCAGCTGTTCACTATGGCGTGCAATCGTCCGTTGTTGTTGTAATTAAACACCACGTGCGACAAGATGTCCGCATGCAGGCTGTGCGTGACTCTGTGCGGACTGCTTCTCGTGCTGTTTTGTGATCCTGCTAGCCAGCAGTTGGTGATCAACGTTCGCAATCAGGTACGTTGTAGAAATATCATTAAATAAACAAATGACAATACATATCTTCACGAGTATAAAGCTTGGAAACTCGGGAGCTTTCACCTAATATAATTTACGTGCATATTACGGAAATTTGTTGTAATGGTTTGTGTTGGTGAGGTTTGAAGGACTTGAAGGAGTTTGAAGGTGAAGGGCATGTTGCCGTTGTGTAAACAGAACCCTCTCGAAGGTCGGGCTGACTAGACTCGCGTAATTAACCGCGGATAATTAGCTTATAACTGAGCAGACGTTTGATTAGTGCCTTCAATTAGATCAAACGTTGCAAATAAAAATCAACGCTTGAATTGCAGGCAGTTACAAGGAGTGACAGTGATTAATATAAATGATTCGGATTAAGATTTTATCTACCACCTGAAGCACATGCGAGTTCCTGTTGCATCTTTGACTAACTACTGTTGTTTAACCACTACATATATTTCTAATAATAATAAAGTGTGTTTTTTACCTTTTCCTCTGTTTTTCCTTTTAAAATTTAAACATTCCAAGATATTGTTCAATAGAAATATAAATATACATTACAATAGTCGGAGGGACTGTTAAAATATAAGCTCCGATCATAATGACCATGCCCACGATGATTACAGGCATCGATGGAAGGCCAATTGTAACCATCAAAATGAGCCATTCACTTAGAGTTGGGTTCATGTATGTTGGACGTACAAATAATGCCGTTGTGGGTCGTGGGGTGGTGGTTGTTGTGAGCTTTGTGGTTGTGGACACAGTGGTCGATGAAGTTGTACTACCTGAGCTAACTGTGGTACTACCTGTACCAGTTGAACTTGTTGGATCAGATGGATTAGGTGTTGTTGTAGATGTGCTACCACCAGAAGTACTACTACCACTTGTGGTACTGGTTGGAGTTGTAGATGATGTTGGGGAAGAGTTTGTAGAACTTCCCGTATTTGTTGTTGCTGTTGAAGTTGTTGTACTGCTACCAGTTGGGGTGGGGGTTGGAGTAGGGGTTGGGGTTGAGGTCTGTGTGATACTCCCAGGAAAAAGGGTGAAAATTATGGTGAGACCCACCAATAGTTTGATATCCATCTAAAAAATAAGAGGAAATTGTTATTGTTTTCATGTAGTTTATCATATTCATGGTGTTATAGGTTAAATTTAAATTTGAAGAATTTTGAACAATATTCCACTGTTTTATTGATTTGATATTTATTACATTGTTGTGAGTAAGTTAGTTTTATATTGGTAAGAAGGGTCTGATCATCTGAACAAAGAAAATTATCATGACACCGAAAATATTCAGAGGTCCTGTAAGCGCCATGAGTGCTACAGCAAACAATATAGCGGCTCTTATCATTGGAGCGTTTACGAATAATCCTGCTCCAATTGCAGCCGCCCAGGCTAGAATATTTTGAAGGGCACCATTCGGTGCTGCTGTAGTTGTGCTAACAGCAGTGGTACTTGCAGAAGGATCTATTGTTGTGGTTGCTGTAGGATCTGGTGTTGTTGCAGTTGGATCAGTTGTGGTTGCAGTTGGGGTAGTAGCAGTTGGATCTGTTGTTGTTGAAGTAGTGTGGGGAGTTGTAGGAGTTGTAGTAACTGTTGGAGGAGTGGTGGTAACGGTTGTAGGAGTTGTTGTTTGAGTTGTAGCAGTGGTTGTATGAGTTGTAGGTGTCGTAGGAGTAGTAGGAGTTGTTGTTGGAGTTGTAGCTGTTGTAGGAGTTGTTGTTGGAGTTGTAGCTGTAGTAGTTGGTGTTGTAGGAGTTGTTCCAGTAGGGGTCGTTGGACCCGTTGGAGTAGTTGTTGGTGTTGTTCCAGTAGTAGGTGTCGTTGCAGTCGTGGGAGTTGTAACAGTTGTAGAAGTAGGAGTAGTAGGAGTCGTTGTTGGAGTAGTCGTAGGAGTTGTGGTCGGAACTGTTGTTGTTGGAGTAGTAACCGTAGTTGTTGGTTGTGGAGTAGTAGTAGTACCCTCTCCACCCACAAGAACATCTTCCACAACATCTCCAGCAACAGTTATAACATCTCCCAGTAGCCTGCCACCAGGCACAAAGTCGTCGTCGTAATCATCATCGATCCTGGAGTCAGGTCTCGCAAGGACTAAACTTTGAATTGTAATCAAAATTGATATTCGCAGAAGGCCATTCACCCACATCTGGAACAGACAGTGGAGTATTAACAAATAGATTATAAATATTTTATTTTCGCCCACCTGTGCAGCTCTGGACGCACATTTTTCAGAATCACAAAAGCACAAACACTAAATTGACGTGAAATTTGAATTTCACAAATATATATTTTTGCATTTTCTGCAATTACGGAATATGTTGAGTGTATGTGTGAATTTTTATCGGCGTGTTTGCACTTTGCATGTGCCGCGCACAACATTTTGATATATTTGCCGCGTTTGCTAGTTTATAGCCTCGTGTTTTGCGTCAAACTGAAAGCAAACATTCCGCCGAAAATGCCGCATTCGTGTTCCACAATATAGCTAGTGCTCTTCGCCACCATCAATATAATAAACAATATAAACCATTACTTACTAAAATCGATAACATTCGAATGCATTTACAATAATTCGCGAAATACACAATTTTTTTTTCAAAAAATGCCACGCACGGAATTAATATGTCAAAATAAAAGCTTACAACTAAAATACTACTCTAATATTAAAAATATAAATAAAATATTACTTACGATTTATTTATAGATAGATTTTCGTGGAATTATTTTATTCACGTAACTTTTTCACTAATATTCCGCCGTGTGCTGTTATCATTATGAGCGCCAAATAAAAATCAACACTTATGCTGAAGAACATCAAATAAACTGTCCTCTTATCACATGGGCGTTATAAATTTCTCTCCGCAAAGGACATGACGTACAATTCTATATACGCACGACGTTTTTATTACTGTTTTTTTTTGTCTCTCAAGTTTTATATTTTCGTGAAGTTAGTTGCTGAAAAAATGTTCGCTTTGAAAATTCCTGGCGAGACGCTTTTTGCTGATTAAAATTCATCGGTCGTATGCGTACTGTAAAAGATGCAGTGAAGCATGACTTCACACGTACGAATATAATAGGACATCGACACTTTTATGATGGCACGTGAGCGAAAACTTTAAGTTTCAGGATGTGCCATAAGTGTACAACAGCGGCTTACAGAAGTAGGTGAATCAAGTTTTGATTTAGTTTCTTTGATAATTATTTGACTGAGATAAAGGTATTTTATGATTTTGCAACCACGAGAATAGAAAAATGTTCAGAATGCGTATGAAATCACGTTTGAGTAAACAAATTATTTTCTAACTTTATTTTCGATATTTGGTTTTGACTGCGTCGACGTGAAGTGTTTTTTGCGGGCCGAAGACACGTAAAAAATGCGATTTTCGACGCTTTGTGTTCACCGTTCACGTTCGGCGAGTTAATCCGAGACGACTTCAGACACGAGTCGGAGGAATCGAGCCGTGAGCGCATCGCGAAGCAGACGAGCACGCGACGACCTTAAAGTAAATTTGCTGGATCAAAGCAAATCTAAGGCAGGCTGATAAATCCGCGTCGACGACGCGTACACTTTTCACAAGTCATTCACAAACATGAAATTATCCTGATGAGTGTTCCGGGTTGGAGTTTCAGTTGTAAATACTTTTTCCGGTTTGATTAAGGATATAGTTTTTAAAGATAAGCCAATATCGCTTTGTTTGGAATTTAGTTCCGGTTTTGGTGGTTTGGCGTGGATTTTGGAAGGGGTGATGTATCGTCGGCGTCGTTTAGCGAGCCGATCGGCTGATTGGTGGCCATTGTGTGTCAGATCAATTGTATTGTAACGGCCCCGGCCGGCGGCTGTCCGAAAGCGCCTTTGTTACGCGTCCGGCGCGGCCGCCCCTCAGAAGCAAAGGTGACTTATGACCATCGTTTTTCTCGCCGTACCTGTCACGCCCCGAACCCACCCCCGCACACACCGCACCATCATTCTTTATGCACACCCGCGCTGGTGTGCGGTAAAATGTATTAAAACCTTATAAATACAGACCTCAACAGCTGACTGAGCTTTGCGGTCGTGGAACAAAAGGTTTCGTTTTCTTTCATGCCTTTCACGGCGTTTTTCTCTGTGTTCAAACATTTCTATTGTTGATTGAGTACACGTTTTTGCGTTATTTACGTTATTTATGTGTTTGTTGTTAGCACCGCCGCAAGGAATAAATTCTAATGGCACTTTGCTCAGCCGTCTTGGTCTTAATGTTGATGTTACCTCCGGTGAAGATTTATGCAGTGCTTGCTTTGTTGCTTTCTTGTTTTGGGAATTATGCGGCGCGCAAAAAATCGCATAAAAATTACGCCAAGCCAACAAGACACCGGAGAAGCGGGTAAAAAACAAACGATGAGAGGCTGAACGTCTAATGCGCCTCGCGGGCTTTTGCTGCCGGGGGAGAAAAATGGCCGGGATGACAACGGGCCCGCCAAGAAGTGGAAAAAGTGGACAAAAAAATCTTAATTACTGCGCTCTTAAAAATTATTTTTCTCCGTGGAATTTTTCATTACTTCCTTGGTTGCGCTTCCTGTTTTTCGACTAGTTTCCGGTTTTTGGTCGGGCAAACAATGTACATTTTTATTTTTGCCAAAAAGTCTTTGGAAACAAATCACTAAAATTGCTTTTTTTTGCTCATTCACGGCTTGTTCTACCCAATTAGCAGAGAAAATACTAAAAAAAAACTAAATAGGTAACAGGTTTATTATTTTATATTTCAAACCTCTTATATCCTATTATTTTTGGGTTTTGTTGTTATTTTGATATGTTTGTGGTTTAGGTCTTTTTATTTCCGGAAATTCGTTGGGCAATCCTATTATAGAAAGGTCGTTCCCCGATTTCCGGCACCACACGACCCGTTTCTTCTCGTAATGGGCAACAAAATGAAAAGGGATATGTTTATCCGATTCCGATCTCCGGATCACAAACCCGCCTCATCATTTTATTGAAAATATATTTAAACATTGATCAGAATTTAAAATTTCCAAATAATAGCAAATGTTGACGATATACTAGCAGGAGTAAACATTTCCAGGATAAAGGATGAGGGATAAAACTCCTGTGAACTAAGATCCTTGAAATTGTGTGTCTATCAACCCTGTTGTGCCGGATCAAAAAGCAATTCCGTCTAATGGATAATTCTATTTACCAGCACCGGTTTTTTTGACATTTGTATCGCAGGAAACAGATGTTTGTAGAGTCTTTATTTGTGAGCAGAAAATATCAAAATATCACGATTTATCATTATTATTGAGTAAGAATGGATGAAAGCTTTCCCAAGCTCTTCTTCTCGGAGTGAAAAATTGTAAGAATAGTCGAAAAGACGGAAAAATTTAATGGCGTATCGTTGTTACGTCGACGCTTTGTTAGGTGCAGCACCATTGAAGATATATTTTTCAATACCGACAGAGTTATAGTGTTACACTAATAAATTCCACTGTTATTTTTATTTTAATTCAATACATTTCAAGCTTCAAATAAAATTGAAGCACGTTTAGGTTTGTTAAATTTCATCATTAAAGTGTGTCTATGATGGTAAAGCAATTCTACAGTAAAGACGCAGATAGTCATACCTAAACCAATCAAGAATGTCACGAAAGCAGTCTGGACATCAACCAGCTCGATTGTTTTGAATGAGGGTGCTATTCCAGTACATTTGGGTTCCGGGTCAAAGAGCTTCACTTGACGTAGATGTAATCCTGTTTCTAATATTCGAAAAGCACTAAAATTAAAAATGAATTCTTCTAAAAATTGTACTAAGAATATAATAGCAGCCATTACCCGACTTTTTTGATTTTCTTATATGGTGAAGCTTTATACATTGGAATGTATATCAAATGTGATGGTAGATACAATGCTTCTATACGTTGCAGGGAGCATATCTCGTTGATATCAAAATGACGCAGAATATAATAATACGCAGGGTTCTTCTCTATGTGAAATGCATATCCACCTTTACGCATTCTATCGAGACCTTCTTTTAAATTCAGGAAACCATGTTCAGTTACTTTAGTATCATACAGGGCTTTTCTTACTGGATCTGTATCAACTCTCATGAAGTGTTTGATGTAGATTGTGTCTTCAGCTCCAACTTCAAATGGACTGTTTAATAGTTCTTCAATTGTATTGATACTAGTCGTGCTTTGTAAGAGTGTTACTATACTGCTAGAGTAAGCATTGTAGAAAAACATGCATGCTAATGATAGAACAAAGAATAGTATTGCTCCTGATAGGGTTTTGGTTGTTACTACTGATCCTTGTTGACTGATGGACTCTAATGTGACTAAAGCTCCATCTTTAGCATCACCTGTAGTGTTATCAAAATATTTTTTTTCGATATTTAGCAGATATCCTATGAAGATACAGTGTAATAGGAATGTTGCAAAAAGGGCGTACCACACGTGATTGTGGAATGATATAATGAAGATGTCTTTAACATAGGATGTGGGAGGATTTTTAAAGATGAATTTGATTTTGACTCTTTGCGAGATCTGAATGACAAAATCCATTATGGGTAGTCTTTGTTTCATCACTACCATTGCTGATGCTAGAATAATAATAAAATAAAATTAAATTCAGGAAATAATTTGATGGGTTTTGTATACCGCTGTAATTTGATGCACCACTTCTTAACGATTCGCTATGACCTGTCCATTTTTTAGTTGTGGCATTATAATGCCCAAAACTATTGTGGAACACATTGGCATAGGTCATATTGACAATATCAACCAGATTTGCGAACATGGCATAAGATTGTTTTATCACTGAATCAGTTTCCGGATATCTAAATAATTCTATAGAATTAACAAATGAAGATTATAATCAAATTACTTACTTTATTGTGTTGTAGTAGTTTATTGTTTCCGGATGCTCTAGAGTAGATGAAATGACAAAAAACAATCCTTGAAGATTTCTTCTTCTTGTGGTAATCTCCCCTTTTTGTTTGGTCAATATAAGACCTTCATTGATACTCCAGTAACCGAAATCTTCATAGACTACAACAAGTTTAAGTAGAGTTATTAATTAAGACGAAAGAAAGATGTCTACCCAATGGTCTGTCTTTGGATATCCGATAAACCTGATAAAGTTGATATCTCTCTGAATGAATGCGTCTGGCAATTATCACTCGACTCATGACGCTCACTTTAATTCTGCCATTTGGATTCATTAAAACTCGCCCCAACTCGGCGAAATTGCCCGCGTCGACGAGGATTAAAATCTGTTTGAAGAATCCCATCCACCGCACAGGGGAATGTGATCGTCCCAAACTTGAGTCGATAACACGTCCCAACTTTGCGGACAGTCGAAATCAATAATCTCGTAATTATTGAATTTATCCGGTGCGGTTTTTAATTCGTCATTATTTTTCAGTTCTAAATGACGGAAAAATATTCGATGATTTGAGGCGATTAAATTTTTAACGGCGGCCCGTGGCCAACACTCCATGAGCAGAGTATAATATCTGTTGATGTTCCAGTTGTGAGTGAGAGGATTGGGGTTGTCCGCGGCTAAGAAATCGCTTAGGAACGCTCGTTTGGTTTCTGTCGCAGGCAGATCGCGAGCAGCGTCTGACATGGCAATTGCCAGGAGCAGAAATGCGAAAAGACGCAAAATTGTTGCCGCGCTGGGTTGAGGTTGAAGTTTGGTTTGCATATTGCGATGATAGTAGCGTTAACTGGCGGAGAATTTGCAGTCGGCGTGGTTTTTATGATTCGTTTTTGTCTTCGAATGCGAAATGTGAAATCCGCAACGAATGTAATAAGCGGGCGGCGGGTAGGGAGGATTGTGAATAATGGAAAATAATGGGAAACGGGAAGCGGAAAAACAGTAGGTTTAAATCGGAAAAATGCAACGTTGTCTTGACATCTTGAAATATTAATATGTCGTGTCTGATACACAGTCAACGCAAGCATATTTCACTTCATATTTCATTATATTGTTATAATTACACTCCAAACATACAAATTGTGTATGAATTCTAAATTGATTATAATTTACCGAAATTGCAAATACTAAATTCCATCGGATGCACCCGGCATCGAATTAATTCCACTCACAAAATGCTAAATTCACCCCCGGCATTTATAGCAACTCATAAACTCACATAACCTCCACATACCACTGTAATAAAAGCTGCAATGAAACAATGAAACACTACATTTGACACCAAATAGAAAACTTTCTAAAAGCGCTTTTAAAAACTACACAACTTCACCATTCACTAAGAATTTCATCGCGTGTTAGCCGAATATAAAGCCTGAATGAGTTTCCTTTGTGCCCGGACGATCCATTTGATCAATTCGATCCATTACATTATTACTTATCAACCATTCAACAATAACTGTTATTATGTACAGAAACTTCAAAAAGTTGGTTTTATTGAATTAATTTTATGAATACCTACTTCACAATAACTATATTTATACGTTAGTTATTAAAGCTTTGTATATTTTTTATTTTTTGTATTTTTGTGCATAATTAAGACAACTGATACTCAGGGAAAACTGCTGGTCATAACTAACAACAACTAAATTACACCCTTTAATAAACTGTGTTGTGACCACACGTTTTACACCCTTATTAGAATATTTCCGTTGCGTTTTTTGTGAGCTGCGATAATTTTCTCATTTGCATGCAGACTTGTTTTTCAGCATGCGATTGTATGCATAATATTAAGTTACCAATGCAAAAATAGAAAAGCGACATCTAGCGGTTGACGTGCTAATAAAGATTATAAACCATCATAACCTATTTTATGCTAATAGTTAAAATTTTTATGCATTTGGATAAATTATCTCAAAGTGGAAAGTTTCAAACGAGTCTGATAAAATATTTAATTAACAAATAAAGCGCCGCGTGGCATTAAAACAATAGTTTGCCGAACGCGATAAAACTGCGGCGCTGCATTCGCATACAGATGTGGTAATATGACGCATGAGATTTTCATGCGAGGCGCAATGGCGCAAACTTTTCGCACCGCCGCGTCAAATTAAAACCTTAATCGGACAAACGGCAGGGAATGAAACATTTCACTGAATATGTGAATATATAAAAATGGATTGACGTTTGTTAGACTCAAAAAATAAATTTTTAAATTCTAACCTCAAGAAATTAAAATAAAAAAGATTTTGAGTATTTTATTATACTGCGTTATAATAACCATTATAAGGCGATATAAAACGTTATAAAATTCGATTGAAGTTGTTCGTAAAATATGAGTATCCCTGACTTGAGTTTGTTTGGCTCGGTTTACTATGGCACACCTGCCAGGCTCGGTATGTGTGTGCGTGGGTGGGTCTACCGCGGTATTTACTTTAATAGTGAGTTGTCGGTTTGCCGTTGGCGGTGGCGGCGACGCCGAATGCAATATACGTAAAGTATGATCCTCTTTGACAAGTCGACATCTTAAATTTCCGATATTATTCGATTTCAAGCGCTATTCGCACATAAATTTCACATTATACGCTGTTACTCTTTATTGATTTTTTTTCACTTTAAAAATTCTTATTTTATCATCTTTTACGTTGCCTATTACGAGTAGGTCAAGCATTTTTGCGTACGTCCAAAAATTTACTACCCTCTGAAATCTAATAATTCTAATGTAAAATCTAATATCGAATTTGATTTGATTTATGTTTTTTGAGATAAAAAAACCTCGCTAACCTCTAGTCTATAGTCTACGTCTCAATCTTTCAATATATCTACGATAATAACTTAATATCGGCTCTTGGTCGGCGGTAGTGGAGGTTTTTTTTTGGTCCTGCCCGACCTTCGTCCTGTGGAGATGCTTTTGTTCGCGGCGCGCGTTAGTGGCAACCATAAAATTGCGCCGCCGAAGTCGGAGGTACGAGAATGCGGAATCAGGCAATGGACGAGGGGAAAACTGAGCGCGCGTTTAACAAAAGCACTTTCGCGTTGTAATATCCGAACGAACGCGGCTGCGATGAGCGATTTATTGAAAGGAAGATGTGAAGAAAAGAAAACGCACGGCGGTGAAAACCGAATGAAATGATGGAACACTTTCAGGAGAAGACGAATTGTAACCAAAAAGAAGAAAAAACTCATAGTATGCAAAATAAAGATTGACTTTTACTAGGAAAAAGTATTTTTTAAGCAAAATAAATCAAATTATAGAGATATGCATGCATATTAGTAATGTTCGATGCTTGTACCGCAACTCAAAGCATTGTCCAATTAAATTTTTAATTTTTGAGAAATAAATTTGTTGTTTATAGTTTTCACAGTTCGTAGTCAATAGAATAATACAGATTATTTGATAATTTTGTTAATTAATTCAACAATCGCCTATAATTCTACGTGAACCACTCCGGGCATTGTATCTGTCGATGTTTACTGATCGTGCTCATGATGTTAGCGACATTGTGCGCTAGGCACTGGGCGAGATTAGGCCGACGGGATTAGGATTTGAATTGTGGATTTTCGGATTTAAATAATGCACGCGCGATCTGCAGCATTTCGGTGGGCGGCATGGATGGTGCCATTGCGAAATCAATAATGCACACGCCGCCTGCAGTAAATAACGGCTACAAATTGTTGCTGTTAACGCTAATGGCGTAATTTACTTATCACGCCATGTGAACCCGATCGTTTTATCGATATACTCGACGTTTGCGTAATTTCCATTCGGGTGAAGCTTGAAAATTGCATGATAAACACAAAACATTTTTTCACGCCTATTATTTCATAGATGGAGCTAGTTTCTACTTATAAGATTATTATTTTAGGTTTGATTTTAGATTTTTTTTTAATTTTGAAATTTTTATGATTTTTTAATGAATTTTATAGCTATTAAAATATAGGTGGCGCTAGTTGATGTATAAAAATTTTATTTTTATCATTTACTTATTTTAATTAAAATTATTCTGATGGCGAAAATGTTATTAGAAGTGTATTGATCGACTAAATAGTTTACGCGTGTATTTAGGGAATTTGCAACACACGATTATTTTGCACTTTGCATTTACAAGTTTGCGTGCACATGCTGGCATTTAAATATTTAATCGGCATGCAATCAGTAATCACTAACCGACCGCCTCAAACACTATCATTTATTTATAAATTTTAAATCATAACACCGGCAGTGTGAAAGTGGAAATATTTTTCTTTGATTTCCCCTGACAATTGTTCCTGTTTCGCACTTTTTGCGCGAATAAATTTCCGCCTAATAGTCGCATCTGTTTGTTTCTTGTTAACTTTTTGTTGTTGTTTACTCGCTGGAAAAAATAACGATCAGGAGTACTATATCTTACGGGTTGAGGAGGATGGAAGTTAAAGTATTCGTGTAAACACACTCTTCTTTTCTTACTTACTCACTTAGGTGACGGGCGCACGCGGCGCGCGTCCAAGGTGTAAAGTTAACCCTCGAGGGCGATCTTAAAACTGAGGGTGGCTCGCCACTCGAGTACATCCGGTCGGTGGGTGTGGGTGGTTGATGTTTAAACGTTCGATAATGTCGAGTTTTTGCGAATCTTCGACGCTCTTCTTTGCGCACACCTTTCGCACGTCCTGGAGGGTTGTTTTGCTTTTGAAGGGGGTTGCTCATTTCTTGTGGGCTTGAACTGGACTGGTCGATAGAGTCGGCAGAGTCCTTGAATTATATTGTACATTTATACTTGGCCAGTTGAGCACAACTTATCTTGAATTTAGGTCTATGTGCGCAGAATGAAAACGGGTTAATTGATACCTGACTGTTTTACTGATTATTTTTACCGCAATTTTTTTATTTTTTAAATTTTTTTGTAAAAAACAGGTTTAACTAGATTTTCATGAAATTACAAGCGGAACATTTTCGATGTGGGATATTGTCAGCCACGTATGTCGAAGGGGTTGGTAGTTTATCGATAACAACAATAAACGTGCTGTAAATTGCCTAACATCGCTGCGACACGAACCGCAGCGCCGAACATGGAAATTCCGTGTTGCCGATTCTTGTTCAATGCGTTCATGCGCTTCGCCACAGTCACAAATATTGCACATCTATTTACGATTGGATACCATTCTCTTCATTTACCATGAAACATTTATTTGTAACCACACAACACACCCCACAAATGTACCACAAAATTAACTCAGTTAATTAATTACTAATTTATGTTGTTTTTTCTGTTACAGGTATGTGAAAGAATCGTTACTCTTTTTGATGGTGAG